TTTTCCATTATGACTCAATCTACATGTACCAGTAATCATGTTTTTGGATTGGACAGAAGAATGACAATGCGTATCATCAAGTTGGGAGGCTGCTACATGTATACTGAGATGGGTTTTAAAAAACGAGGTACTATCTTAAGATGTGTTGGATTGTCTAAACACTTCTGCCATGTAAACTGGTTCTGATGTGCACTCATTGGCCCCTTCCCTCCTATACAGACAATCGGCCTCAAGTTGTCCTTTCAGTCAAAATCAATCAAGTGACTGTTTTCAACAGTTAAGAGCTCCCAGCCTGTACATAATGTAGGATTGACAGGCTGTGACTGTGTATGTAGCTTGATAAAGCTATACTTTGATTGTAGGTGATTGATAAGCCAGCTGTGCCTACATCTTGCCTGTTATTGTCTGTTGACTGAATTTGACTAGTCACAGTGCTTGCGTGAAATATGATCGGACTGTTTGTGACTAGCCTGTGTAAAAGGCATGGCAGGGAAGCGGATGAAATATTTGACTGTCTGTGACTGTTTAAACAGTCGGAGGGTTAAGGTAGTAAGGATGTTTCAATTCCATGTACTCCCCTGGAATCTCAATAGTGCTGTGTAATCAATCGCCCACCCTCCCTCTGGAAGTCCAGATGTCAGGACCCCGTGATCTCTTTAATCGCCCAGATTTGTTTCCCATTCGGGTTCTGGCCCAGCCAAAATATTTGGCTTGTGTTTACTCGACTTTTGGATGAAAACATGGAGGGATTGACTGGCATTGGGATACCACCTGTCCTGTGATTGTAGCAAGGGTTGGCAAAATCCTTCTTTTAATTAGACTTTGGCATAAATGGGAATGAGAATTACACGTAAAGCTGTGTTGAAATTATACCGAATATTTGAATATTTGATCATTACCCATGATTGGTGAACTTCAAAAAAATTATGTACAAAAAAAAAGACACGTAAAGAATTATTAAAGATCAGATCTAAAAATATTCAGATATTGTGGTTTTGTGTGTTTATGCTTTCTTTGAATTTTTCTTGCTGGGGGTGTGATTCTTAAAACTGAAATCACTTTGCTAGTGGTTTGTCTGATCTGCAACGTTTTTTTTCAACATTGCACTTGAAGGTGACCTTCTGTTAAACCCAGGGGTGGTTTTATCAACCATGATTAAAAAGAGGTTTGCACTTTGGTGCCTGGAAGTTAAACTTGGCGGATGAATATTCCCGTCTTACCGAGAAGGTTGAAAATCTTATCCAAGCACTTGGCCTCAATATCCTTTACAACAAGGACAGAAAAAAGGAAAATCACCTTTCTCGGACGTCAATAAATATGGATTTCAAAAAATCCATCACCGACTGGCTAACCCAGGAAGGACCGGAGTGGTCACGGATCATAGTGTCATCAAGATTGTGACTCATCCGAACGTTTGACAGCACGTGCTAGCCACCGGTCCGTCGACTGTCAAGCTATCAGCAGGGTGGGAGAGAGATAGAGAGAGAAAAAAAATATGGAGATAAAAATACACGTATGATGAGAAATGACTGCCAGGTTCTGTCGCAACGGGAGCTAGGAGAAACTCAATACGGAGACCGAGGTATTAGTAATCAAGGCACGCGTTGCTGGGTCTTGCAACTGGTCAGAAATATACCAGGTCCCTGAAAATACAATGAATATTACCTAGAGGGTTTCGGGGACAAGTCCTTGTCGAAAAGGCTCGGGGAAAACGCAGGCGTTTTCTGGATTATGGTATTGATTTTAAATCCCATGGCAAATTGCAGAAAAAAAGGTTTTTGGTTGGGTTGGTGAAGGACTGGGCTCGTGAATTGGGAACAAGTCTTGTAAAACAGTAGCCTTAGGATGTGATGGGTTTAATTGCCGAATCGGTTGGCACTACTGAATGAATGTCGGGGTTAAAATTCTCTGTGCGGTACTTAAATTTTTTTCAAGGAAATAATTCTTGAGGATTTTTTATGATGGCATATGTCGCTTGTACATTGGGGGATATTTTTTTCAAAGATGGCCACAAGCTAGGATTACATACACGCATGAACATGAGTACTCTGGTTTTATAAAAAAAAATTATAACCATAATACCGGTACATGAACAATGTATGGAAACATGGCGTAAAAATTTGAACTTCTTTAAATTGGGGTTTTTTTTTTTACAGAATTGGTTTTTTTTTTTTACAGAATTGGAAAAAAAATTCGATTTAATTAGAAAGCTTGCACATATATTGTTACCAATAAACAAGGTTTATATTTATCCAAAATTTGCCTGGGGCAGTGAGCAATTTCATTTGGTTTATATTAGAAACAAAATGTGGTACTATTTAAAATAACCTTTTGTTGTACAAAATTTCACAAAATTTCACTCCAATTACTTTTGCTATGAAATAGAAAAACTTAGGGGACAATGTACAACGTACAATTTTCAAAATCGTTCACTTGTATGGTAGGTATAAAAAAGAAATCAGTCTTTCGCTGGGAACGGAATTCAAGTCAGAGTGAAAACAATGTACAGAACATGGAGAGATGCAATTTGTTTGGGTTAGGTTTGTGATAAACTTGTAGAAACATCCTGACCCTCTTGACCTTTCTATACCTTTTACTGTAGCTTATCTCTGATTGGTTATACTGGACAGCCAATCAAAATAGTCGGTTTGGCAGGCTGTTTGCATTATCAGGACTGTGTATATGAAGGTGAACCCTGCAAGACTTTTCAACAAAATTTCTGCAAATAAAAGTACCTCCCCCCTTGATAAAAGGTAACAACAAGAAGTATGTATGTTCATGTATACACGCATGATCAAACACGGTCAAATACTGGATAATGCAGAGTCATGTACACACATGTACAGTACATGTGGACAAGCCATCACCGCATTATGGGGAAGTTTTTATTGTTAGGCAAATTAGGACCGAGTTATAGAGAGACTTTCTGCTGTCCCAATAGTGACATTGGACAACTCATGTGTTGAGTCCCCACAACTACATGTACATAACAAGTATGCGTGTAATTGTACACACATACATGTACATGTACACACAGTCGTATTCACATCAACAATCGTAGACGTCCTTTTGTCCCTCTTTTGTTTGTACTCTAACTTTTTAGGAAGACTCCCATATGTTTTGTATACCCCAGTCACAGACGTATCGGTATGCCGGGAATCGTGGACTATATGCTGTTCCCTTTTGTTCTCCAGCATTTTTCTTCCACTGTACATGATTTGCATTTTACATAATTACGAATAAAAACCTCAAGACCTAGGCATTGTACATGTACATGTAGCTCTGAAGTACATGTACATGTACAAATGATGTACATGTATGTACATACATGTACATGTACAAATGATGTACATGTATGTACATACATGTACATGTAGCTTTTGGCAATATCATTTCATACTGTACATGTAACTATGCACATGTGTACATGTATGATACATTTGTGTATTTGGGTTAGCAATTGTGTTATTCATTTAAGTTAGCAATTATTAATCAATTCAAGTATTGATTTTTGTAAATGAGTGACTATTGATTTTCACATCCTGGGGCCAATTTCATAGAGCTGCTTAAGCACAAAAACGTCTTGCTTAATAAAATCAGGTTACCGGCCAAAACTCCATGCGATTGTTATGCTACCCGGTAAGTAAACAACAGCTAAATACCAGTCACAAGCAATGTACATCACATGGAGTTTTGGCCGGTAACCTAATTTTACTAAGCAATGTTTTTTCGTGCTTAAGCAAATTTTCTGCTTAAGCAGCTCTATGAAATTGGGCCCTGGACTTGATCAAGTACATGTACAACAAAAACTGCAGCACTGTTTAGTTGCTGTTCATGCCACTCAACATTAAATCCAAGCTATCGATATTGGCACATTGATCAGTAGCCACTTGGAGTCAAATGTAGGGCAACATATCCGAGACTGACATTTAGACTTGTGTTAGAAAAAAAAAAACAGGAATCTGGAGCATAGATTAGGAGTATATATCTTTGATTGCCTGAGTCGTTGGACATGTCCCAGTTCCCACAGATTTTTTTTCTTCAAAGTAAAATGTAGTTTTCTGATTTATCACAACGTGATTTTGTAGATTTATTATGCGGAAGAGCAATCTGATGTACACGCATGTTCATCTGTCATGCAACTTCCGAAGAAACTCCCAGGAATCTCAGTTCTCACGATTTCTGATCTCCCAATCGGCAATCACAAAGGGGTCATTGTCGGGATGTGTAAATCCCGCAGTCAGTTGGGAGGGAGTTGAAAGACGAGACACCATTTGGTGAAGTCATCGTTGGACTTGTGATCGGTGATCGAGCTCACGGTTGTACAGAAATAATGTTTGTGTGTGTGGACTTTCTAGTTATTTGACTTGTTGTGTGTACAATTGCCAGTAAACTTTAATTGCTGAGGGAGCAGTGATGTGAATATCTCTTTGCCATTCAGTGATGGGTGACGTTTTCACCAATTCCTAAGTAGACTAATTACTCTAACTTTAAGATCTTACCCCTCCCCTCCCTGCCCTCTCCTTCCTACCCCCCCTCCCCCCCATTGTTTTTTTTTACATTAACAATTGTCCATGCCTTTCCTGACAAATGAGGGCGCTGTTGCTGTGATGTCATTGCAGGAAGACACTGTTCACTTTAAGGGTTTTCCGTTCAGATTGTGAGCCCACAATTTGCTCATTGAAAACATTTGTGAGAAAAGTTTGCTCATTGGCTAACTGTCATGTACCAAAACAACGAATCTCCCCCCCCCCCCAATAAAAAAAATTACAACAGCAAAATATCCAAATAATTCTGGCAAACTTTGTGCTGAAATATTTGTAACTTCACACTTGCTCATGAATATGGAAATTTGCATTAGCATAAACACCAAAAAGGCACCAGAAGGCCCTTAAAAATGGCAAAATGAAAATTGAAAATAAAGCTAAATGGGACGCAAAGTTGCATTTCCAAGGAACTCTTGCATTAAAAAAATTACATTACATGGGCCCTTTAACCTTTGAGAATTATAAAGCTGTTTTTACAATTGTTTTGATCTGTTTTCAATTTGACATTTTGTCTAGAGGATAGAGATCATGTCCACAGCAGATCATTCATTCCCATCCGGTTATTATCAGTACGTACTTGGTCTCTTATCTGTAGAAGTCGGTTCCCACAGTTGTCAACATTGAAATTGTGCATGCAAGGGGCCGGGTACTAGGTCACGCCGGGCGGGGTTAGAGGCACAACTATTGTAACAAGCATTAGAGGGAGATCATTTTACCATGTGGTGATGTACCTCGCATTGGATGGGCTTGTCAGATTTCTCGAGACAGCTCGACCATCATGTGAGTTCATGTCTAGGTTCGTGTGGTGGTGGTGTTTGTTACACTGGCTCTGTCCCTGCCAAACATTGGAGCTGTTTTTGTCCAGGTGTTGGATAGGATTGAAAAAAAAATATTGTGATGGAAACAATTTGGTGGTCTTAACTGTTAACAGAGACGGCGGAAAGAGATTCTAATGGGAATGGCTGAGTTACTGTCATTCTTGTCTTGTTTTGTCATTCTTGCCTCGGAAATCTTCATGTGTTGGTCTTAATTTCTAACAGATTTTTCGGACAGAGTCTTCGTGAGAACCTCTCAGAACAGTTGCTGTCCTGGTATCAGCAAATTCATCATTGTTACTTCAGAATGGTTTGAACAATATCTCGGGCTTGATTGATTGTGAAGGAAAAATTGAGAAGACATCATGGCAAGCCAGTCAGCATCGAAAAAGCATAAAGATAAGCCCTCCCAGGCCTTGACACTTGCCAATCCGTGGGCTATATGCCTTGCTAACGGTAGGGCTGTGGAGGAAGACAGTAAGTCCTCTGCCAAGGATAATGACGGAGCAGCGAGTCCACCTAACGGTTCGCCACTGAGGACTTGGTGCGGCAAGATGGGTCTTGTTAAACTCTTCCTTCGCAAAGCTCAGCCGTTTTATTACCTTGAACTTGCCGGGGACTTAGTCAGCCTGTCAGGTAGGTTAAAATAGGGGAGAATTTTGCCAACCAAAGTTTGTCTGTTTGTCAGTCTGTCCGCCAGGATAGTTGTCTTGATGTTTGTCTGCCTGTTTATCTTTCCACCTTTTTCTTGTACCTGTTTGTCTGTCCAAATTCTGTCTTGATATTTAGATGGTTACTGAGGTACTTTGTTTCTTGACAGGTCCACGGTTACTGCTTCCACCAGGCCAACAAAATGGCCACAGCAGTGTCGGCAACCGAAGCCTGGAGTTTTTCAGGCAGTCTGGGGAAAGCGTTGGGAGGAACTCCCCGTCACCTCTCGCCAACAGAACGGAGAACGACCTGGTCGTGAGAACCAACGAAAATGGGTCCGGGGCGGAGGATCGTTGCCACCATCGCAGTCACCGGAATTACGAACAGCTGCGGAGTGAATGCAAGAGAGCTATCATAGAGTTGGAGAACTTGAAGCGGCAGCACTCGGAGGTGATGGAAAAGTTTGATCATGCCAATCGGGAGGCCGAGTACTGTCGGAACAAGTATCGCTCTTCTGCCGAGACGGCGGAACAACTCCGCATGGAACTGCAAGCCAAGATGTGCGAATGTGCTGAGGTGAATGCAGACTGGGATCAGGCTAAGAAGGAAATCATCGACCTGAGGCAGACTCACGAGAACGACTTGAAGGAGCTGTCGGAACTGAGGATGCAGAACCGTGAAGTCATGAACCAGCGCGGGTCGTCTGAGGTTCTGAATAAGATGTATGATACAGCCTGGGACAAGTACGAAGGATTAAAAAGAGAATATGAAGCTCTGAAGCAGAGGAACGCTGACTTGACATCCAGGAATAGTATCTCAAACTTTAATATTGGGAGGATGGAGGAAGATATCAAGAGACTCAAGGGGCAGTTAGAGACTGCTTATGCTGAGAGGGACCGATCGTATACGGAGCGTAATGCACTGAAGCAGCAATGCACGGTCGTAATACGCAAATACGACAATGTCTTACGGGAAATGGACGAGTCGCTGCAGAGTACAAAGCTTGCCAATCAGAAGTACGAGAAAGCGCAGCGGGAACTAAACCGCATCCAGCACATCAAGCATGAGATGGATAAGAAGATTGAGCGCGTGACCGAGGAACGCAACGCCGCCGTGCGAGAGTACACGCTGGTGATGAGCGAACGTGACGATGTTCACAAAGAGATGGAGAAGCTTCAAGAGGATGCTCAGACGGAGAGCTCATGCAGGAAGAGCATCGAGGAGAAATACCGGAATGTCTTAGCCATCAATGATGCGCTGAAAGGCAAGATGTACGTTATGAGTAAAGAGCGTGATCACGCCTTGAGGGAGTACAATGAACTGAGTGATCGCTACCGCGACATCATCAGCAATACAGCCCTGGCGCAGAAAGAACGGGACAAGGCACTGTTTGAGTTTGAGAAATTTAAAGACGAGAGGGATGTCGCACGACGGGAACGAACTGAGGCTTTGGATCAGCGGGATAAACTTCTCCAAGAATGCTACAATGCCGTCCAGCAGCAGAAATCCATCAGTTACGATTATGACCTGGCCTTCAAAGAAGCCGAGGTCCTGCGAAGGAACCTGGACACTGCCGAGAAAGAACTCAAAGAGGTGCAGTCGGAGACAGACGACGCCAAGCGGCAGCGAGACCGGGCATTCCAGGAACGCGTCAAGATCATGATGGAGCGGGAGAGCATCCGGACACTGTGTGATAAACTCAGACGGGAACGCGATCGTGCGGTCAGCGATTTTGCCGAGGCTCTGAGAAATCTGGACGACGTCAAGCGACAGCGAAATGATGCCGTGAAGCAGCTCAAAGAAACGAAGTAAGTATACATGACAACTTCACATAACAACTCATCATCTTTTGTAAAGTATTGATAACTTAAACTTGAGGATCTTTTAGTTGTTCACTCAATAACTTTAGTCAAATCTTTTCAGAAATCTTTTTCAAAAATCTTTTGAAGAGACCAAAAAACTATCAGCATGTTGTGGCGTGAGAACTCAAAAGTAGTGTTTGAAAATTATTTATGTTGTGTTCGTCTTTAAATTTTCCCACCAAAATTGGCAATGTAATATAGTGCTATCCTTGTAAATACAAAAAAAGAAGTTTGAAACCATACATTTCGCCAATTTTTCTTAATTCCATTCTTGTTGGAAAAAGTGGGGGGGGGTGGAGGAGAAAGAATTTCAAAGCTAAAATTACACAATGAAAGTTGTCTCTGTTGCGTGAGAATGAGCAATAACCAGTTTACCCCCAGAGTCTTGCATAATTGGTCATAGGAGCAACTTCTGCATACTGAAAGAAATAGAGAGACAGATGTTCCGGTGTGTTAAATGAGCCATTTAGCTGGCAAAATATGATGAATGGATGGCTAGGTTCCATTTAACTGTGACAGCTACCAAGGGCGTATTGGAAAGAAAAGAAAAATTAGTTGGATGCACAGGGTACGCTGTCAATATCATGTTCGTGTTTGACTGAGACGTATGATGGACTAGTGCTGCTGTACTGGCTAGATTAGAATGCCCAATTGGGACCTGCCACATCATACAGTGCCCAATCACCCTGGATATTAGAAACAAGTCAAGCGTTACGGCATTGCTCTCGACAAGATAGGCCACAGAACCAGTTCTAATGCACACACATGCATCCCCAACAGTGTTGGAGTTGAGTTCATTACAAGTCCAGTCACAAGTAAATCACAAGTCCAAGCAAAAGGGGGTGAACAATATTTAACCCTAACTCCCTAACATCTTTTACTAGGAACTGGACCAATTCCATCAAAATCCATCAATCACTGTGCGTCTAATACAGAACTGAACATGACATTATGGAATCCACCACTGACACACTGGTTGACATTCACGGACTTGTTTAACACATGGCTTTTATCACAATAGCAGTACAGGAAGCTAGGCAAAATCAATCGGATACCCCTCGCACTGCTTCAGGCCATTAGGCCCAAGTCCATCATACTCCATCAATATTTAGTTATGCCAGGCCTTCTGGACCAAGTCCCCCCAAATCCACCAAAATGAGGGGGTGGATTTTGATGGAGTTGGGGTGGAATGCCTTGTGAAAGTTCATTTGAATAGCTTGCAAACTTGACTTGGGACTGGGTGATGTTGTGATGGACTCGTGATGACTTGCAGGGACTTGACTCGACTACACCACTGATCCTTAGTATACTGAGGCCCCACAATACTGACGTCTTCTTGGTCACAAGCATGCATCACTGACTTTATTATTCATTCCGTTCAACCAGAAAATGGGAAAATGTTTAGTAGAATCACTGTATACATGAACATGCTTAAAACAGAATGTTGCTCTGTAGTAAGCTGCAAAGCTTGCATTAGCAATGTGAGCACATTCCCTACTATTGCACCCAAAAGGAGTTGGTAAAGTATATCATTTCTAGCTATCCAAAAAGTAACTGACAAAAATTATTGTTGAAAAGCATACTTGGTTTAAAGATAGTAATGACACCAAACTCCCTGTGAAATTATTCTTTCTGGCATGCTGTCATTTTGAAGACCCATTTTTGGAAATTTCCATAAGTAGTTCGTTTTTTATTCGGCGAAGCCGTGAATGGGTGCGCGCAAGCATTGACACGATGCACGAGAGCGTGGTTGCTATATTTTGTCTGTTCAGTGTGTGACATCGCGTAGCTGCAATCAGCTGAATGAGAACGTGTCGCGGATGCTGATTTCGGGCGCAATTCAAAACACGACTCGACGGCTATTTCTGAATTGAAATCGAGATCCTAGAATATTGTTTTCTCGGAATATACAGCATTCACTGAGCTAAAAGTTCATCAGGTTAGTTATTAAGTACCCTTTTTTAGATTTTGAGCACTTTTGTTGCTTAAAAAAAAAATGCACAAATGACAATGATACACTCTACCTTTAACAGAAAGTCTTGAGCTGAAAGATATTTTGTCAGTTGAAACTATTTCAAAATATGAATAAATAATGACAACATACATGTACAGGCACGCCAAATTAACCTTACCGCTGCAAGCAGATTATGCTTTTAAGATTGCATTCATCCAAATGCTCAACGTAAGTTCTCAGTTTGCAGAGGCAGTAATGTGAGAGACACAGTACCGATAATTTGAAATGTCAATTGCGTGCTTCAGACAGCGTCCCTAAGGAACGTCGCTGCCCGTCACTCAATTTTTCAACTCGAGTTGGTCCAATTATCTCTGTGACTATGTTGTGTAATCTTCCTTAGCCTGCGAGGGACGCGTCCCCCGATGGACGATGCAAAATTGGTTATGGCACGCTGCTGTAATGGGTTTTGGTTGATACAGTCGGTAAAATGGGCTTAGTGGTTTACCGTAATATTCAGGATTATGCTCCCAGGAATTGGAGGGTAATGAAATTTTGTTGGATTCGCGTGAGTCTGGTATTGAGAAGTAGACGGGAAAATGGAGCAATTAAACCACTAAGTAAACGGTTGTGAACAACATTTGAGGCAAAAGAACTTTTTGAAATGTAATGGAGAGACAGCAGACAGTATGATTAAACAGTGCTCGTTGATGTAGCATCCATAATTCACAATATTTTGACTTGGACCTATGTGAGGTCATATATATTTGACACACATTAAGCCATCGGCCTCGGTCCAAAACATTTGGCCACCGGTATCAAATGAGGGAAATAATCGTCATAGCGATTTTTGGCAAGGTATACACCTCCAGAGCTGGAAAATATGTGATAGCATTGCAGCGGTGGCAGCTTTTTGGGTGCTATCACCCTTTTTTTCAAAATGTCCATCGAAATGCTTGTTACCACTCTAGGGGCGGTATACCTTGCGCATGCGCACTATAATCATTTATGCCCTGATTTGATACTGACCAAACCCCCAGGCTGATGGCCTACATGTGTACATGTCTTAATTATTTTCTAAATAAGGTTGCATCGGAAATTGCTGCTGGCAGTAACGCATGTGTGTATGGCAAGTGGATTCAGCCGTTCCATAGATGCTTACTACTAATGACTAAGCTATAGCCAACTTTGCTAAGCAATTTGGGCTTGGCCTTATTCTTAGTCCATGGGCCTTTGCACGGACGTTCGCATCACACCATCCACATTTTAGAAATAGAAAATACTATGTACGTTTTAAGTGTATATCTTCTAGTTGATGGAACAACCATCTGTTACTGCTGTTCGCTGATCATGTACCCCCCTCCCCTCTCCTCAGGGACAAGATGCAGAAGCAATCGGAGAAGGACTTGCACACAGGGATGAAGAAACTCATCACCAACCACAGCCGAGACTCGGCCATCGATGCCGACTCTCAGGAGTGGGAGACGGAGACGGTTGCCATAGAAACCGAGCGGGTGAGGAACTGCTTCGAAGAACACTTAATTACTTTTATGCAAGATGTTATACAAGATGTTATGTTACAAGATATTATGTTACAAAAATTATCAATCTTTATGAGCCTAGTAAAAAAAAATCCACGAACCCATTACTAATTATGCTACTACTGCTATTTCGACCAGCAAGACAGCACCATATATGTGAAGCAGGAGGTCGGGGGTTCGAGGCCCACCCATGTAAACTTGTGAAGGTTTTTTTAATTTTCTTACAGGCACTTCGAATCACTGAGGTTGCAGTGCTAACAGTTCTTAGTGATTGTTTGCATTGCAAAGTACATTAGACATCACAAAATATTCGTTGCAAAATCCGGCAGAGTTGAAATGCGTTCAACTTTTGCCAGTATGCAATGCAGATTGTTGATTTCAAAATCCCGCTTTATTTTTGAACTCCCTGCATTTGCTTCGTCTTCCTCAGGAGGATGGTGACGTCAGTGTGCTTGGGTTTGACTTTGGCGACAGTAAGGACCACACCCAGATCCCAGATGACTGCTCACTGATCATCACAAAAGTGGACAAGGGCAGCCTGGCGGACGGGAGACTCAAGTGAGTTTCAAATCTTAGGCTCTATCCAAATTACTTGGCTCTGCTAACCACATAATTCCGTGCTTATGATCACCATTTGATGCTAACAGCGCTAGCTGACAAATTCTGTGCTAACCCTGTAAGCACGGAATCCTTAGTTACGGGATGTGCGCATGCGCAGAAACCAAAATTCCTCTGAGTTTTGAGGTCGTCAAACTTCACTTCCACTTCCCCTGCTATGCTTTTTTTAACAAAGGCTAGTCACCAGCAGTCAGATCATATGTCAAGCAAGCACTGTGACTAGTCAAACTGGGTCAACAGACGAAGCAGACAAGCTGTGGTCACAGCTGTTTTATCACTCACCCGGAGTCAAAGCATAGCTGTATCAAGTTCATTCCAAGGCAGTCAATCCTGCTTTATGGTGGCTGGGAATTCTTACGGATTGAAACAGTCACTTGATTGATTTTGACTGCAAGGACAACTTGGCACAAAATGTGTGTTAATCACCAGGGGACAACTCAGAATATTCAGCTTGACTGATTCACAGCTACGATCACAGAAGATTATACAAACGTAATATTGACCATCTTTCTTCCTTGACCACAGAGTCAATGACTACGTGTTGAGAGTCAACGACATCGACCTGACCAATGGTGATCGGACTGTGGCTCTACAGGCCGTCAAGAAAGCTAGGGGCGTCATCAACATGGTGAGTGGTTCTGGAATGTTGCAGTTGAGATACTTGTGATGGATTGCAAGTCAGTCGCAAGTCGTGAAGTCCCAAGTCAACTCACAAGCTATCCAAAATGAACTGCGTATGACAACGGGCATTCCTTGTGACTGTTCAACCCCTGTTACTTGTGACTGGACTTGTGATTTACTTGTGACTGGACTTGTGATTTGCTTGTGACTGGACTTGTGATTTGCTTGTGATTGGACTTGTGATTTGCTTGTGACTGGACTTGTGATTTGCTTGTGACTGGACTTGTGATTTGCTTGTGACTGGAATTGTGATTGCTTGTGATTGGACTTGTGATTTGCTTGTGACTGGACTTGTGATTTGCTTGTGACTGGACTTGTGATTTGCTTGTGATTGGACTTGTGATTTACTTGTGACTGGACTTGTGATTGGACTTATGATTGGACTTGTGATTTACTTATGACTGGACTTGTGATTTACTTGACTGGACTTGTGATTTGCTTGTGACTGGACTTGTGATTTACTTGACTGGAATTGTGATTTACTTGTGACTGGACTTGTGATTTGCTTGTGACTGGAGTTGTGATTTGCTTGTGACTGGACTTGTGATTTGCTTGTGACTGGACTTGTGCTTTGCTTGTGACTGGACTTGTGATTTGCTTGTGACTGGACTTGTGATTTGCTTGTGACTGGACTTGTGATTTGCTTGTGACTGGACTTGTGATTGGACTTGTGATTTGCTTGTGACTGGACTTGTGAATGGACTTGTGATTTACTTGACTGGACTTGTGATTTACTTGTGACTGGACTTGTGATTTACTTGTGACTGGGCTTTTGATTGGATTGTGACTTGGGTTGCTTCAAACGAAAAAAATATGCACAAATGGCAAATGATGACATTTCGTAAAGATTAAAGGTAGAGTATATACTCTACCTTTAATCTTTATGAAACAGTGTTGGATAAAAAAAAACAGTACTTTAAGTACAAACAATTTTTCTTTTAAACTTTTGGACTTATTTTGTGCCCCTGTCGCCTCTTCTTTGTAGGGGCGGGTTATCCCCTTTAGATCTGGCGTTCCAGAGTTAGGCCCTACCAAAAAAGTCACTCTTAAATCTTCACAATTTGGATTCAAAGCGACCTTCAAAGGCCAGTCTGAAACTTCAGTGACTTTCCTCGAACACTGAACAATCAATCTGATCTATTACGAATTAGCATCGAGAATACTTACTGTGATGTCAACAGTTTGCATTTTGTGTTCATGTCAAGTATCAACCAGTCTCAAGACTTTCAATTGTCCCCAACAGGTTGTGAAAAGACGTCGCTCCTCTGGTGCCAAGTTCTGTCCAGTCACCCTCTTCCTGACCAACAAGGACCACGGGGTGACCTTGGAGTCTGGTATCTTCGTCAGCCGTATTGAACCTGGGTCTGCCTCAGCCAAAGAAAGTGGTCTGATGGTCGGCGATCGCATGGTCTCGGTGAGTTGGGTTTTTTATTTCCGTAATGTTCATGTGCTTGTTTTGTATTTGTCATATTTGTTTGTAAGATTTGTCCTGGTCGAATAAATAGTAATAATAATAATCATTACTGCGAATGGGTCATTTGGGAGACATTCCTATAGACAACATTTTTCAAACTTAAATGTGCCCTAACCCAATATTCCCTTGTCCTTTTTCCACGAATTTCGGTATTTTTACTAATTAGACCACGAGCAACAAATATAACCTGATTGCGACAGCAAAATTTTGCCTCTAAAGGGGGGCTGTGGAATTAGGGAGACATGAAAATGTCTCCCTAATGACCAGTGTCTCCTATTGTCGAAGAAATTACGATAACGTGTCTCCCTAATGGTACATTTGTGCTAATAATAATATTGCTAAATAAACAATTCAGTTCACCGGCAAATATTTTACATAACAAAATTATGCATTTTTATCAAGTTGTTATCTTGGTTCTACTTCAACTATATCCATGAGCATAATTTGATCTCAGAATTTACTCCTTTTAAGGTTTCTTCAAATTGTTCATATTCTATTTAACCCTAACCCTATTTTATTGAAATTGGAGGATTCAAGACTGTTAGGGTTAAAGAATAATCTTTTCAAAACAATTTTGTTTTTTGTATTCCCAACTGCAACAACTGTTTCTATAGGGAGCATACACTCATCAACAATTTTAGATTTCCATTTTTTTTTTCTTCTCCTTTTCTCATGCCAGCTGCAAATTTGCTCATATTTTGCGTTTAGAAAGTGTACATTTTTCCAATTGGTAGCGAATAATTTACTTGCTTTCTTCATCATAGGTTAATGGGGAGTCTGTGCTTAACAAGCAAGCCAGGGAAGTACAGGAGTCGTTAGACACCGTTGGGGAAGCAATCACTCTCAACGTCATGCGCGTCTCATCTCCATCCTCCTCCTCCGGGCTGCCGTCCAACGCCAGCCCGACGGTCGAATCGATCAAGAGCCACGAGACGTTATCCTCCAAGTCCAGCCTGACGCCCCTCATGTCCCCCTGCGAGGACTCGGAGAAGACTAAGAGCGGCCGGAATATCAGCATACAGACAGAAGTGACACTGTCACAACCGCCGCCACCGATCTCCCCCCCGCTGATGCGACACCAGCAAGATGCGACCCGCTTTGAGGACAAGGTGATTCAGAATCCCCACTTTCAGGGCAGGGACTACCTGCCCCCGGGCTCCAGAGGTCAGGGGTCGCCGGACTGGCAGATGAACCAGCCGGAGCCAGTTCAGTACTCGAGCACGAGGCCTCACGCTAACAGTGAGCCGGCACGCAGGCAGGACGGTGGGATGGCTTGGGACAGTCAGCATCAGCAACAGTGCAATCATGAGAATGCTTGGGCATACCCTTCACAGCAACAGCAGCTACAACAGCAGCAACTGCAGCAGCAGCAGCTACAACAGCAGCAACATCAGCATTCATGTCAGAGCTCACAAGACTTTAACCCCCATATGGAGGATTTCCGGGACAGTGTCAGACACTCAAGGGAAGGCTCCTTCGTGGGTTCGTCTCACTCCCGGCAGGGCTCTTCCCACTCTCGACAGAGCTCTCGTGAGTCATCGGGAAGGCATTCCGGATATCACACCTCCCACAGCAGTCACGAGAGCTTCCGGGAAAACAAACGACAGAACAGTTTCGAGTCTCGAGATCACATCGGCCACAATGACGCTCACAATCCACACGGTACCAAAGAAATTCCCTATCGGTCTCCACCACCGTCAAAACACGGGAACCACACGAAACAGGATTCCAAGGAGAACTATCCGCCTACCCAACCTCAGACAAGTGGTCCTGAGGAGAACAAGACCTCCCCGGCCATGATTCGGCCGCGAAGAGCGCGGGATGGTAGTCCGAGGGTTGACCCCTACACAGAACGCGGGGAGTTCTACCGTGGGGGTGGCCACGCTGAGAAAACGGAAAATAGCACCTGGCCCAAATCAAGAGGACCCCCAGAAGTGTACCTGACCAACAGGAAAAAACCGAAGCGTATCACTACCATTCCAATCATGAATCCCCCATATGAGAATGTGCAAAGCGACAAGAAAGGAGATGGAGACATGGTGCCGCCAAAACCTCCGAGTCGCAACTCCTCCTTGAAGGCCTCTAGAGATCGTCGACGGGAAATTGTTGAGAGGCATCAGAGATCTTCCTCAACCTCTGCAGGACCGGAGCACATGGGCGTTTCAGAGACAGCCCAACATGGGCAACCCAGTCAGCAACACCAGACTCCGAGTTACGGACATTCACAACCAACTCTCGAGAGTAACGACGGTGGCAATCAGAATAATAATCGAGACAGCCAGTCCTCGGTGGTGCACTACCAAGCTGGTTCCTTGCCGGATACCAGCGTCGACTACACTGTTGTCAGTGCGCAGCCAGAGGTAGCCACTCAATTCAGGCCGATTTCGACCCCCGTAATCCCTGGTACTCAAGGCCAAAATTCATCTGATTCCAAACGTGCAATTCGGCGTCGTGCCCCCCGCCCCGATCAGCTAGAACTCTCCCGCTACTCCCCCCAAACACCTCCACCCCATACCACAGGTGGTAGGCCATCGTGGGAGCATCACCATTCCGCCATGTCACAAAACATTGAGTTCCGATCGCAGCCAGCTGTCATGGTCCGACACTCAAACAAAGTCCCTTACTTCAAAGCCCACAGTCACTGTTTGACGATTTCCAACAGACCAGGCCGGCCTGCCCATTCCGCAATCTACATGCCTCCATACCCATCCTCGAACCACTCCATTTCACCCTCAACCCATGGCGACGATCGCTCTCCGTCGCGGGCCTCTCTACCGACTATTCCTGGAGGCTTCCAGGTCGACAGTCGACGTAACTCCAACCAGAGCTTTGACTTCGAGCCCCAACACTCAGCCCCTCACGGCTACAACCCAAGGGACGATGGGTTTGGTACCTTCCCTAAGAAAAGTGAGAAGAAAGTGACTGGATGGATGACTCAGAAATATCGTGTCAGCCCGGTAACTTGCCTGTCTACCAGCTCTGTAGAGAAAGGTACAATACAAACAAAACTTTGACACTTTTGGTTTTTAATTCCAGTGTTTTGGCAGCTGTGTGTAGATCTGACAGTAGAAAATCAAGACAAAAATTCAATATTGGGTTTTCTTCTGTTCACATTTAGCAGTACATGTATATTAGCGGGGTAGATAGGAGAAATATTTGGAGGGATAGTTCACTTTGATGGTAAAAGCATGGCATTTGGCACACAGTAAGCGTATGTCATGAGAAAGATATTTGGCTATGGGCTCCGTGCTTCAACAAAGAGGGCGCCCTTTTACCTAGCAATGATGTCCCATGGGCGGGACACATACATTTGGCTGGTTGACGCGTGCGCACCGTTCCTTGTGTGTGACGCACGTGCACCAGGGGATTTGTACTATGTACACACTGGCCGCGCTTCGCGGCAAAATATTGCAGGCAAGATGGCGTCGTTCAGTAACTCCCAACTGTACTTTCTTTGCCGGTGAGGGGGTACTTTTGAACGGAGCGTATAGGACTATTGCAGATTTGTCCTTTGAAAAATATAGGTAAAATAACAAGAAAGTTTCAATATGGTTGCCATTGCTTGTTATTCTATCTATATTTTTTTCAAAGGACAAATCTGTGATGTCCTATAACCAAATATCTTTCTCATGACATATTGTAACTGTGTGATGAATTCCCTGCTTTTATCATCAAATGAATAATCCCTTCACCTATCTGCTGTGCTATATGCCCAACGCTGTCTGAGAGTTTGCAAAAAATCTTGCACAAACTTGTTGAGATGGGACTCCCACCCACGACGTCCTGCTTGCCCTGCTCTGATGTAGCAGAGGGTACTTCACCAATCACTATCTTATATGATGGAATTTTATTTTTCCAAAGTTGCAAAAATGTGATGAGCCATATATTGTAACACCTTTAGACCATTATCATGTTTCGGCCATCATGATTTTTCCCATTCAAATCAACCTAACCAAAGCGAGGCTGAAAGGAAAAATTGTCTGGTTACTTTTTGCATAAAGAACGTTATCATTCAGGGCTGTTATTGGAGACAGGGAACATGACTGTAATGGTGGCAGCATGTTAAAGGTCTATTGATCACCCTTCGTCCATCTCAACAGGTTCTGTATCCTCAAGTTCTGGCGGACGCGACAACCCAATCTCCCTCAGTCAGTTCTCGGTCAGTTCGTCCGGTCGTAGCTCCGTCAGTTCATTCTCAGAGCCGGAGGTTATCGTACGGAGGTGTTCTGGGTAAGTTGATGTTCATCAAAAAAGTAAGACACTTCATGGCACTAAAGGAGCCAATTCCACCCCCCCCCCCCCATGACTACCTACCCTAGCTTATCGTTGACTTTTTATTGCATTGTACAGTCTTCATTATTGGGCTGTCAATGGCCACGTTGTGTAGTACAGTGAAACATCGCTATACCGAACACTGCTATACCGAACATTCGGCTATACCGAACATCATGCTTAGGCCAAAAAAAAAAGTCTCCGTTTTCTGGTATGCGCACGCGTCGCCGTAGCCATGCGCGTCGGCAAAATGAAAAAGTTTTTTTCTCAATGAAAGATGATGTCTCAAAACCACCAAACTCACTGGTTTGACTGGAATCCTGCTGCTACACAATTTTAACGTGTTTTAATATGGGGATATGATCGAGAATAAGCTTTATGTGGCCTCTCTGGACTCCCATATATTTGCACTAAGTTTAGTCGGGCACCATTTGCAGTCATCAGCCGACATTTGAAGCAAAAAAAAACGGGTAAAAAAAAAAAAGCCGCGTCGCCGCACCACTTTTTGGGCAAGCTCCATACCAGAAATTGGAGACTTTTTTTTTTGGCCTTAGCTCCCGATTTTTATGTTCAAAACGTTTACTGAAAATTTTTAATAGAAGAGTGACAAGTGGCTATTGTTACCCCAAGGAATAGAAGGGAAAGCCACCCATTGCTGTTGGTAGTAAGCTCAAAAACTGTGAATTACATAATTCAGGGCACACGTTCAGAGTTGTCTTTCAGTAACTACCAGGGCGCGCAGGGTGAAGTGAGTACCGGAACACCGGCAGCTTAAATCACTTACTGAATGATCGCTATAACATGAACCAAAAATTTCTGTGGATCCCGCGATGTTCGTTATAGCGGCGTTCCACTGTCTGTTACGCTTGCTACATTTTTCGTATTTTTATCTTCGTGGCCTCAGCTCCTCAGCTGGAACCCGCACCATTGAGATAGAAAAGAGCAACGAACCGTTGGGCATCAGCATTTTCCGAGGCAGTCGAGGTGGAATCTGTGTTCATACCGTAACGCCAGGAAGTCTGGCAGAGAGGGCCGAGCTACGATATGGAGAACAAATACTGGAGGTATTAAGATCAGTTTTCTTATGTCTTTAGCACTGTAATGTCATGGTCTGCAATGTTAGGTTTTGCCCTTCACCGACGTATAAACACTGTATGTTAAGTGTGTTACCTCCCGAGTGAAAGTTGGAAAAAAATCCTCGGGTGGGATTCGAACCCACGATCTCCTGCTTTCTGGTGCAGACGTCTTACCACTGGACCACCGAGCTTGCGAGATCGGTTGACTGAGGTTACACTGTTTATATGTAGGTGAAGGGCAAAACCTGATATTAATTTACACCACCCCAACATGAATGGTCTGCAATGGTCGGTAAGGGTTTGTGACTCATGATCAAAGGGTTTTCGTTTCAAGTCCTGCCCTGGTCAAGTGTTGTGTCCTTGAGCTAGCCACTTTACCCCAACATGGGAGTCTGGCAGTGAGGGCTGAGCTACGATATGGAGACCAAATCCTGGAGGTTACAAAAATCAATATTCTCGGTCCTTTTATGATGCAAAGAAGTGCTGTTAACTTTTTTCTCCTTACATTTATTTGAAATATAAAATGCTTTCTGTATAAGATGAATATGATGTGTATTTTTCATTCAATAGTTCAACGGACTAAACTTACGCCAAGCGACTTACGACCAGGCAGCCATTATCTTGAGCCAAGGGGGTAACAGCATCAGTATGCTGGTCATGTACAACGCTGAAAGTGAGTCTTGGCATTCAAAATCCTACAAAGTCCTACAAAATAATATGATTTTTTACTCACTGTAGCACCTGAAACCAAAAGAAACAATCGGTCAGATCGGATTCTCCCCCCCCCCCCCCCCCCCCCGGTCGAAAATACCCCCTCTTACCCTAGTTTTTATTTTGTACCGAAGAAAAAAGTACCTGGCTACAACTCTGTAACTGTGTTCCGTTTTCAGCAGAGATGCAGCGAGATTCAGTGTGTGACAGCGAGGAAGTCACGCCCACTTCCACGCCTGGGAGTACGCGCACCAACTCCCCCATGCTCAGCCGACCCCAGTCTGAAGTCTGCTCAGACACGGGAACAATGACCCCGCCCACCCCAAGGGCTAGCCGGATATACACGTGAGTACCCTCCATCCTGGTAAAGTGGATTGCTTAGGGACACAATACGATTGGCATCCTGGATATAAAGTTTTTAGCCAGATATACACGTGAGTTATATAACCCTCCATCCTGGAAAAGTGGATTGCTTAGGGACACAATATGACTGACATCCTGGATATAAAGTTCTTAGCCAGATATACATATGAGTTATATAACCCTCCATCCAGGTCAAATGGATTGCTTAGGGACATAATATGATTGAATTCCTGGATTTAGAGTTCTTAGCCAGATATACGTGTGCGTTATAACCCTTCATCCTGGTAAAATGGATTGCTTAGGGACATAATATGATTGACATCCTGGATATAAAGTTCTTAGCCAACAAAGTCACAGTTTGAGATGCTGTGCGACTTTAATTTTTTTTAGTTGATATCTGTCAGGAAGCTGTCTGCTTTTAGTAAAGTTTGTCGTAAAAATAAAGAATTGTGGGCTTTTCTAAAACAAAATTTCAATCAAAAAAATTCAAGGGCCTAACGTTTCAATCCTATTAGGATCTTTGTCAATGGCAAAAATTTAAGACAACGTTCAATTAGCCATCAAGTATGTGAAAAAAAAAATCCTAGTATTTCTGAGAAGATGGTGCATTGTAGATAGTGATTTGCATAAGAAAAAGTTTGTTCACTTGTTTTGCCTTGTGTCCAATGCCAAACCACTTCTGTTTATTTGACAAGAGAAACACTAAATGAAGCCACTTATCTACCGTCACCTTACGTTAGCAGTTTTTTCGATAGTTTTGATTTTGTGTTAAATACCTGAAACCACCAAAGAAGAATTTCAACACATGAATGGACATGCAGCCTTTCGCTGAAGATGATTGAGTTGATTATTTACATTGCTTTTTGACATCATCCTCAAATTTCCATCGAAAAGTGGACGGAAAACTTGGGTAAAACTTTTTCTGTCTATTTAAGATGGAAATTTAACGGTGATTTTAAAAATAAAAAAAGAAAGAAATGATTCAACACGTATTACATGTATCATAAGCCTGCATGTCCATATACATTTCAAAAAGTTTTTGGGTGGTTTCAGTACTGTAAAAAAAAATATTAGAACCATTGGAAAAACTGCTAGCATGATGGTGCAAAGTTGCCCATTTTGTTGTGTTTCTTGTCATTTTTATTGTTGCCTTTGTTTGTTTGTTTTTTTTTTTTTCAAAGTGCACCCAAAGAAGAGAACCTCCCATCGCCCAGCGAGCCTCGCTTTGTGTTCTTAGAAAAAAGTGGCAACAGTCTGGGGGTTGGGGTGTTCGGCGGCAATGCGGTGGGCATCTTTGTCTATGAGGTGCAGCCGGACGGAGTAGCGGCCAAGCCCAATGGATTACAAGTCGGGGATCAGATACTAGAGGTACTGATCAATTACTTGTCAACATTTCTTACCAAAAAAAAAGAGTGAAGTAGCAAAAATTAGGTTTTGAGATGTGTGATTGAATGTGTTTATTGGGTGTTTTTTTAATCTGGTCTGTGTTGTTTTTAAGCTCTCTGTGCTTCAATGGAGTGCTTTGGCCTCTCGGCCAAGTACATCAGAGTCCAGCCTGGGGTTATGGCGTGCATGTCCTTGGGCACGATTTTTATTATTAATCCAAGCAGAAAAATTTAATTCTATGTTGAATCATATCTTTCCAAACTTAAAGAAACTTAAGGAAAACATCACATGTTCATATGAAATTTGTATTTGTGGTTTTATATCAGTGAAATAAAATACAAAATGTAGGTTTAGAAATCAACTTGAATTTGATGAGAAATGAATTTGATAGATTGGTAAACCTTGATCAGTTGGCAAATTATTCCGTATTTTTGAACCTTTTGCAGTTCAATGGAGTTGACTTACGCTGTGCTACAGCAGAACAAGCCGCCATGGAGCTACAGAAACCAACAGAGAAGGTCTCCATACTGGCGCAGCACAACATCGCAAGTGAGTACTTGCACACACAAAACTAGGGCAATTTTGGGCGGTTCAGTAACACATGGGTTATGCACCGAAACTTGACACAAACTTAAATATTTTTGTGGTTTTCTCTGTTAGCTTGGTGTCTCTTGAAATTGGGATCTTGTGACAGAAATGCCCATTTAGTGTCCCAAATCTTTCCAAAACCTCCAGAATTCAACAAGATCAAGGACCAGCACGGTGACTCGATGTACATCCGTGCCATGGTGGATTACCAGGCGGAGACCGAGGACCAGCTAACCTTCCGTAGAGATGACATCCTGTACGTGGACGACACCATGTACAACGGCGTGGTAGGGGTGTGGTTAGCCTGGCTGCTGGATCCTGTCGGCAAGAAGACTAGGATGGGACAGATACCCAGCAAGGCACTGTAAGTAGAACAGGCAATCACAAGTCAATCACAAGGCCACCAAAAGTCAATCATAAGCCAATCACAAGGTAATCAAAAGCCAATCACAAGGTAATCAAAAGCCAATCACAAGTCAGTCACAAGTCGATCACAAAACAGTCACAAGTCAATGACATGGCAATCACAAGTCAATCAAAAGGCACTTAAAAGGTAACCGCAAGACAGTCAGTTGTCAATCTTAAGCAAGTCACAAACCAATCATAAGATAGTCACAAGCCAATCCAAAGCAGTCATAAGGCAATCACAAGCCAATCACAATGCAGTCACAAACTAGTGCACTGTCAAAAGGCAATTACAAGCTAATCGTAATGCAATCATGTCAGTCATACTCAATCATAAGGCGACCACAAGGTAGTCACAAGCCAACCACAAACAGTCATTAGCCCACCACAAGGCAGTCACAAGCCAAAATTTAAACAGTTTAGCCCACCACAAGGTAGTCACAAGCCAATCACAGAACAGTCACAAGCCCATCACAAGCCTATCACAGAACAGTCACAAGCCCATCACAAGGCAGTCACAAGCAAATCACAAACAGTCACAAGCCCGTCACAAGGCAGTCACAAGCCAATCATAAACTCAGTCACAAACAGGTGCACTGTTAACACTTGTCTCCACAGACTTCAGAAGGACCAAGCCCGTAAGCGTAGCATCTCCCAAGGTCTCCAGGAGGAGGAGCTACGCAACGCCTCTTCAAGACGCAACGCCGGCCCGGCCCGGCGTAGCCTCTTCCGGCGTAAGAAACACCAGCGCAACAACTCAGACAGCAAAGAGCACAGCGAGGGATCGGTGTCGGATGTGCCTATCCAAGAAGGTAAGCAGTCTTAAACCTGCTTAGAAGAAACTATTGCCGAGAGAATACACTGATCACTTAGCCCCGCCCCCACAATGTATTAATCAATGACGGCCGTTATTAGTGACTTACATGTGTGCACAGATCTGCAGCATGCTTGCACTCATAATCGCACGTCTGGAACGCACAGTAAAATAGTGTGCTTAGCAGCGCTTTGAAACTGGTCCAAGCAATATACCACATGAAATTTTGACTAGAAATAAAAACACAGCTGAGCAAATCACAGGCAGAGTACATATCATCATAATAAGGCTTTTAAATCTTAAACATTTATGTAATTTGTAAAAAAAAAGTTTGCTTGTAGCTTAATAAAATCGGCCCCTCTGGTGAACTGTTTCGAGGATAGGTTTGACACTGTTTTGAAAATTCTCTAGATTTTCCAATTCACGGAGCATATTTGAAAAGAATAGGAGGTTAGCTGCATGCTAATTTTGCATAACTTCAGTAAATTTGCATAACTTCAGTAAATTTGCATAACTTAATTCATTTTCATGTTAACTTGAATTTGTAACGTTTTGTCTTTCCACAGAGGCCGTCTTGCCAACTTACCAAAGGGTGGAACCATTGGACTGTAAGTTGTTTTGCAAATCTGGAAATGTCTTGTTCTATCAAACGTTTTGAATAAAAGATTCTTACCTTGAACACACAAACAAAACAGAAAGAGAAATGTGCATGGTTCCAAACTTGATTTGTAAATTGTCAAGTTATTGAAATTATACAAATAATGAAACGGCATTTATATAGCGCAACATGAATCAAGGATTCCTCAAAGCGCTTGGATATTCACATTTGGCATCATTCAATGTGAGAATCTATGCATCTTGTGTTTCATGAAGAGTTTAAGACGGTGTCAGAATAAAGTGGTATTTTACACAAGAAATTTGTTCTCACTTCACATGTTTAAAGCTGGACAGGAAGACATCCAAAAAGATCCTTACCTTGCGATTTATTTTCAGTTTATAAAAGATCACTTCCAGTTTTCTTGGAATGTTTTTGTTGATCTCTCTTAGATCACATCAAGCGTCCAGTTCTTCTCCTAGGTCCCTTAGCAGACCGAGTCGCTGCCAAGATGGTGGACGAATCACCTGACAAATTCAACCGATGCTTGCCAAGTAAGTCATACCCCACCCCATGCCCCCTTCCCACTCTCTCCCCCTCCCCACACCCCTTGCTAGATTATTAACCATCCCCTCGCATTAGTTGCTTTGCTGTGACCACCTCTTGACTTTCCAGCGACCTCATTAGAGTACAAATATTTCTCACGAATTTGTGGAAATTTCTCAGGGAAATTTCAGGGAAAACTCGGGGAATTTTGTTTTCATAAACGGATGGGAACCGGTGTGCTTGCTGAAGTATCAGCACAAGTGAGAGAAATGCAGCAATGCATGGGTACCAGTTGATGATTTCTTCGTCTTGTTTTGAATTTTAGAAATTGTCCGGACCTCTTCAGAGATATTGCTGAAGGACTTCGAGAACAACGTCTATGTAGACTACCGACGTCGCGACAGTCACTTTGAGTGCATCCACGCAGCTACAGTGAAGGAAATCACCAAGAAGGTAACAACTAATATTGAATTTACATCACCCCGATGCAAACTCCATCTTATGAATAGGTTCATTGCTACATCAGATTCGAACCAGCCAACCAGTCCCAGCAAGCTTGGTGGTCGAGTGGCAAGACGTCTGTACTAGAAAGCAGGAAGTCCTGAGTTATAGTGTTTCATTTTTTCTTCGTTTTCTCTTTCCTTTAGGGTTGTCACTGCATTCTGGACGGAGTGTCTCCATTTGCCACGGAGAGGTTGCAGATGCTTCAGCTGTTCCCTATCGTCATCTTCATCCGTTACAAGTCAGCGAAGCAAATCAAGTAAGAAAAAACAGCCACCCAACCCCCACCAGGCCACAATGTTTGTCATCATTTGATCAAATCTCTGCAACTTAGTCGATCCAACCTGGTTCCTCCAATCCGAAAGAGAAACAGTCTCAACAATCTCAGACAATCCCAGCTCCCTGGGGAGTATGAGCTCGGTGCGCCAACAAAAGAGGGCGCCCTTTTACCTAGCAACGAGGTCCTATGGGCGGGACATTTAGCTGGTTGACGCGCACCGCTCATTGTGTGTAAAGCACGTACACCAGGGGATTTGTACTATGTACACGCAGTGGTACGGCACCACGTCGTGGCAAAATTGCAGACAGGCAAGATGGCGTCGGTCGGTCACCCCCAACTGTACTTTGTTTGCCTATGAGGCCACTGCAATAGCTTTTGCAAAGTCATTCCAGAAGATTAATCCGTGAAAATTTGATCTTTCCAAATCAAATTGGACGTTGGGAGAAGTATTCAAACCAAATCTAGATCTGTATTGTTCTTCTCCTCCACCGAAAATGTCCATTGTTCTCTCCTTTGCAGGGACCAGAAGGACCCCCTTTACATCCCTGACCGAGTCTCGCATCGCTTGGCCAAGGAGATGTTTGAGCAGTCGCAGAAACTGGAACAAGAATGTCGAAACCTCTTTTCAGGTAAAACTAGGAGTAGATGATCTCTCCCCATCTCTCAGGCACACTTGACAACATTTGCGAAGAAAACCTCCTGTTAAAGGCACACACAAGGATTACTAGCATTTATCCCAAAAGTAAACCTACCAAATTATTTTCAAAATGCTCTTCTTGATTAGAGATCGTACTGGTACTAAACACCACATGAAATTATTCCATCTAGCTTGCTATCATTAAGTAGAAGTCAAGAAATGTAGGTAATTCCCAATGACCAGGCAGTTGACTGATGTTTGGAAATACAGAATGCTATTGACAAAATCTTGTTTCGTGATCAAAATGTTGTGCATGGTTTTTTACTGTTTTCTTGAAAAGCCACTGAGCTGAAACTTTAACAGGTTTGATTTTGAATATTCTTCTTTGGAATTTGAGTGGTGTTATTATTGGAAACGAACAAAATGCATGAAAAGCAAATGATCATATATGCCTTTAACCATTAGCAATTGTACTACATTCTATTACATTGTGTTTATTCACTGAAAAATTTCTTAAAAGCATTTTGTACTCAGTGGCGGTTTTGGGCAAAACGGGGAGTAATAGGCAGGGTGGTTTCAATGCTACAGTGAATAACGGGTAAAGACAATGTGCCAGCGTAGACATTTTTACATTTATAAAGCTTGCCCCTACTTCACGAAATTCTACTTTCTCTTGAATAACTGAAGAAAAAAATTTGTTCCAAACCCCGATACCCTTCAACCTAAAAAAACCCTCACAACTGCATTTAAGGAGTGTGAGTATTTCACTGTGGTGCATTGTTCATAATGCCAGATTCCACCTACAAAATTATAAACACAACCATTTCATTTCCTTTCAATCCTTTTTCTCACGTGTGTTTTTGAACAGATATTGTCATCGGCGGCAATCTGGCCAGCGTCTGCACCAAAGTCAAGAAGGTCATCGACAAAGAGCAACATAAGACGGTCTGGGTTCAGTCAATATGCCCACTGTAAACTCACGACCGGGGATAACCAACTTTGGATGTAACAGGAGCAACTGCTCTTAAAGACCTTTGGTTGACTAATGTGGTTGATTTGTGTTGTATGCCTATTCCTCCTCAATCCTACAAAATCAACTAGGCACTTTGGAAGGATTTTGTAGGATTGAGGCTGTAAGCTGGCTAAGTGCCCATTGTTTTTGGAGGATGCATTGTGTCAAGGTCTTAATCTGAACCTTGTGTTGTTTATGCTTAGCCGTGCTTCAGTTTAGGCCTAGATTATACTTGATATCCCCCGCACTGCTTCTTAATGGCATCGACACGCAAGTCGGACTTTAATCACGGTTGTGATTGGTCAAAACGACATTGGGGGCGGGGTTTAACAAATTGGTCTATTGTATTCGGATTATTACATACTGTTGAGTCTTTTGTGCACTCTCGTTAAAAAAAAATCTTGCTCAAAAATAAAGATCGTTGTATTTTTGGATGGGCTACATTTTACGATTTGAATTAGAAATCCAACATCGTTTGCGAAGGTGTGTGTCTAAGTGTGTGTGGTTTTCCTTTACTTTTAAAATTGTTGTCATTGTAGATGTAAATATTCTCATTGGAGGCATTGCAATGGCCGGCATTGTAACGTTACAAGAGCTTGCATTTTGATAGCAGATAATTGGAATAACTTGCTTTGCCATAGTAAGTATTGAAGTAGCCCGCATTATACAATAGCTTCCATTGTGATAGCAGAAATTGCATAAGGTTGCATTGTAAAAGCATGTATCACAATAGCTTGCCTTGGTGATAGAAAATATTACTATAGCTTCCATTGTGATAGCAGAAATTGCATAAGGTTGCATTGTAATAGCAGGTATTACAATAGCTTGCCTTGTGATAGCAATTATTACAATAGCTTGCCTTGTGATAGCAGGTATTACAATAGCTTGCATTGTGATAGCAGATATTACAATAGCTTGCATTGTGATAGCAGGTATTACAATAGCTTGCATTGTGATAGCAGATATTACAATAGCTTGCATTGTGATAGCAGGTATTACAATAGCTTGCCTTGTGATAGCAATTATTACAATAGCTTGCCTTGTGATAGCAATTATTACAATAGCTTGCCTTGTGATAGCAGGTATTACAATAGCTTGCATTGTGATAGCAGGTATTACAATAGCTTGCATCGTGATAGCAAATATTACAATGGCAGAATTGCACTAGATTGCATTGTGATAGCAGGTATTACAATAGCTTGCCTTGTGATAGCAGGTATTACAATAGCTTGCATCGTGATAGCAAATATTACAATGGCAGAATTGCACTAGATTGCATTGTGATAGCAGGTATTACAATAGCTTGCCTTGTGATAGCAGGTATTACAATAGCTTGCATTGTGATAGCAGGTATTACAATAGCTTGCCTTGTGATAGCAGGTATTACAATAGCTTGCATTGTGATAGCAGGTATTACAATAGCTTGCCTTGTGATAGCAGGTATTACAATAGCTTGCCTTGTGATAGCAAGTATGACAATAGCTTGCCTTGTGATAGCAGGTATTACAATAGCTTGCCTTGTGGTAGCAGGTATTACAATAGCTTGCATCGTGATATCAAATATAACAATGGCAGAATTGCACTAGATTGCATTGTGATAGTAGGTATTACGATAGCTTGCTTTGTAACAGGAATACAATATATTTCATTGTTACGGCAAGTATTACAATAACTTCATTGTAATCGTTATGTTACCTTGCATTGTGATACCAGATATTGCTAAACTTGCTTTGCCATCGCAGGTATTGCAGTAGCTAGCTTTACAGTTGCTTGCATTGTAATAGAAAATATTACAATGGCTTGCAATGTGATAGCAGATATTCCAAAAGCTAGCATTGTGATAGCAGATATTACAATAGCTTGTATTGGGGTAGCAGGTTTGAACTACTTAACTTTAATAACTATCACAAAATATCTCTCCAAGATAGCTGAAACAATAGTCACAGTACTTGTGATTTTAGAAAGACTTGCATTTCATTTGATATTTAAGAATATTTTCAAACACTAGAGATAGTTGCATTCTTTCTTTTACACATTTGCATTTCTGTATTCAAAAGCGTGTGATATTCTTTTTTTGTTTCATTTGTTAATAGAAGAAGTGGAAATAAAAGTAGTGTTAATTTATCATTGCTGTAAAAATGACACGTTTGTAATATGAGTTTTCGCCAAACTGCGTTCATAAGCTGTCTGGCTGCGAAGCAAATTTGAAAGAAATTCATGATTGTACATAAGAAAAAAAATTACCTTGTATAGAGACAACTGCCAGTGGATGAAATAATTTAAGGAATTAAAAAGAAAAAAAAATGCACTGCTCGTAAATTCAGTACTTTGTATTATAAAGATAAATATTAGTGGGTTCTTGTGATTATTTATTAGATGAAGTGTTTAAAGATAGAATTGGATTTCATGCCATTCTCGAAAGCATCCAAGAATTTTTACCATTGATTGGTCACGTGCTCCAGGCCAAATGGGTGACCAATATGCGTAATTTTTTTTTTTTTTTTTTCATAGGGAGAATTTGCATTTGACTGTTGATATCTGTATGTTGCCGTCATAGATCAGTACCTTTTGCCTATTTAATAGTAGTACAATTGTTTGTTTGGTTTTCTGCTTAGCAAAAAAATCATGTAAATGTACAGGTCAAACATTTTGCTTACGTCATGTCATCATTAAGCGTGCTATGTCGTATTTACGTCTCAAGTTTTAAACATACAGCATGATATTTCGTATTTTTTTAAAATAAAATTTGCTTACATTAGCACAGCTTTGAAGCAAAAGAAAGATTGCGATTGTTAAATACCTTTTAAGCATCCAACTTTAAAAATTAAGTCGTTTCACCGAGCATATTTTGCACCTGTTAGAGGAGTTGTCACTCAGATTTTGTTTACATTGGATTTGTTTGTCAACAAATTTTGATCTTGGGTATGCAGATTAGTCACATGGTTTGTAGATTGCCTTCAGTTTTTCATTTAATATCCAATGTGTCAAGGGATTTTGTTGAGATTTCAAAAGGGTACTGAAGAAGCATAGTATCTCGCTCAAGTCAAAAAATGTTATTCAATTTGTGTGTGAGTGCATGTGTGTTTCAACACAGTCAAGTCATAACTGAAGAACAATTTTGCAGTTATGCAAAAGAAATTTTGTCCCAGACTATTTAGATGAGAGATTTATGCTTTCATGTTAAACTTTTGGCAGTGCTATGAGTGAGCAGTGCTTTATAAGGGCACAGGAGTCATGATGGGCATCAAAAACAAGTCGTGTACAGTTGACATGGTAAAAAAAATTGACTCGTTTGTAGTTAGTGAAATCCTTTTAGTTGACCACTCAAAATTCAAGATACAAACTCATTTTTTTTTTAGTGCATTGCAAAAGCAGAATTTGAGAAACGCAAGCATTTGGTTTGTGTACGTATTTGTGCACTAGTGTTCAAACATGCGATAGTCTAGCTAATATAATCTGGAATATTCATCTTGAAGCAGGATTTAAATATCTTAATCGACTGAACAAAATGCGTGTTGGTCTTTTTTTAAATATGTATAACTGTAATCGACGTAAATGAAATGAACAAAAGGATAAATTAATGATCAGATGTATTTGTAAGAGTATTCGGTACATTTTTTTCTCAGCATTTTTTTACCAACCAAACAATGCACAATGATTGTAAAAGTCTATGTGATTGCGTGTGCGTGTGTTTGTATATATGGCAACCAACCCGTAATTAAAATGTTGTGATTTTTCATTTTTCATGAATCAAACTTGAGCGTCAAATTTGAAGGATGTAACTTAAATGCTGATTGACATGATTTCATATAATAATATGAGATTTGATACGGTTGAGTCTTTTTCTTGGGATGAAGGGGATAAAAATGCCCCTGCCCTCTCTTAAATTAAAAAAACAATTGACCTTGTATTAAATTGTTTGAAATTTAAACATTTGGAAATTATATTTATGGCTCTTCTGAAATGTTCATTACTACTAGCCTGCCTCTCCCAGCTAAAAATACCTAGATGTATTTTATTGAGCAGAGGGTGCTTTTGTTTGCTAAAAGCCTAACATTTCTGGCCAAGACCTTGTTTTTGATTTGCCTCCTTATAATTAAATTAATAATTGTAAAATAATAATTTCTGTTGCAAGACGTGTCTCCTCAGCAAAATGTATTCTTAACTTTAAAGATGTCATTTCAATGACAATTATTTTTGCATGTTAATGGTCGCACTAGGAAAATACTTCATAGAATTACAAATTAAGAATCGCAAGTTAAATCACCTTTCCACAAAAAAGGCAGCTTCAGATAAAATCTGCTATTTCACACAATAACACCTCCAACTCTATCTGGTAAATGAAAAGCATGTTTGATACTTTATGTAATTGTAGTCTAATTTGGGATCCAAGAGGACTATTCTGGGGTTGGGGCAAGCAAAGTTCATTTGATAATTTTGTTAGTCTCCATGTTTGTTGTGCTTCATTGTGCAGTGGTAAGCTGTCTTGTTACAAAGAACAAGTCTATTAAAAACAAAAAGGAACCTAGCTCCTAGAGCAAGAAAGAAAAAAGAGGTTTTGATTTTCAGATGTGTGTTCTTTCTTAAAGATGTTTTGAAACCAAACTTAATTCTGTTCTGATGTCTATATCCAGAAGAAAAAAAGTAACATATGGAATTCAACCCATTCTGCGACTCTTTCTTTTTGACCCCAAAAAGCACCCATAAAAATCAGCATTAGCTCGAACCATAAGAATAATATCAAAAAATTTCCCCAAGAGTTGGGAGATCAAGGGCCGAGAAATTCCCCCCCCCCGAAAAAAGCTGTCCCACCCATTCTAAATAAAAGTCAATTGTTGAGGATTAAACATTTATTTCCCGACCTTCTTTGAGCAACCTTTCTTTCTAAATTCTAGCCCCTGACCACCCCCCCCCCCCCCCCCATTCTGACAAATCCAGGACAAAGCGCTGCCCCCCCCCCCCTGTCTCCGATCCCTCGCCACGCCCACCCAACTCCCAATGCCGCGCCTATTTTCGGTCGGGAACCAGCCTAATGGGAACCAGTCTAATGCGTCCCTGGGCCGTTTTAGTATGGTAGCTATTAAAGGACACTCTAGACAAAAACAAATTGTATACAGTTTGCAAGAGGGCTACGAAAAATAATGAAATAGGATACTGCTTTCTCCAAGCTTTCAACTGAGTCATTTCAGAATTAACTGTCTATAGCTAAGGTCTATATCAAAAGTCATTGTTTGTATTCATTGGTAATGATTTCATCAGTTTTATCCTAAGGTCTGTCATGATGTTGACCTCAGTCGTGAAATACATCATGTGCAGCCTGGAACGGTCTCATTGTGTCTTACGCTGACAGAGGATCGTGATCTTGACCTTGATCTTCATCATGACATCAGTCGACGTCACACTGCCTATGTCATGCTTACAACACTAATGTAAGATGATGTCATTAATCATTGTGCCTACAGGTACATATGGCAGAAAATACATGTACATGTACATGTACATGTCTGCATGATTAATTAAACACATGCACACCTAAAAAAAACACATGCCTATGTAAACACATGCATAGGCCTACCTAACTAATAACATGTTCATGTACATTATTATTGTATTCTATACATCATGACTAAGTAATGGTTTAGGTTGTGGTTTTATTGTAAGCCTATACAACTTCATGATCTTTATCTTGGATTCTCATCTTAGATCGCATTCAGGATACTCTGATCTCTGACCCTTGATCTTAGATTTTTTTGATCCCTGATCTTGATCATGATTTAGTACTCCTTATATATATACAGTCGTCATCGTCTTGAGAACTAATTTATCATATATTCCTTCTCAGATAACTTCCTCATCATTGCACGGGTCTCGTGTTGCATCTGTCTCCACGAAGTTCATCTATTCACTAGGCCTAAGACTAATTTTACCGTTTTCTTTGGAAAATAAGTTTGTGAAATGCAGTTCATATGCATTAATCTGTACTCTTTGAACATTCTTGACAAATTGTGCTTTGAACTCATTTTACAACTTCCTTCATTTAGGTTCTCCATGGCTTTTGTGAGTATGTGTGGTTCTGAAAGTGTATTGTGTCGCAACACGTAGCAACACTTAAAGATGGGCTGCAGTGGCAGTCCAAACAGACCATTTGCCTCACTTTTGCACAGGAACGACGACATGCTATCTCAAAATTTAATTGGAGCATTGAATTGAATTTTGGCCAGATGATTGGTCACGAAAAGAAGACAAATAGACAGAAGATTTAAACGAAATATTGTTTTTCTCTCCCTAAACAGTGTCTTGTGTCGCAACACGTAGCAACACTTAAAGATGGGCTGCAGTGGCAGTCCAAACAGACCATTTGCCTCACTTTTGCACAGGAACGATAGTCCAGGAGGACATGCTATCTCAAAAATTAATTGGAGCATTGAATTGAATTTTGGCCAGATGATTGGTCACGAAAAGAAGACAAAATAGACAGAAGATTTCAACGAAATATTTTTTTTCTCTCCCTAAACAGTGTCTTGTGTCGCAACACGTAGCAACACTTAAAGATGGGCTGCAGTGGCAGTCCAAACAGAACATTTGCCTCACTTTTGCACAGGAACGACGACATGCTATCTCAAAATTTAATTTGAGCATTGAATTGAATTTTGGCCAGATGATTGGTCACGAAAAGAAGACAAATAGACAGAAGATTTAAACGAAATATTGTTTTTCTCTCCCTAAACAGTGTCTTGTGTCGCAACACGTAGCAACACTTAAAGATGGGCTGCAGTGGCAGTCCAAACAGAACATTTGCCTCACTTTTGCACAGGAACGACGACATGCTATCTCAAAAATTAATTGGAGCATTGAATTGAATTTTGGCCAGATGATTGGTCACGAAAAGAAGACAAATAGACAGAAGATTTAAACGAAATATTGTTTTTCTCTCCCTAAACAGTGTCTTGTGTCGCAACACGTAGCAACACTTAAAGATGGGCTGCAGTGGCAGTCCAAACAGACCATTTGCCTCACTTTTGCACAGGAACGATAGTCCAGGACGACATGCTATCTCAAAAATTAATTGGAGCATTGAATTGAATTTTGGCCAGATGATTGGTCACGAAAAGAAGACAAACTAGAGGTATGCGTCTGTTTTGAACAGAGCACACGGCTTTTCCGTTGTCCTTTTTTTTGTGTTTGATAATATTTGTTTTAAAAAATCGGACAAATGACTCTGAAAATCTGGCTATAGGTTGGTTCTTTTAAATTTGTTTCGAAGTTTGTAATTGATCGGATTCAAGATAATTCCGAACTTGTCAATTGAAAAACGTAATGAAACTTTGGAAATAATATACATTAAAAATCAATTTAAAAAATAATGATGACGTTAACATGACGCATTTTTTATTTTAAATATAACATACACATAACTGTATATTTGCCAAGTTTCAGCCCAATTGGCTTGCTAGAACGATAGGTATAAAATGTTTAAATTATAATTTGTAAGATGAGGTCACATGACTAATGACGACGTCATTATGATGTGACTTGTTTAAGACCAACTTTACCGAAGGGCCTTGTACTGTGCGTAGTTTAAAGTTAATAATGATCCTATTTCATGTACAATTTTGCAAGTAGAAGAAAATGTCAAAGTTTAAAAAAATTATAACAAATCAAGCGATGACGTCATCATGACGTCACTTCGGATTTCGCATACTAGTAACTGTATCTGCATATCCACCAAGTTTCAAGACGATCAGATTTACCCTTATATGTGAAATACAAAAATCGCATTTTTGATGACGTCATCATGACGTCATGCACTTTTCACTTTTTTGGTCCACGTATGCATTACCTAACAAACCCATTGCAAAAAGAATTTTGAATTTACCATGTTCCGTTGATAAGATATGGTTTGAGGGTCCAAAACTTCAAAAATTCTTATAAAATCACACGATGACCTCATCGTGACGTCACTCCAATTTTTACCTATAACACATCCCGGTCTACCTACATACCAAGTATGAACCAAATTGGAGTTACCATTCTCGCGATATAGGGCCCTAAAGTATGCACCTTTAAGATGACGTCACATGACCCATGATGACGTCATCATTGCGTCTATCTTCGCGAAAGACCTTTGCTATAATTTTATGTTCTTTGACTATGTAAAGTTTCAATGTTATATGAGTATGCTTTATGCAAAAAGTGCCGATGAGAAAAAACGTGCACAAAGTCTATGGCATTTTGGTTGGAAGTCCCAAGAGGGAAAAAAAAAAAATAATAATAAAATAAGTACAGAAACAAAGGCTTTTCCGCAAATAAGCGGAAAAGCCAAATAGACAGAAGATTTAAACGAAATATTGTTTTTCTCTCCCTAAACAGTGTCTTGTGTCGCGACACGTAGCAACACTTAAGATGGGCTGCAGTGGCAGTCCAAACAGAACATTTGCCTCACTTTTGCACAGGAACGATAGTCCACGACAACGTGCTATCTCAAAAATTAATTGGAGCATTGAATTGAATTTTGGCCAGATGATTGGTCACGAAAAGAAGACAAAATAGACAGAAGATTTAAACGAAATATTGTTTTTCTCTCCCTATGAGGGAACTGTGGCGCACCCAGGTTTTGGCTGGGGGGGGGGGGGTCTACTAAAAATTGCAAAAAATGTTGCCCAAAATTGTTGGCTGCAGAAAAAAAAATCGGCGTTTTCTTCGGGGCGGGCTTTTTAATTACACCCCTATTATACATGTACTTCTCAAAAATATGCCACATACATATCACCAAGGTCAAATCGTGGGACTAAAACAAACAAATTACACCCCCCCCCCAAAAAAGTAAAACAAATTACAACCTCTTGGGGGGTTCAAGCCCCCCGAGCCCTCCCCCCTCCCCCTCCCCACTGGGTGCGCAAAACACTGTGAGGGAACTCAACGTCTCAGACTGCCCGTCGTCAGGAGACTGACATTGACTGAAGAGACGAATAGATCTGCACGGAAAATCCTATCGCTACGGAATACGTAAGCAATGACTTACCTAACTGTCCACTGTGTCATGTCCACCATGTCCTCGTCCTTTTGATGTTTACGAATTATTCTAATGCGCAGCTAATGAAATTCGGTCTCCTTTAAGTTCAAAGGTTAGTCTAGTATAGTAAGTGGAGAGAATTAAGACTTGGGGTTGAGTTCTTAGGAAAGAACACAGCAGGTCAAGTGAGAGTCCGGTAAAAAAATACCGAGCGTTTCATTTCGCTCACGTTATCGTGCACTGGTCCACTGCCAATATTGCCGTGAATTACAGAGCAAAACCAAACCACGACAGCTTAAAAGTTTTCCCGAGTTACCTACAATTATTAATATCGTCACTGTTCTAAAAAGCGTCAAGTTCGGGAATATTTTAACGCTGAAAAAGAAGGCGAAATAATACAGCAGAAATACTTACAATGTGTAAAAGTACGGCGTCCATCTTGAAATGCAAGCGGAGTGGGCAAAAGTCAGACGACAGTTCTAGGCTAGGCGTAATGCGGTTAAAAAAACCTGATCACATATACTTTCATCTCTACGCAAATAAAAAGTCACAGTTTTTCTATGTACATCTATGTAGCCTTATGAGCCCCCCCCCCCCCCCTTGTGATATAATACAGAGATGGAGTGCTTCATGCTGAAAAGGACACCATCATAAACTTTATATAATAAGAAAAATGGGTCCTATTTTTTTTGTGTTCGCCTGCGGACTAACACGAACATTGCCGTCGATGTCTCACGAGCAAGTGAATGAGCGGTTCTGATTGGTCGAAAGTCATTAGGAATGTCTGGGTTGCTAGATTGGCAGAGACACGAAATTTGCATGTGACATGTGCATGCCCTTATTTATAATTACTGTAGCAGATGACAATTATAGTTTATTTGCATATTTTATCGAGATACCAAAATCGGAGGTCAAAGCATGCTACTGTTCACTTATTGTTCACACGACGGTTGTTTTATGACTGTTTTCTAGACTATGTTTTCTGAATGTACTGTAGCAACCCATGTAATAGCAACTAATCATGAATTGTGGGCAATTTTGGGCCGATAACTGGTGTGCACCCTTATAAACACGGTAAGTTCAAGCTATTGAACATTTTGCGTGTTTCGCTCGTACCCCCGCCCTGTTCAATTGCAGGGCTGGGGTACGAGCGAATTTGCGTGTGGCATCAGGTACAATCGAGTGCCTCCGGGTCATGCCATTTGACAATCGATCAGTTATGATGGAGCAATTTATCAGTTAAACTTAAAGCTTTGCTGTCGTAAAATATACCAAATTTTCCAACTGATTTCTGAATTTAGACGTTTTTGAATTTCCCTAAACCCCATCCCCCTCTTTTCGAAAGTTCACCAAAATGTCGATGTTTGGGTGAGTAGTATAACTGGAAGATTACATTTTTTCCTGCGAATTAATCATTCAAATCGTTATTCAATGCCCTTTCTAGTCCACCGTACGTGGAACATTCCTAGTAAATTACGCTGGTTCTCTAACACTTTTGGTGTAATAGTGAATGAGTGCGGGGTACCAGTGCACGGCATGACTATCACGTTGTAAATTTTTGTCTTTCTTTCCGCCGTAGCGCTGTTCGAGAGAAGGAACGGTTTTGTTACAGTAATCGCCTCTGTTTTGGCATCTTTCACAATTGCTCTTATATTTCGACGATTTGTGTCCACCATGGCAAAGCCCAGGGTCTTCTTTGACATGACCGTCGGTGGTGAACCAGTTGGAAGGATCACTTTCGAGGTATTTGGACGTTAAAGAGATTGATCTAGCGTAGGCTAGATTTTTACTTTTAGAATAATAGAAACCAAAATGTACAGTCTCGTGGTTCCGTGGTACAATGATCAATGCAAGGGGCCTACTGCATGCACCAATGGTAGGGGCCTAGTAGTAGAACTATGACTGTAGGCATGTCACAGCAATTTCTTAAAAAAAAAAATGGGTTTTCTGTTTTACATTTTTGGAAAGATCTTGGCAAAAGAAGAAAAAATCTTTCTGAATCATCAATTTTGGTAGCTTGAGTGACTCCAGCTGACATGCTCATATTCATTCACATGTAGCGCTGGAGGAAGGCCTGTGCGTTTCCATGTGGTAGTAGCAAGAGACCCTAAAAAAATGGCCTCTCCCAAAAATTGTTCATTTTCACCTCTAATATCCCACCCCAGAGTTCACCCACATACCTCATACATTCAGCAGTTATTTACGAAGCCTAATGATCGATTTGAAACAAGACCAAAAAAAAAAAAGTGAAAAATCTTGACGATTTCGGTGGCTTGTCCGTAAAAATACGCCTGTTCCAACGGCTGTCTTCCATTTTGTTTTGCTAATTATATTAATGTATGCATCACGTGATGACATAAAAAAAATCGGCGCGCACGATGTATTTGGGTACCACACCGCTTTCAGGCGCCGCAAGTGAGTTCAATTTTCGTCTGGTGCGTTGCCGTGGAGAGCATTCTCGTTGTCTTGCTTTCCGCGACAACGCACCAGACGAAAATTGAACTCACTTGCGGCGCCTGAAAGCGGTGTGGTACCCACATACATCGCGCGCGCCGATTTTTTGATGTCATCATCACGTGATGCATACATTAATATAATTAGCAAAACAAAATGGAATACAGCCGTTGGAACAGGCGTATTTTTACGGACAAGCCACCGAAATCGTCAAGATTTTTCACTTTTTAATTTTTTGGTCTTGTTTCAAATCGATCATAAGGCTTCGTAAATTACTGCTGAAATTATGAGGTATGTGGGTGAACTCTGGGGTGGGATATTAGAGGTGAAAATGAACAATTTTTGGAGAGGCCATTTTTTTAGGGTCTCTTGCTACCACATGGAAACGCACAGGCCTTCCTCCAGCGCTACATGTGAATGAATATGAGCATGTCAGCTGGAGTCACTCAAGCTACAATTTTGGTCAAACGGTTTTTGAAAAAGAGCGTGTTACTAAACATGAGTGACTAGGCCTACTATTTTGATGCATATTTAAGAGTCGAACTGTAAATGTGTATTTCATGTATTTGGTGACAAAAAGCAATTTTTGTGTCAATCTAAATCAAAAACTAGACATTAAATGGTTGTTTCACATATTTATTCAAGAAATGTGGTGTAATTTCTACACAAAAACAATAAATGTTTCATTTGTCATGAATAAAATATTAAATCATAAAAACTGTGAATTGTCGACCGAATTCCTTCGTTTTATGCATGGTCCTCTGAAAAAAGACTTAAGCCCAAAACCAGCGGGTGTAAGAATGAAGAAATGAACAGCCAAATTGCTCGGGCATATCATTCTACTACACATAATGGCTGTTACTTTAGCTGTCATTACCACATACTCGCTCATCATGATTTTTATTCACTGTTTTGAGCTCTTAAACTTTACAGTTGCTACTTTTTGTCAAACATATAAATCAAACTTATCAGAAATGTTCAAATTTTCAACTGAGGACGGTAATTTTTGCGATGTACATCCACTGGTTGAGGCGATTTTGCAAATGCAGTTTCGACCATATCAGCACCGTACGCACGTATATGACGTACGCACGTGCCTCACACAAAACTCGCGAAGTCCAAAGTTACCTCGGTTTTCTTTCAATCATAAAGTGATGATGGTCTCAATAAATACAAGTAAATCTGGCAGTAATGTGATGATGAAACATCAATAACAACTATATAAGGTTCAGAAAAGGTTCCCCCCGAAGTTCGCCAAAACGACACCAGATTCAGAGCGCATGCGTCGTGGGCTTTCCCTGGATGCCAAATTTGTCATCGATCGGTGGCGCCATCACAACTTTTCATCTTGTTTTCCACGAAGGGTGCGGCGCAGCGATTTCGCGAAACCTGCAAATCGCGCGTCGCTGGCGCCAAACTAGAGGCATAAATTTAATATTTTTACATAACAGACCTCCATGAAACTTCGGGAAAATGATAATTATACAGTTTTCTAACAATTAGTAAAATATAAAGTAAAAAAAAAAACAATTTGTATTGGGAAAAAACGATTGGGAAAAAACGATCTTGTTTTTACCGATAAGTTCCGTGCACGGGACATTATCGGAAGCGAAACGCAATGAGCTTGACATGCCTAGACATGACCTTGTCTTTGTCATGTTTGTTGCTGTCTGGTGCCGCCCTTCATTATCGTTGTGACTAGAATAACGAAAAAGAGATGCATATAACCACGGTAACGACAACAAAGACAAGAACAAAATATAAGTCACCTACGACTTCTCAAGGTGTTAGAGACACACTATTGCCTAGTGCTGGGGCTTCAGTGGTACTCCCGATCATTTTGTGAGCTGCAAATAGATGAGATTTGACCAGTTCTCACCATCACACTGCACGAAATGAATCTATTAGATCCATACATTTATTGTTATTATTTTTCTTTTTCATCTACAGCTTTACAATGACGTTGTGCCCAAAACAGCAGGTATGTATTGATAATGCTTTATTAGTGTGCATAAGTAAAGTGATAAAGTATCTTCAGACAGTCCTGCCTCAAAAATATACGTTTGCAAACTTCAAATTTTTATTAAATACCTTACTAGGATGTTGGTAAATGACAGTTTAAGGTGTCCTGTAAAATTATGGTTCCCGGTGTGAAGTCATTTTCAAGAAAAGTGGTATTTTTGTATAAATTTCCGGCGGCGGTCGGCCGACCACCGTTGGAAAAACCGGACTATTTTCAACTACTGCTCCAACTACTCTCTTTTTTTTCAGCCCAAATTTTGTTTCCTATTGGTTACATGTTAATAAACGGGTGCAGCCCAGCTAGACAGGTTCCCTTACCGTACAATTTTCCGGCATCTATAAATTGATCCAGTTCATCTTTAATGGAGTCGGGGAACCAGACTACTTGAACAATTTTTTTTTTTTTTTTGGTTGTTTTTCCGGCATTTTCGAGCACAAAACTTCAAACGTGTCGGTGTAACAATATTTGTTCCCCTCAAGTAGTTAATTTGCCAGTGATGTACCGGTACACTCTGTCTTCATCTTCATGTTACGACCTTTCCACAGAAAACTTCCGTGCCTTGTGTACCGGCGAGAAAGGGTTTGGCTACAAGGGCTCCGTTTTTCACCGCATCATTCCCGACTTCATGTGTCAGGGGGGCGACTTCACCAAAGGAGACGGCACCGGAGGAAAGAGTATCTACGGGGAGAAGTTCGCTGATGAGAACTTCAAGAAGATCCACACAGAACCAGGTATGTCATTAACATTAAATTGCAGGGGGGGGGGGGGGATTCTGGTACATGTACTGTACAATGTTGGAGAAGTATACGTGTTTGTCCTTGCAATTGAGTAATCTCAGTCATGTGCACAGATGGTCGCACCAATTCAGCTCTTCATGTCACAGGGTCATATTAACCTCACTCTGTACGCATTTTTGCGAGGAATTAACCTCAATCCTGCAATAGCCTCCAACTGTTTTATGTTAAAATGGCGTACAGCCTCAATCCTGCAAAATCCTCCATTATTTCTTGAATGTGGTCCTTGGAGGGGTGGCCCCTGCCTCAGTAATGTAAAAGTTCTGTCCATGGATCACAAAAAGGTGTGCGTTCTTTCAGCAAAACGAAAACAATTCACACACATCCCTATGTGATGTGTTTTCGTTTTGCTGAAAGAACACTGAATTTTGTTGTGATGACAAAATAAGTTTCTACAAATATTCACTTTGTGGGCCCTTAAACCTTTTTGACGTACCTCAAAATAAGCAACCTCAGCATCAGTTTTACTGGGTGACAAACAGGTATCCTGACCTCCAGTTTCGTGACATATCTTGTATATGATGAAGTTGCAAGACATTTGGAAAGACTCGGTGACGAAAATTCTTCTTGTTTTTTTCCTGAAGGTATTCTGTCTATGGCCAACGCTGGTCCCAACACTAATGGTTCGCAGTTCTTCATTACCACGGTGAAAACATCTTGGCTTGACGGCAAACACGTGGTGTTTGGAAAGGTCGTCGATGGTATGGATATCGTTAAAAACAAACTTGAACCTCAGGGCTCCCGGGATGGGAAAACTAAGAAGAAGGTCATAATTGCTGATTGCGGGCAGCTTTAAACGTGAGATCCCACCACTATCCCCAATAGATCATGGCCCATAAGCAACAGATTTGGGGGGAATTCAAGCATAGGCTTACATTAAGTCCATATTGTGTTTGTGTCTAGATTTGTGGTTTAAGAACCAGTTAAATAATTTGTACCTCTTTTCTTAATCAGGTAGATGTGCATTTTATAGTGACTTAATAGTCATTTTTTTTTATTAGGATGCAAGAATAGCACATTTACTAGTTACCACTGTGATATATTTTCTCACTTTGTGGATGGATAAATATTGACTATATCACACATACGAAATGAACAAAAGCTCCTCGCGATTTGCATCATTTGTTAATTTTTTTTTCCCATTAGAAGTCATATTCAGTTCAAATTTTCAACATGGATAAAGAAAGGAATCTTGTTAAATTCAAATACTTTGCAGTTTAATACACACCTCAAGAGTGAAGAAAGTTCACAATTTATTGTTTACTTGATTCAGTAGTTGTGATGTGTTAAGATCTTTTTCACCTTTTCTCTGGTTTTGTAGTAATTCACGATGTACTGTTGGATGGTATTGCATGATATAGTTTTTGTATTGCAATCAGTAGTAGGTATGCATGTCTTAAGAAGCAAAACACTATTCAGAATTTCCTTCATCCAAAAAGATCGCTTATCGATCAAAACTGTATCCCATGGAAGCTACTCATTACACATGCGCATACGCTAACCTAGCAAAAATCTCTTAAATCGGAAGCGGTAAATGTACGCTTTACTGTACTAATACATCCTTTCAATATTCCTTGCTTTGTGAAGCAATACTATTAAATACCACTAAATCTGCTGATATATCACCTTCGTAGTTAGTGAGCTGTAAAGATTAAGAACAAAAACCCAAATTCAACACAATCAATTCTATGAACGTAGAGTATGACATGGATGAAGGACTAAAAAAAAAATATTAGCACTGTGGTTGTTATCTAACATCATTTTTAACATTCAAAATGTTACATTAAGAATTTCGGGTATGTGATGCCAATGTAAAATCCTTTGCAGTTATACCAGTTAGACTGTTTACCTTAAACATCTTGAGCACTTCATGGATTTAAACATTAATGTCTTTTTCGTCTTTGTGCATTTAACAAAACAAACAATGATCGAATGTGACATTGGTCCATACTGGAATTGTATATCAATAAACGACACTGCAGTGTACATATATTTTGTCCTTTGGTTTTATTTGCGTAGCTGGCTGAGTAATATTTTTGTATGAGTAACATTTCATAATTTGATAAGTGAAGGGTGTACCTTATATCTTGATAAGTATCAGGGGAGGGATAATTGAAAGATTTAAAATTACATTTTAACCAGAAGATATGCACGCGGAAACATTCAAGATTAAATCAACTTGCGAAGATAAAGCTGCTGCGAGAATAAGGTGAAAGTGCTTAGCCTTAGATTTTGGGTGAAGACAAATTAACAAAGTCTTGATTGATTGCTTTTAGTTAAAGTCATACTTGCGGCTTGTCTAGGTATCAACCATCCAGTGTGTAAATTAAACATTTGAGCTGACCAGCCAATGTTAAAGTCCGCAATTCCTACCCCAGACATAAGGCCTCTACCCCTCAGCTTTCGACTCTCTCTGGAGACTAAGTCAGAACAACCTAAGGGTTTTAATTACCAGAATCCTTACTTTTTTAAGAAAAACCCGGTGGTGTAGTGGTAAGAGTGTAAGGCTACATACCCAAAGGTTCCCGGTTCAAGTCCCACCCATGCACAATTTTGTCAGAAAACTTAGTATATATTTTAAAAAAAGTCTAAAAGCTCCTCAGGACGGGCCCAGGATCTGAACCGGGGACATCCCGGTTCGGATCCTGCGCACGTCCTACTGAGCTACTGGCTCTTCTTGAAAATTGTGTTCGGACGTTATATATAAACCTTAGGTTGTGATATTTCGAAATATTACCCATAAGCACTCAGTATATTACCATATCATGGATATTCATCATATGCAAATGAAACGGGATAAACAGGTAGCCAGTATTTCTGTAGCATCATCCACAGACATTAATTTTACAAAATATAAAATGGCACCAACAAACACCGAAATGAGTCAACGTGGAATTCTTTTATTTTTTGATAGCTACAATTTTTAACAAGGACAAAGAACATGGCACATTATGATGCATAATAATTGACACAGAATCAAACTTCAGAGAGGAAACATTGTCCAGTCTAAACAGCTACGATTCTTACTGATAAATTCATACGGACCCTGATTAGCTCAAAAGATAGCAGAACATCTCTTTTCATACTTATAGTTCCAACCTTTATTCTGGACAGCAATGAGCTATACACCCACAATTCCATTTCGCCAGCTACATTTACAGGACAATTGTCCAGCATATACTAATTTTTCACATTCCCAATACATCTTTACAATAATTTCAAGACTTATTTTCCAAGACCCTTTTCATCGGAACGTCCGTTTTCTTCTATTCCTAGTAATAGTAAATATGACAGGCATGGATATCGAATTTTGGGATCATCCAACAAGCCTTTAGAAAGGTTGCACTTGAAATCTACAGCTGCTGCTACTGATACGCATCTTCTACACTTACTGTTATGCATCCCAAAATCCCCCCCCCCCCCCAGTAACCCATTTTGAAATTACGGAAATAGGCGTTACATACAGGTACACGCTACACTTTGTTAAAATCTGATATGCTTTTACAATTTTATAAGAATCCTCTGCGCTGTGATAAAAGAAAAATACCACAAGTTTCTCACAAGTACTGCCTCAATACGTCAAATATACCGTCTGATTATTTTTATAGCTGATATTAATAGTTTCGTTTAACAATCGCTATCACTTTTAAAACTGGATAATAATTACTTTGTATTTCAACATGCTTTAAAAACATTGCAAGAGAAGAATTACGGTATGCATCAGAGGAACAGGCTTTCAATGTGAAATTTGACAAGGAAAACAAAATATAAAGCTGAAAAACGAACGCGCTACTGAAATCTACTGAAATATAGTTGATTTAAAATGCTGGTCAACTATGAAATATGCTTGGAACTACTTGCATCTATTGGAGTGAGTTCTAATATGCATCATGCTATGTTGTCTGTGTTGTACCACAATGAATGGCTATTACTACACTCTTGCCACAAAACACACCTGCATATAATACATCTAGACGAGCCATTGACTAGCGTTACTAACCCCAATCATTACACGATTCATTATAATGCATTTATCTTACATATTTGTTTTAAACACAATCTTAAACCTTTATTAGGTTTTTTTTTTTATTTCACTAACTTGGCAAACACAAAACCAACAAACTTTACACCTGGTCGTTCACGACCTATTTGATTACTTCAGAAAATCCCAACCAAAACACAAAACAAACAAAAACCAAACCAAATAATCAAAAATTAATTCAGAACGATCAACTACTTTCCTCAAATTAAAATAGAAAACACAATTTACAATTCCTTTGTGTTGTTTTACAATGAGCACATCCATATCTTTTTTTCGGCGTCATTTTTCTTCATCAAATTTTCACAAACCGCTCATTAGGAAAGTCAACCGACTGCAACTAAATATCTACAACTGGTAGTCCTACGGAAAACAAAAAATCACAGTAATTTCTCCCGAAGAAGTCTACTCTGTTTTAAAGACCATCAAAATGACGCACATGAAATCAAACAAAAACTGAATCCAACATTCCAAGTTATTTAAATATTAAGAAAAAAATCCAGTAATTATCACCATGTATTTCCTCACTATCCAATCGCTCTAAGCAATTGTTTTCAACCAAAATCATGTCATTTACCTCTATCAGATAAACAAACTTCTATTTATTTTTTTATTAATTTCGAAAACACCTTAATTATCTCAGGGTTTACGACATCAACACTGTCAGCATACAAAAAGTACAAATTATATCTTGAAAATCGGGTACGTTGGTAAAACATCATATCTCAATTCCAACAGTGTCACAGAAAATAGGTCCAGTCAATTTGAGTAACTTTACCACGATAATAAAAAAAACCACAAAAAAAATGTGAGACACAAAGATGTGCACAACAATTATCCACTTTTACAACAGGATGAACACTGGTTATATAGTGTGTAGTGACACGACGGTAGGAAAAACTCATTAGAAGATAACGCCAATTTTTAATTGCCATCTTTCGCAATGTTACATCACAAGATTGAGCAAGACTTAACGATATGAATGTTTAAATCTTTGGCTGTAGTATCCCAGCCCCACAATCCAAATGCAGATTAATACATATTCTTTTTTTCTAACACCAAATTTTTTGTACATTTTAACCATTGTTACAAAGTAGTAACTTGATATCAACGCTTAATTTAACCTTTTTCAATTCTTCCATATATGGTAACTGATTTATTTTTACATTAACTATGAACTACACCAGCTAACATGTCTTATACAGGGACACAAATTGCAATGTCACAGTGCTTGATAGCCGGTTAAGATCTGGAACAAATCTACATAGAATAAAACTGCCGCGAAATCCCAATAAGTAAAGAAAATACACAATTGTGAAACATTACTATTAGAATTGTTTTCTCATCTACCGATACCTATCAAATGTTTACTCCCCTTGTATTAACCCTATTGTAAAATAAAAAAGGAAGATAGAAGAACTTTGAAGATAAACATTTTCTTGATGATAAAAACGTTCAATTTATAGTCCAAATTTATGTCAAATCCAACAGAGAAGTCCATCATGTGCGCAGATTTTTAAGACCGCACCAGGCCAGGGGTATTTTATTAAAAAGTCAGCCATTTTGTTTCGACATTGTCAGGTGATCTCTGAAACATTTTTTTTTTTTTACAAACGCTCTCTGTAAGGATGTGTCGCTGGACGAGACGACAATTTAAATTTCTGATTCTTCCGGATCTTCCACGACCTGCTCGGATTCCTTCTTGCCGTCTTCTAGCAGAAACTGATCCACCATCTTCTGCAGGTCTTCTCTCAGCTCGCTGGAATCTACCTCTTCGCCGTCCTCTTCGATGTTGGTCTGCACGTCCTCTGTCGTGTCGACTTCCTCTCCGTCTCGGATGACGGTCTTACGACTCGTCTTCTTGTGGACTGTGATCCTAATCAGAGAAGAAGAGAGATTTATATTTATTTCCTTGTAATTCTTTCTGGTACCGAAACCAAGGCAATGTAGCTGGGTAGGCTAAAGGAAGAAGACGATAAAGAAATGTTCAGCTTTAGATGTGGGGGGAAAAACGGCTGAGAGATACTCCAGGAAAAAACATGTTGCGTTAATTAGAAAGCATTTATAGGCTCCAGATACATGCCCATCGCTTCCTCAGTCTGGCTTCCAGACGCACAATTACAAAATTACAACACCGTTTGCAAATGGTGCCCGACTAAATAAAGTGCAAAATGTATGGGAGCCCAGAGAGACCACATCAAGCTTATACTCGATCGTAACCCCATCTAAAAACACGTTAAAATTGCGCAGCAGCAGGATTCCAATCAAACTAGTGAGTTTGGCAGGTTATAGACGTCATCTTACATTGAGAAAAACAGGGATGTGATTGGTCTGTGACAAAAAAACCTGAAAATGTTATGCATGAAGTGCAAACTCTGGCGAGCGCTAAGCCAGTTTGAATTTTGCCGACCCGCATGGCTTCGGCAATGCGCATGCAGACCAGAAAGCGGATACTTTTTGGGCCTAACCTGATGCAAAAGAAAAATGCACCATTTGTCAAACTGTGACGAACCTGTGTACTCCGTCAGCATCAGCTTCTCCCTGCGGCATGACAAAGTTTGGATCGTTAGGATCCACCTCAACAGTCTGCATGACGCGACGGATGATTCTCTTCTTGGTCACCTTCCGGATTGTACCGTCCGGCAGCTCCTCTTCAAACTCCTCCACGATCTCTTGGACATCCTCGCTGGGATCTGACACTGTCGGTTTGGAGACAGCATCGCTAGGCTGGTCTTCCGGTGCCTGGGTTGGCTGGGCTTCGTATTGGTACGGTCGGTCTCCTGTGTAAGGGAATAAAAGTTGCATTTGGTTTGTGGAGTTCAAAGACGGCGACATCCCAAACTTTGCAGTTTAATCGAAACTGCATTTCGTAGCATCTGCCGGTTGTAACTAATTCAATCTACTAGTGCTGCAATGAACAGTACCGGATTCTGTCATCAGTCTCACCCACCTTTGGTTTGTGAACATTTCTCACAGTGCGTGTGAATGATTTTGACTGTGGTCACCTGACTAACAGTTGTTATCTGATTGGTCGATTGACAGGCAGGTTCTACAAGGCAATCGATTTCAAGCAGGAACAAGTGAGAGTATTCTTGTGACATTGAGAGGGTATCGTGCAAGGAGTGGCTTGTCGCTCTGAAGTTCAGCAATTGAGTTGATTGGGCTCAACTAATATTTCAACACAGGATACTTTCTTGGGCTGTTAACTACAGCAACACATCAGTTGTTAGTTCCAGTCATGCTGACAACAATACACAATTAGTTTAACAAATATTTGGGGGAAAACAGATTTGGAACTCAATGTCGGTGTTTGTGACGACGTGTTATGAACTTGAGGAATCTCATGTCAACTCTCTGCAAAACAAAAATGATGAAGAATGATTCACTGCAGGGCAGACGGTACAATATCAACTGTTTTGGAAAGAATGTTGCATCCTGACACCACTTCAGCGGTTGGGTACAAAGTTGATGGAGAGTCAGGAACATTTTCTAAGTTTTCCTGACAAAATTGGAAATGTTTCTCAGTCCCAGATTTGTGTCTTATCAACATTTTCGCAATGACTGACCCTTAATATATTGAGATGATATATGAAGGAAAAGAGGCGTCAGGTTGCAGCATTCGTTTCACTTTTTGTGTAACAAGTCTCAATTGTTAGTGACATAGTACACAATAATATCACGTGAAATGTTAGCAAGGAGTGTTATAGGACTTGGATGAGACGATGGTTCAAATACACAACAACGGTGACAACATGAAGTCCTGTAAATGATTATGAATTAAGAAGCACTGCATGAGAAAATGTGGGAGTTTTGGCAGAAGAATTGCCGAGTATCAACAAAGCAGGCAAAACTGGCTTACAAGGAAACTGTTCTTAACAACTGTCCAAGCTACACAATGGTACACTGCAACGATATTTCAACAGTGAGTAATTTTGTACAGAAATTGTACAGAAAGCTGTTGGAAATTTTTCAAATTATTAAATCATCACGGGAAACTGCTCACTGTATGATCGGTAAACAACTTGAAACTGGGAAAGATTCCCATATCTGGTCATCACTTATTCTTCCCTGCAGTGACCTATCAGCCATCAGAAAGTGATAATTTGTCCTAAAAAGTCAAATTTAGCAGGGAAAATATTGAAGTATTTACTGAGAAACAGTTAGAAATTTTCAGACCAGTCTCATACGGTTTGTGCACAGGGTGACAAATGATGGCCAGATATGGGAATCTTTCCACAAGGGAGGCAAAGTGGAATTAGAGTTTCCACACAAGATAGTTGACGGGTCTTGGTTTATAGCAGGAGACAAGACGTTTCAATCAATCCTGAGATCGTTCCGTGATGAATTCATGCCAGACTTTTCTGCAAAAGCACAGATTGCAAACAGCTGGACAAAGATGTTAGTACACTCAAGGAATTTGAAGGGAAAGAAGCGTCATCTAAAGGGAAAGTACCATGCAGATAGCATTGTTAGTTATGGGTGAGGGGAGAAGGTGCAGTTAAACAGGGGGTAACTTGAGGTTTACCTTAAGGTTTACCTTGAGGTTTGCCAAGCCCTATTTCGACAATTGATTCAAATATTGCTTTTCTTAATTTGTGGTTCTTTTAATATTTTTGCAACATGACTCTCATTGTGTGGGTGGAGGTTGAAAATGGAAATAATCATGAGATGAGCTTGAGGGAAGATGGACGGTAGACTTGCACTAGTCTCCTCACCGTTTGCCTCGCCCGGTTCCTGGATGTCGGGAGGGAACTCGACGGTCGGCTCTGTGGATATCTTGGGCAGATTCTCTGTCACCGATGACAACAGAAAGTGGGCATCAGTTAGTACGATGTGGGGCAGGTCATGAAATGGATGTTAAAGTTTCAGACAAGGCAGGCAAAGTAAGTTCACAACACGTTAACAAAACACCCTTTTTGTCTACTAAGCTATTAAAATGCGTTTGATTCGTTAAGAAAATGTTAAAATTAATCTTGATTTAGTTCTGATGACAATTATGTACTTTTGTTGGCTCAACTCTGTTATTTGTTTTTATCCCTAGTTCTTGGTAAATGCAGCCATATTGGTCATGCTCCAAGAAGTCCAGGCAAATTACCACAGTGAGGCATACTTTGGCACCGGTCTTTTTCATTTTGAAACCTTTGCAAACCAAATAAATTTGAAACTAGGTCTCCAAAACAAGGCTCCCCAATATCAGTATCTTATTTAGGATACTGTGCTTGCATCCACATGCAAAATCAGTGTGATTCTTTAATAAAGTTTCCAACATCTTACAAATGTTAAGTTCAGTTTGAAGTCTAGAGTTATATGTTACATGCTGTGTTACATCTCCTTGTGAACAGAAGAAAACTCACTAAAGTTTAATTAATAACAATTTTTTTTTACAAAATTTCAGTCTGATTGTGCTCTTATTATGAAAATGGAAACATACAATCTTTAGAGGTACACACTGAATCCCATGCTTTTTGGTGTTAAAGAAGACATCATGAAGTGCTAGAAATCTGAAGTGCTAGAAATCATGAAGTGCTAGAAATCATTAGGGCCATGTTTCAAATTGGCGAATGGGAGAACTTGTTTTCTTTCGAGTATCATGTTAATAAAAGTTAGAGTTCAACAGTTAAAAAAGGGAAACATTCAAAGCTAATTGTGGTAGTAGTTGTACTTCATTCTATTTATTAATTTGTAAAACAAAAACTTAGCGATTTTCAACATTCAATTTGGTCCATTTGACATCAAGAATGTTGCCATTCCAAAACCGTTATTGAACTTCGATGTTTTTCATGTTCTTTTTTACTCTTGTTACCTTTCTGGGAAAGAGGGTTTTCGTCCCAGTCAGTGATTTCAGGAGTTTTGGGCTCAGGGGGGCCAGCTGTTAGACAGAAGGAGACAATTCGAAATTCAGAGGGGGGACATTTTTGGGGGGGGGCCAAAAAGATGATATTTAACCCTAACTAACTCCCTAGGGGGTGTGCAAAATCATATTGAAATTGGAGGATTCAGGACTGTTAGGGCTATTGAACTCATTTTGATAATACCTTCCTAACTGAAGCATGAGAGATAATGGGTTCATTCCACTTACACAAACAATGCCAACGTTTGCCAACATTGGCATCGTCTGTGCAAGTGGGACTGACCGTTTGCCACTAATATTGGCGAAGTTTGCAACAAAGTTAAATGGTGTGTTTTCGGTATGTTTTGCAAAACGGCCGACACACACACAATGAATGTAATGTTTCTGGTGGGGCGGAAATTTTCAGATTTCTACATCTCCAGTCAGTTCATATTGTTACTGGAGACATAGGCCTAACGCAGGATTCATTTTCTTTTTTATTTTAAAAGTTGCTATCCAAACAGTGACACATGTAGGATTGGCATACAGAGCGCCGCATTTTTACACCACTTTTTCGGTGACATTATCGTTCCATCTGCGTTGAGCACATTCACAGGGCCTAGCCAACAACACAATCATGTTCGTGTAAGTAGAATACACCCCAGATGTAATTTACAATGTTTAGCAAGATTTTGATACGCAGCGATGGGTGTGGTTAGATGAGTTTTAGCATTGGTAGGAAAGAGATGATACACACAGACACGACTGAAACCTTTGAAAACCCACAAAAATAACGAAGGATCGATTACAAAAAGTACTGGGGTGACACCTAATACTTGTGGCGGTGCTGTTGCTTAGGTTCCCAACTAAACCACAAAACATGAAGGACTAAGTTCCAATGATTTTTCCCCCTCTTTTCTCATCTCATAATAGAAGATTTGGTTCTTTTCCTCTCTTGTCTGTATAAGAACATTCAAGCCAATGTCTTGAATGCAGACTCAAGAATAACAAATTTACCTCTCCGGTGAAAATTTGTGGGTGAAAATTTGTGAGTGAGAATTTGAAAACTTATGAACTTTAAAAAAAAAAAAACTCCTCTGTTAGGCCATCAGCCTCGGTCCAAAATTTGTGCCACCGGTATCAAATGAGGGGAATAATCGTCATAGCAATTTTTGGCAAGGTATATCGGTACACCTCCAGAATTGGAAAATATGTGATAGCATTGTAACGGTGGCAGCTTTTTGGGTGTTATCACCTTTTTTTTTAAAATGGTCATCAAATTGCTTGTTACCACTCTAGGGGCGGTGTACCTTGCACATGCGCACTATTATAATTTATGCTCCGATTTGATACTGACCAAACCCCCAGGCTGATGGCCTATGTGTTGTGCAGTGAGATGCAAACTTTCCCACACGCCATCATGGAGTTTGTGTCAAATCCTCACAAAGTCAATCACAAGTCATTCAGTCTCCATTAATCCCTTGACGCCGGCTGACGGCTAAGCCACACTCCGGAATGATGTGGTCAGCCGTGGAATTAAATCTGTGGGTAGTGGCTAGGCATATGACTAGCAGTGCGGTGCCGCTAGTGCAGAGGCTCTGTGCGGTGATGCGTGTAAGCCTGTGCAGCGAGCATACAAACCCGGCGGCAAGAGGTTAAGTGACAGGATAACGAAATGAATCGTGTCCGGTGGCATTCCTTTGTCATGCCCCGTTCGTTGTGAACCAACTTGCAATTTGACACTGGAATGTCTTGTGATGGACTTGTGATTGACTTGCTGTTAACTTGTGATCAACTTGTTACAGACACGTCCTTGTTTATGACTTGTGATGCACTAAAATCCCGATGAACTCAAGACGAGAAAGTTTGGTGCAAATCTAATGGTTTATAAACAATGTCTGAAGTTAGTAAACACAATCACCATCTGCGTCTTCACCTTGTCTGTCATCCGACGCGCTACTCAGTGGACTGTCTGAGAACCGACGTTCCTCAGGCGAGGAGTCGCCGTCGTAACGATCCGAGTCTGGCGCTAGCTCCACAACGGGAGCCGAGGACTGTACCACAGGGGCAGCCTGGGCGACTGGGGTAAACTCTAGAAAATTGTAATCGTTATCTGATCAATTGCCATCACTGGAGGTCGCAAATATTCTTTTAATGCTGTCTTGGGGGTGATAAACGAAACAAGTTTTCTTAGGTGGGACTAAAGTCCATGACATTCTGATTGCTAATGAGATGTCTTAGGACCCAACGTTCAAGCTTGTTGGGTCAGCAGGCGATTCATCACTAGAATGTCATTTGGAGATGGCCGTTAACATAAAAACCCTTACTTGATACTACTAAACACCGCACCACTATTGGCAAGTTGGTCATTCTATAAATTTGGGGTTCACTTTTTACCTTCTGTCCCCGTTACGTCTGACCTCTAATTCTGATGCACTCCTTAATGCAGACTGGCTCAAAGAGTAATTTTGAATAGCAAACTACCGGTACCTACATATACCCAACACAAAAAAATCTTTGGAATTCATTCTTATCCTTGAATGATACTTGAATGGTAAAATACAAAGTACCAAGGTAACAGGGACAGGGGAAAAAGTCACACTTTGAACCCTAAATTTGCAGAATGATCCTAATGTATCACATAAGCCCACTCTGAAACATAACAGCAGGGACCGTGCAACCTTATCGTACCACAAGTTGTGCGACGTAACGTGGTACATTTTAAATCATTCACATCTTTCAGTTTTGAGATTTTTTTCACAGAATGACTGGACACTTTTGGCATTTACCTAATGAAGCATTCTCTGGCATTTCTTGAGTCAGCTCCCAGAGTTCTTGTAGCTCTCTCTCGTCGTCAGGCGTCAGGATGCTAGGTCCCGCCTCCTCTTGGCGTCTTGTGGGCGGGGCCGACTCCTCCGTGCTGATGTCATGTCCTTGGATTGGTTGCTCCTCCTCGGCTTCGCCGTTCACTGGTTTGTAAGATTCGGGCTCGTCTTCATCTTCAAACGCTTCGGGGGAAAATGTTATAATACTTGAAGCAATTCCACATTTCGTAACAATTTGCCATCTTCAGAGGTCCAAAATTAAATAAATTTGGCACAAGCAAGTCATAAGAGAAATATTGATTATTGTGCAACAGAGCTACATTTTTTTTCTCATGCCATTGACAGAAAAATTCATTTAGTTTTTTTGCCAAGCATATAGCTTGATATTAATCCACAATGGAGAACAAACTAACTGAGGGCGCTAGTACATCCACCATCAACACGTGCATGGCAAGATAGTATCTTTAAGGCTGCAAACTTACTTGACAAGCCAAATCCATTTAGGCTGTGGCTATGACTTCATTGTCACTTACGTGGCACGAGGAATTCATTGAGAATATGGCTACGACTTCATTGTCACTTACTTGGCATGCTGAATTCATTGAGAGTATGGCTACGACTTCATTGTCACTTACTTGGCATAGTGAATTCATTGAGAATATGGCTACGACTTCATTGTCACTTACTTGGCATGCTGAATTCATTGAGAATATGGCTACGACTTCATTGTCACTTACTTGGCCTGCTGAATTCATTGAGAATATGGCTACGACTTCATTGCCACTTACTTGGCATGCTGAATTCATTGAGAATATGGCTACGACTTCATTGTCACTTACTTGGCATGCTGAATTCATTGAGAGTATGGCTACGACTTCATTGTCACTTACTTGGCATAGTGAATTCATTGAGAATATGGCTACGACTTCATTGTCACTTACTTGGCATGCTGAATTCATTGAGAATATGGCTACGACTTCATTGTCACTTACTTGGCATGCTGAATTCATTGAGAGCATGGCTACGACTTCATTGTCACTTACTTGGTATGGTGAATTCATTGAGAGTATGGCTATGACTTCATTGTCACTTACTTGGCATGCTGAATTCATTGAAGGCGTCGGCTAAGGCATCAAGGTCCTCTTGGGTAGCCCTGGGCTTCTCCTCCGGCACGTCTGGTCTGTCAGCTGCTTCAAACTGCTCATCGATTGGCGGCTGGAGGTAATGAATAATGCATAGAACTGGTTGCATGCATTGTGATTGGTGCAACAAGAGTGAAAAGTGGGCGGGGTTATGTTTTTTTTAATGCAAAGTGGGCACGGTGGGACATGAATATTCATCAATGTCAGGTTAAGTGACATGACCAGAGAGCTGGAATAATTTGATGTTGATTAACATTCATAAGATTGGCAATTCATTTCAATTAAATTCATTCCTAAATGAAGATGAAAACATTCAATGATTGTGTATTTTTTTTTACATATACAAAGAAAACAATTGGAGCATATCAGATGAACTTTTACGGCATTTGTTTTGTTGCAAAAATAAAAGGTTTCTTTTAAGCAATTTCGGGGGAAGCTTTCAGAGAAACAAAACAAAGCCTTATTGTTTATTGGGGCAAAAAGGGTTGAAAATAACTTTCATATGGCGAGCAAATTAACATGAATGAAAACAACACACAAAATGGACGTCACGAACAGATCAAAGACGTCAGCACACGAGAAACAAAATACACAAATATCAACACCAGATATCACTTTCACCACACAACACTCGCCTCTTCAAGATTAAACTCACCACACCACTTGCACCACATCCCTTTGTCTCACCACATTTTCTCAAAAGTAAAAAAATTCCAACGGAAAGATTTGCTGTAGTACACGAATCCAGCAATGCTCAAAATTGATTGTCATGTGTCCTAAATACACCTATGGTTTACAAGTATTATAAGTGAAAATAGGACTATGACTCAAACATTTTTAGTCCGAATATTTGATGAAAAAAAAAATACAATCTTACTAAAATGGTAACTATGATGGGGGAAAATCTTCCTTTTTTTTTCAAAGAAAAAATGTTCCATGTACCGGTACGTGAAAAATTGTATCTACATGTACATCAAAGTTTTATCAACTTCATAAATCTGAAATATGAAAAATCCATGTGCAGTTTTCTAGTTATATATAATTTAATTTATGAACTAGACGAGAATTATACAATGACATACAAAACGTACACATACATAATGTTAGTGAAATGTTAATACATAATGCAAAGATGTAGATGAGTAATCACAGTTGTTGGTTTAACATGGTATTTAAAAGTGGTATGTAAATCATGTTTTCAACTGAAAAGGATAAAGGACTGCAAAAATGTTTGATCAGTGGAAGTTGTGGAAAGGGAAGGGATGGGGATTGTTCTTGGGTAAAAGGATTGGGGAAAGGACAATTTGGTAAAATGAAAAATGGTCATGCTGAAATTCCAACAATAAGGCTCGTAGTACAGCAGATGGTGATAACATTGCTCAGTTTGGTGATAAAAGCATGAAATTTGGCACAAAGTAACAGTATGTCATAGGAAAGATATTAGGCTATCATATGGGACATTGCAATTTTGTTCTTTGAGCAAAATTTTATCATAGGATAACAAGCAATTTTCAAAATGTTCAAAATGGCAGCCACTGCATGTTATCATAATATATTTTGTTCAAAAGACAAATCTGCGGTGTCCCTATAGCCAAAATATCATATAGTCTGTGTGCCAAATTTCATTCTTTTATCATGATATGAACAATTTCATCATATTGTGCACCGATCTGTTTGACTAGGGTAGGGGATTCTTTGCAGGCAGGCTGGAAGCAAAATTTGCTAATTTTCAATTTAATGAAACTCCAAAAATTGACAGTTGTTATTTTCTTCAAGATCTACATCTGCTGCACATATCAGGAATCTCAAATCCAACACATGCCTAATGTGTACACCAGGAATCAATTGCGATAGGTTTGCTGTGGAATTTTGATACAAGGCGTCGGAAGGGGGCATTTTCAGCAGGCATCGGGGTTTGCAGCTGGACAAACTATTTTGCTGCAGCTTAAAGTTTCCTTGCTCCGCCTTACAGACGTATCGTTTAAAAACAAACTGAAGCAAATGCAAATTCAAAAATGCAGGACAATTTTTTTCATTTGCAAGACACACTCAAAAACAAATAAATAAAAAAATAGTAACAATTTGTTTTTTTAAAATGCAGCTCATGTAAGTATCATCAGTATTCGCAAAATACATGTCCAGGCAAAAACAAGCAAAATAAATTATGTACACAAAGTGATAAACTAATGAAAGCATATTTAATTATAAAGCAATAAATTAAATACCTTTCGATTAAGTCAACACAAAAGTATGAAAATAAATCAGTCTCCAAACTTTTCGACAATACTTTTTTCCAATTCTAGCAAGTGGCAATAAATTAAACAAAATCAAATCGTCCAGTTGATGAGTAATAAACAGGTGATTAATTATTAAAAATATTAAAGTAAATTATTAAAGTAAAGGCAAAGCATTCAGAGATTTATTCTATGATTAATTAAAACCAAAAAGTTTTGTAGGTGATTCAATGTGATAAGAACATAAAAAAATAAACAAAAAAGTGCAGAATAAAGCAATACTTCATGCATATTCATGAGGTGATGCTTCTTTTATGCAAATCAGTACGAATACACAATGCTCAGGGAGGTTGAGCAAGCAGGTCCACATAAAACACATGCAACATTGACCATTTCTTTTGTCATTTCTGTCGGGGATTGCGCTGCGGCTGGATTTGCTTATTTTTCTTTTATTGTTTGTAGGCATCCTTCAGTGTTTGGCCGTCTTATTTAGCGAGCAGTACCTCTCTGTGAAAGCTTGTCTCCGATTGATCCTGCTCCTGAGGAAGATTGAGAAAGGAAGGAGAAAAAAAAATATATGAATGTGGGGTGCTTCTGGTGGATTTTTTTTTTGGGGGGGGGGAGATGGAGGTGGTTGGTGGGGTGAGGGTGAAAAAAGTACAGTAGGACGCCACTATAATTGAAAACTTTACCAAACATTCAGTGATAATATCTCAATAACCCATTCGGCTTTTAGCGTTAGCAGTCTTCAATTATCGACTCTGTGCACGAACAGTAAACGGCGCATTTCTACCACTATCGAGACCACTTTCACGCACATGCTAAAGCCCAGTAAACAGGACTGGTTCATGCGGGTATGGCGCAGAGTACGCACGACTAAGTTAACTTCAAATGCGCCCAAGCAATAGCACCTTCGAGTTTGCGCCAGGCATCATCAGAAACTTGTTCCAATGTCTCTTCCAGTGGTCCCCCAACTCTCCTTTTGTAATCGTTGAGGGGGTGCTTGTACACGGAGCCGATAACCAAAAGCTATTGACCCCATTGTGTTCGCAGAGCGAACTTGTTCTTTAGTTTGAGACCAAATGTAAAGTTTAAAAGTTTTGAGTTTCACGGTCGTACGGTAGGATGATGTTACACCGACCATTGGGCTATAAGCCACATCCTCCTTTTGCTTCCAAAATTTACATACAATTCTACTGAACATTGACAGCAAAAAAGTGCTTGAATGAAACTGCCATACTGAGCAACATTTTGTGGTCCCACTCCATTCACTATAGTGAAGTCCTACTGTTCAAGTAGGTTACAATTGGCAAAAATGTTTTGATTTTTTTTTTTCTGACGATACTGAACATGTACAGAACTGTGATTGTTAAGGTTAGCCGCAGATATCTAACACAGCACACGTGCTAAAGCCATGTTTCCGAATTACTGGACTATGGCTTGCTATTACACACGTGCCTATGGCAGCAGCCACAGCCGCTTCCCATAGACCTGTGTGTTAATTTTAGCCATAGCCAAGTTAAATCGGACACGGCTTAATCTGTTTTCTTTTTGTTAGCACTTCATGAAAGCTAACTACTCATTGACTTTTTAGTTTGATGTTTCAGACAGTCAGGTTATTTTGCATGCACATGTTTTAGTTCAAAATGCACACTTTCAACTTTTGTTGTTGTAAAGTCAGATGCTTATTAAAATACTGGCTATCTTTGTGGTACATGTACAAGAAGAGAAATAGAAAACACAAATAATCTACAATATGAAATACATCCACTGAAAGCTTAACAAAAATGAGTGGGCAAAATAACCTGAAAAGCTGCAAAGAAACACATGTGGTATAACTGATGTCATGCTAACGATGAAAATGTATGTAAAAATCAACAATCAATCAACATTTTAGCAAAAAAAGAGAGGAATGTTTATGAATCAAAAATTGCAAGAGAAACAAAAATAATAGAAGCAAGCTTTTCAACATGTTATTATTTCCAAGGATAAAAAGTGTAATGGTATGCAAATGAATAAAAACAAACGAATCACTAATTTTCTAAAGAAAAACAAATTGTAAAATAAAAATGTAGCAGTGATGACCTGATTAAGCAAGCTGTTTTTCATGCTACAATGTATGTGCTGGCATGAATGAACAGAAAAGTTTGATAAGGAATGATGGGATATCTGATGCATCATGGGAAGGCATGTGGTATCATGGGAAGATAACAAAATGGACGCCGGTTGCCAACAGGTGGTCTTTAGTACAGTAGCATTTTGTGTACAGAAGACACAACAAAAACTGAAGATGCAGTGCATGTGAACATTCCAGCAATGGGACTTGAAACAGCAGCTTGATGATTGCATGAACAATTATTCAATTCTTAGCACCATACCTCCAAAGTAGACTCCACTCCAGCCTGGGTACTGGCTACCACAACCCTCTCATGGTGCACCTCGGCATACACGGTACGTGTTGTGACCTCTGAGGATTCAGTGAAAGTGCTGACTTGTGTGTGTTCAGTAGTCTCTAAAGGAGTCTGATCCTCAACTTGTTCTTCACCCAGAGGGCATTCTTCTAGCTCTTGCACCTCTTTCTCCTGGTATGTTTCATCTTGAGACTCTTGCACGCCTTCTTCTTCAAACTCTATTTCTTCCTGCTTCCCTACAAACTCTTGCTCTTCGATTCGATCATCGGCTATAATTTCCTCCTCTTCTTGAGGTTCTGAGACTGGCACTTCTTCATCTGCTTTGATTGTTTCCCCGTCAACGTCCCCTTCATCTGAAGCTAGAACATCATCCCTGGGAACGTCTTCTTCATACATCCCTTCATCTTCTTCAACAGCTTTTTCTTCCAGATCATCCTCAATCTCTGAATCTTCTGATGGCTCACGATCTCGAGATTGGAACTCTCCAAAGCTAGCTATGGCAGTACCTCCGACAACTGCAACTGCCACAGGTTTTGTTGGGCTGTCCACCTCGTCACCCTTTTCCTCAACTTCCTGTCCTGGAGGAGGAGCCAGCTTGTGCGGAGGCGGCTTGTGAGATTCTTCCTCCTCATCCGGAGATGGAAGTTGACCTTCCGATTCTGAGACGGGCTGGGGCTCTCCGGGAAGAGTTATGGAATCAGCTGCTTCATCAGAAGGCTCTCCTCCAATGATGACAGTAGACTCATGTGTTATCACAGTAGTCTGGGAGTATGAAGACTCCTGTACAGTCGTGGTCACTTCTGAGAGATGGTCCTCCCTTATTTCTTCTTCAAGTCGGGCTTGGATATCGCTGCTCTCCAACATCTCACTTCTCTGGGCAGCAGCTTGTGCCTCATCTTCGGGGGACGGTAGAGGTGTCAGTGGCTGCAAGTCCTCTTTTGGTTCTTCAAATGGTTGCTCCTCTTTTGGTTGAGCCTCTTGTTCATGCTCTGGCTCTATGTCTTCCACTTCTCTCTCTTCCTCTAGTTCCTCCTCTTCTACTTGGGATTCTTGCTGCTCCTCCTCAGGGGTTTGTGACCTAGCTTCTTGTTCTTCTAGAGGTTCTAGAATTTGAGCAGAAGCAGGTGCAACAAGGAGGTTGGGGTCATAGTAATCCTGCTCTGTTGGACCATCAACCAACTGAACCTCTTCTTCGATGGGTTCTTCTTCTCTTTGCTCTTCAGGGACATGTTGTTCTTCCTGTAGCTGCTCTTCAAAGTCATCTTGGGCCTCGTCTTCGCAAATAGGAATTGGTTCTGGTAAAGATTCAGGTGTGTCTGGCAGTTCTTGAATTTCTGGCGTCTGGAGGGTCTCATACTGCTCTGTCTGCTGCTTGAGATCAAGATCTTGAGGAGTCTCTAAGATGTGCTCTTCTTGTTCAGAGAATGCTACTTCCTTCAATTCTCCATCAGATTCAATCGGTGAGTCTGGGATTGGGGTGATTTCTGGTGTCTGGGGTAAGAGTAGTTCATCCTCTTCTCGGAGTTTCTGCTCCTCAAATGCAAGGTCTACTGGAGGAGGCACAAACTCCTGTTCAAAGGTCTCAGTTTCTTGGATAATTTCATGCTCTTCTTCCAGTTTCTCACCATCATCTCTGAGAGAGGTTTCGCCAGATGGTGTTTGTACTAAATACTTTTCTTCCATTTGGATGACCTCCAAGCTGGATCGACGGTCTTCTGTTTCAATATCCGGGCTCAGTCTGCCATCTTCTTTGTCACTGTCTTCGCCTCTTGGTGTCATCTCCGGTGTATAAGGAGATTCAATGACTGCAATACTTTCTTCTTGTAGGTGCATATAGCTTTGGCTCGAGTATGTTTCTGTGATATCAAGAATCTCTGGAGTATGAGGTCTTTCAGTGTCCTCTGGTTTCTCCTCAATTAAGTTATCTTCAATGTCGGCATCCTCAGAGATGCCACCCTCAGCAGAATATTCCTCATACAAGTACTCATCGACTTCCTCCGGGTTATCATCTTCATCCAAGACAGGCTCATGTTTCGTCTTTTCTTCTGGTTTCTCCAACTGTGGAAATGGTGATCTTGGAATGTCGTCAAGAACTTCATCATTGTCCTCTTCATCTTCTGCTGGTTTCTCTTCGCCATCCACATGATCAACATCATAACTAAACACAGCCTCACTTTCAACCTGTTCCTGGGTTTCTTCAAGCTTCTCCTCTGTAAAAGGTTCAGCTGCCGCTTCCTTCTCAACCTCTTCCTCTTCAGGTTCCTCTGGAAATTCTTCCACAATTTGTTCAACAGGTTCTTCTGCTGGTTCTGCTTCAACTATCTCTGCACTTTCTTCTGGTTCTTCTACTGGTTCCATTTCTTTTGGTTCCAGTTCTCCTTCCTGTTCTGCATGGGTTTCTTCTGTTTCCTCATAATCCACATCAGGCTGATCCAGTTCTTGCTCCTTTGCTTCAATGCTCTCAACCAGCCTGTGAACTGAGACACTTTGCTCAACTACTCTGATTTCCCTAGCAATTCCCAATTCTGCCTCAGCAATAGCCTCAGGGGTCAGTTCTTGTTCTTGTTGATCTTCCATTGATTCTTCTACAGATTTTAGAACGTCTTCCTGTTCATCTACATCTCCAACATCTTCATCCTCCAAGACAGATTCTTCTTGCAGCTGCTCTTCATCTCTTTGGTCTTCAAACTCCTCAACTTCTTTAGTGGGCTCTTTTTCAGTTGCAACTACTGCAATTTCACCTGGCTCCTGAATTTCTTCTCGAATGTCCTCCTCATCTGGAAGTGAAGGCTGCTGATGCTCGTGATGAACCTCTGAAACAATGGTCTTCACAACAGTCTGCTGCACAATGGTATGTGTTTCCATGTGGATAGTTTTTTGGGTGTCTACTAATATTTCTGTTTGGTCTTCTTTGGGTTCTTCTTCAGGCTCTTGGTCAATCACTTCATCACTTTCTGTTTCAACTTTTTGTGGTTCCTGGACATCTTCTTTCTCTTCCCCTTCTGGTGCCTCTTCTTCCTCTTCAATTCTTTCCTCTTCCACAACTACCTCTTGCTGTGGCTCTTGTTCTAGTTCTTGGAATGTTTCTTCTGGTACTACTTCCTCTTCTTTAAGAACTTCTGGGGCAGCTTCTTCAGCTATTCTCTCCTCTTCCACAATAACCTGTTCTTCGGGTTCTTGCACAGGTTCCAGTAAGGTTTCTTCTGGTTCAACTTCCTCCTCTTCCTCAGCAGGAACTTCTGGTGCAGCTTCTTCTTTGGTCACTTCTTCCAACACAGCTTCTTCCTCAGTTCTCTCCGCTTCCATAATAACATCTTCTGGCTCTTCAGGTTTTTGCTCTTGCTCTTCATAGGTTTCCTCCGGTGCACTTTCCTCAGCCAAGGGAACTTCTGGAGCAGCTTCTTCCTCAATTCTTTCCTCTTCCACAATTACTCCTTCTTGTTCTTGTTCTGGCTCTACTTCTTCGTGTGCCTCTTCTTCAGTTTCCTTTGCCTCTTCATGACGATCATGGATGACAGTGGATTGAACTATGGTTTGCTGGACACTGATGTGAGTTTCTGTGTGAACTATTTTCTCCTCCTCGTGAAGCACCTGAACGCCTTCAACGTCAGAAACCACATCTTCCATATGTTCTTCTTCTTGTGGTTTTTGATCTTGTTCCGTTACCACTTCCTCATGCAGTTCTTGTTCTGGAAGGGTTTCCAGTTCAACTTCTTCAGAGGCAGCTTCTTCCTCAATTCTTTCCTCTTTCATGACTACATCTTCTGTTTCTTGTTCAGATATTTCCACTGGTGCAACTTCCTCTGCCGCAGGGGTAACTTCTTCTTCAGGTGCAGCTTCTTTCAGTTTTTCCACTTCTTCAACCACCTGCTCTTCACGTGCTTGCACAGGTTCCTCTTCTTCATAAGGAACTTCTGGCACAGTTTCTTCCTCAATTATTTTCTCTTCCATGACAACCTCTTCTGGTTCTGGCTCATCAAAAGTTTCCTCTTCCTTTACCTCAATTCTCTCCTTTTCTTCGATTGCTGGCTCTGGAATCTCTTCCTCTGGAAGCACAACTTCTTCAGATGCCTCTTCTTCAGTTGCTTTCGACTCCCCATGAAGATCATAGGTTACTGTAGACTGAACAATGGTTTGCTTGACACTGATATGAGTTTCTGTGTGAACTAGTTTCTCCTCATCTTGAACCACCTGAGAAACATCTTCAACTTCAGGAGCCACAAGCTCTATATGTTCCTCTTCCTTTGGTTCTTGATCTGGTTCAGTAACAATGTCCTCCTGTATTTCTTGTTCTGGAAGGGTTTCTTGTTCAACTACTTCAGGAGCAGCTTCTTCCTCCATTCTTATCTCTTGCATGACTACCTCCGTTTCTTGTTCTTCCTCATAGATTTTCTCTGGTGCCACTTCCTCTACCTCAGGAACAACCTCCTGGGCAAACTCTTCTTCTGGTGCAGCTTCTTCCATTTTTTCCTCTTCTCCAACAACCTGTTCTTCAGGTTCTTGCACAGGCTCCTCTTCTTCAGGAAGAATGTCTGGCGCAGCTTCTTCCTCAATTGTTTTCTCTACCATGACAACCTCTTCTTGTTCTAAAACTTCTTCTGGAGCTACTTCTTCCTCAATTCTCTCCTCTTCTTCAATTGCTGGCTTTGGAACCTCTTCCTGTGGAAGAACCTCTTCTTCAGATGCTTTCACCACTTCGTGAAGATCATAGCTGACCGTAGATTGAACAATGGTTTGCTGGACACTGATATGAGTTTCTGTGTGAACTATTTTCTCCTCATCTTGAACCACCTGAGAAACATCTTCAACTTCGGGAGCCACATGCTCTATATGTTCCTCTTCCTTTGGTTCTTGATCTGGTTCAGTAACAACGTCCTCCTGTATTTCTTGTTCTGGAAGGGTTTCTTGTTCAACTTCTTCAGGAGCAACTTCTTCCTCAATTCTTTCCTCTTGTACGACTACTTCTGTTTCTTGTTCTTCCTCATAGATTTCCTCTGGTGCCACTTCCTCTACCTCAGGAACAACCTCCTGGGCAACCTCTTCTTCCGGTGCAGCTTCTTCCATTTTTTCCTCTTCTTCGAATACCTGTTCAGGTTCTTGCACAGGCTCCTCTTCTTCAGGAAGAATGTCTGGCGCAGCTTCTTCCTCAATTGTTTTCTCTACCATGACAACCTCTTCTTGTTTTGGTTCTGGCTCTGGCTCCTCATAAGTTTTCTCTACTACAATTTCCTCTTCTTTTTCTATCTCTTCTTCTTCTGGAGCTACTTCTTCCTCAATTCTCTCCTCCTCTTCAATTGCTGGCTCTGGAACCTCTTCCTGTGGAAGAACCTCTTCTTCGGATGCTTCCACCACTTCGTGCAGATCATAGCTGACCGTAGATTGAACAATGGTTTGCTGGACACTGATATGAGTTTCTGTGTGAACTATTTTCTCCTCATCTTGAACCACCTGAGAAACATCTTCAACTTCAGGAGCCACAAGCTCTATATGTTCCTCTTCCTTTGGTTCTTGATCTGGTTCAGTAACAATGTCCTCCTGTATTTCTTGTTCTGGAAGGGTTTCTTGTTCAACTACTTCAGGAGCAGCTTCTTCCTCCATTCTTATCTCTTGCATGACTACCTCCGTTTCTTGTTCTTCCTCATAGATTTTCTCTGGTGCCACTTCCTCTACCTCAGGAACAACCTCCTGGGCAAACTCTTCTTCCGGTGCAGCTTCTTCCATTTTTTCCTCTTCTCCAACAACCTGTCCTTCAGGTTCTTGCACAGGCTCCTCTTCTTCAGGAAGAATGTCTGGCGCAGCTTCTTCCTCAATTGTTTTCTCTACCATGACAACCTCTTCTTGTTCTAAAACTTCTTCTGGAGCTACTTCTTCCTCAATTCTCTCCTCTTCTTCAATTGCTGGCTCTGGAACCTCTTCCTGTGGAAGAACCTCTTCTTCGGATGCTTCCACCACTTCGTGAAGATCATAGCTGACCGTAGATTGAACAATGGTTTGCTGGACACTGATATGAGTTTCTGTGTGAACTATTTTCTCCTCATCTTGAACCACCTGAGGAACATCTTCAACTTCAGGAGCCACATGCTCTATATGTTCCTCTTCCTTTGGTTCTTGATCTGATTCAGTAACAACGTCCTCCTGTATTTCTTGTTCTGGAATGGTTTCTTGTTCAACTTTTTCTTCAGGAGCAGCTTCTTCCTCCATTCTTATCTCTTGCATGACTACCTCCGTTTCTTGTTCTTCCTCATAGATTTCCTCTGGTGCTACTTCCTCTACCTCAGGAACAACCTCCTGGGCAAACTCTTCTTCTGGTGCAGCTTCTTCCAATTTTTCCTCTTCTTCGAATACCTGTTCAGGTTCTTGCACCGGCTCCTCTTCTTCAGGAAGAATGTCTGGCGCAGCTTCTTCCTCAATTGTTTTCTCTACCATGACAACCTCTTCTTGTTTTGGTTCTAGTTCTGGCTCCTCATAAGTTTTCTCTACTACAATTTCCTCTTCCTTTTCTATCTCTTCTTCTTCTAAAACTTCTTCTGGAGCTACTTCTTCCTCAATTCTCTCCTCTTCTTCAATTGCTGGCTCTGGAACCTCTTCCTGTGGAAGAACCTCTTCTTCGGATGCTTCCACCACTTCGTGAAGATCATAGCTGACCGTAGATTGAACAATGGTTTGCTGGACACTGATATGAGTTTCTGTGTGAACTATTTTCTCCTCATCTTGAACCACCTGAGAAACATCTTCAACTTCAGGAGCCACATGCTCTACATGTTCCTCTTCCTTTGGTTCTTGATCTGGTTCAGTAACAACGTCCTCCTGTATTTCTTGTTCTGGAAGGGCTTCTTGTTCAACTACTTCAGGAGCAGCTTCTTCCTCCATTCTTATCTCTTGCATGACTACCTCCGTTTCTTGTTCTTCCTCATAGATTTCCTCTGGTGCCACTTCCTCTACCTCAGGAACAACCTCCTGGGCAAACTCTTCTTCTGGTGCAGCTTCTTCCATTTTTTCCTCTTCTTCGAATACCTGTTCTTCAGGTTCCTGCACAGGCTCCTCTTCTTCAGGAAGAATGTCTGGCGCAGCTTCTTCCTCAATTGTTTTCTCTACCATGACAACCTCTTCTTCTTCTAAAACGTCTTCTGGAGCTACTTCTTCCTCAATTCTCTCCTCTTCTTCAATTGCTGGCTCTGGAACCTCTTCCTGTGGAAGAACCTCTTCTTCGGATGCTTCCACCACTTCGTGAAGATCATAGCTGACCGTAGATTGAACAATGGTTTGCTGGACACTGATATGAGTTTCTGTGTGAACTATTTTCTCCTCATCTTGAACCACCTGAGAAACATCTTCAACTTCAGGAGCCACATGCTCTACATGTTCCTCTTCCTTTGATTCTTGATCTGGTTCAGTAACAACTTCCTCCTGTATTTCTTGTTCTGGAAGGGTTTCTTGTTCAACTTCTTCTTCAGGAGCAGCTTCTTCCTCCATTCTTATCTCTTGCATGACTACCTCTGTTTCTTGTTCTTGCTCATAGATTTCCTCTGGTGCTACTTCCTCTACCTCAGGAACAACATCCGGGGCAACCTCTTCTTCCGGTGCAGCTTCTTCCATTTTTTGCTCTTCTTCAACAACCTGTTCTTCAGGTTCTTGCACAGGCTCCTCTTCTTCAGGAAGAATGTCTGGTGCAGCTTCTTCCTCAATTGTTTTCTCTACCATGACAACCTCTTCTTGTTTTGGTTTTGGCTCTGGCTCCTCATAAGTTTTCTCAACTACAATTTCCTCTTCTTGTTCTAAAACATCTTCTGGAGCTTCTTCTTCCTCAACTCTCTCTTCTTCTTCAATTGCTGGCTCTTGAATCTCTTCCTGCCGAAGCACCTCTTCTTCAGGTCCCTCTTTTTTAGTTTCTTTCACCTCTTCGTGAGGAACATAGCTGACAGTGGACTGAACTATGGTTTGCTGGACACTGATGTGAGTCTCTGTGTGAACTATTCTCTCATCCTCTTGAACCACCTCAGCAACATCTTCAGGTACTTGTTCTGGCTCTTTGTAGGCTTCCACTGGTGCAATTACCTCCTCTGGAATAACTTCTTGATCATCCTCTTCAAGGGCAGCTTCTTCCTGAATATGTTCCTTTTTCACATATACCTCTTCTTCTGGCTCTTCTGGCCTTTCAGGTTCTTGCTCTGGTTCTTTGTAGGTGTCCACTGGTGTAAGTTCCTCCTCAGGAATGACTTCTGGGGCAGCTTCTTTAGGGGCAGCTTCTTCCTCAAGTCTTTCCTCCTCCACAACTACCTCCTCTTCTGGCTCTGGCTCTTGATAAGCTTCCTCTTGAACAATTTCTTCTTCCAATTCTTCAGGGACCACTTCCGGTGTAACTTCTTCCAGCACAGCTTGTTCCTCAATTCTCTCTTCTTCCAACGTCACCTCTTCAAGTGGTTCAGGCTTTTCAGCATATATAATTTCTTCGGGCTGTTCTTCTGCCCGGGAGGTCAAATGAATGACCTCTCTGTGAACAATTGTCTCAGTTTTATGTACAGTTGTCTGCACCAGAACATCAGCTCCCATATCTGGTGGCACTTCCAGTTTGGTCTCTGGTTGTTCACGAATGTCTTCTTCTGGAATTTCCTCTTGGAGATCACTAGCTACATCAGGTTCTTCGGGTTCTGGTTCTTCTTCAGGTTTTGGTTCTACTTCGGGTTCTGGCTCTTTAGCTTCCGGTTCTGGTTCTAATATAGGTTCTGGTTCTTCTTCAGGCTCTGGGCTAGCTTCCCTTTGCTCAATTACCTCCTCCTGCTCTACCTCTTTGGGTTCCTTTAGAACCTCTTCCGAAGGTTCTTCTTCAACATGCTCCATCTCTTTCTCTGCTTCTTCAAATTCCTCCTTCGTCTGTATAACAGGAACCTCTTCTTGGACAACCGCTTCCTGAATTTCCTCTTCTCTTGGAATATCCACAGGCTCCTCGTGAGCATCTTTGCTCACGGAAATCACTGTAGAAGTCACTTCTGACACATCTGGCACCCCTTCCTCTGTAATTCTCACTCTCTTGGTTATTTTGGTTGTGGTTGTAGTTATCGTTTGCTCTCGGAACACGGTGCTGTCATGGATAGCTGCTTCTGGTTCCTGTGATGGAGCTGGTTCCACTGATGGTTCCTACAAGGAAAACTTTTCGTCAGGAACTTGCATAACAGCAGACACACTCGCATTAATGTTTACACATGCACTTTTCTTTCCAGGTTCAAATATTTGAGCACCAGAATAACCATAAAAATGAGATGCTCTACATGTTCATTCTTTTCGAGTTCACTCACAACCCTAAGTTGTGTGTCTACCTACCTACAATAAAACCCACCGCAGACTAAACTCCAGTTCAGAAATCAGACCCAAAGTGGCTATAGGGATTTGCATCTATAAGTGCCAACCCAACCACTTCACAGCCTTTGTGAAATTTAACTGCAAGAAAATTATTTGTAGCCTTCAGCAAAATTTAAAAAATAATCCAGACTGAAGTACTCCAGGAGCAAAGAGAACTAAATGAGAACTTAGGCCGATTGGGTATATTTGTCAGCCCATCATACATTTTCCAATACATCAAACAAATTCAGTTAAATATAGAAAATATCAAATGGACTTGAAATACTCTGAATGTGAGCTATGCAACACAAATTCTGTTCACTTTTGAACATTTGAAACCCATGAAACTGGTCGTACCGTGTACCTTCCCCTGATCTGCCTCCATACATACCTCTTGCTCCTGAGGGGTTTCCGCCACACTCTCCCCTCCTTGTCTAGTCTTGGCCTCTACCTGTTCAACCAATTTCTCCTGCGGTTAATCACACGTGAGTCACCAGCAATCAAGATACAACACGCACACCAGACTAGAACTAAGATGGTGCATACATGGTCAATGGTGATCTCTAAATCTAAAAGCACTAGGCAGACATTTTGAACAGATAGATTCGACAGCCAATTTCATTATCTTTAAATTCTGGCAACCATGTTTCTGAAGTTGGCAATTCATCCCTCAACAAATACTGTTGGAGGAAAATATTCAAAACAGAAACATATTACATAATTTAATTATGTTTATGCAACTTTGATTCTGCTAGATTAGTTGGCAAGATGTAAATCATTTTTCCAATGCAAATTATTATTATTATTATATTATAAGGTGTACCTTGGGTACAAGACAAAATGGCTGCCAGTTAGAAATTGCTTTTGATGTGAATGTCAGATGACTTCCCTCATTACATTTTATGTAGTTCGACTTGAACTACATTTCCTATTTGTTAATTCAAACGTTTGGGGGAAAAAAATGGCTTGGCAACAAATTTTATCATAATTTCACATGTACGTCAGCCGAAAAATCCCCAATTAGGTAATCTGACGCAAATGTACTTTCTTAAAAAAAATGACAAGGGAAGTCATGTACATATTCAACATCAATTTTGGCTGAGAAAATTTACTGCACTGTCTAAAAACTATGTGAGTTAGTGAGTGCGAATCAGCCAAGATTAGATGCTATCCAATGAGAATGCAAAACGAAATAAACGAGAAAAAAAAGAAAGAAGCAAGCGATGCAATGGGACCATGCAAGGTAATATAAAGGTCTGCATACAGGTAAAGGATGGGACCCATGGTTATGGAGATTAGAAACGGGAAAACAGGATAATGTTTGTGAATGTGATCAAACCTTTTCATGTACTTAATGTTTTTTTATACTACTCCGTTTTAAATCTATTAGTTTAACATTAAAGTTTAAATGTACTATTTCTACTACAATGAGATTTGCCAGGCTTAAATTAATAATTTGGTGAAATTTAAAGCTTAACTTGAACAAGGTTCAGCATATAATTAGTCCAACAGATATTATGGATTAATACCAACAACGTAAATTAATATATTACATTATTTGCAGAAAAACAACTTTAGAAATCTATTATGAAAATCGCTTGAGTTTACCAGCAATAAGATTAGATGCTAACAATTTAAATTTCAGACGAACAAACATGTACGCACAAACGACATGAAGACAAAACAGTTGACAATTAAACAAAATGAAACATAAAAGATCCCACGGAGTGCTTCTTTTGTTAACCTAAAATAAAGAGTGGGACGTTACTTTAGTGAGGTGTTGCTAAGGGTAAATTGGAAGAAAATGGTAAAAACTGTAACTCACCTAAGTTCCAATTGAAAATATTATTGTTTGTTTTTTTATTTGTGGATTTAACAGCCCGATTGAAATTATTTATGCCGGATTAAAATTAAATTGATGCATTGAGGGTGATTTGGTTAACATTCATGACAGTGATGTAGTCGAGTCCATCACAAGTCCCTGCAAGTCCATCACAAGTCCATCACAAGAACTTCAGTCTCAAGTCAAGTCACAAGCTATTCAAATGAACTGTTACAAAAGTATTCCTTTGTCATTGTTCATCCTGTTACTTATGACTGAACTCATGAAAGGACTTGTGACTGGACTTGTGAAAGAACTTGTGAACGCCTCGACTACACCACTGATTCATTAAAAACATTGTTAGACAGCGAGAAAAATGAATAGGATACTTCCTGAAGTCAAGGCAATATATTCAGTAGCATCTCTCATGCACGTTGTTATTGATTGGTTGTGTACATGTACTTATTACAGGTGAAAATCAAAACAATATGTCAAAGATGATGCACACAAAAAATGGGTCAAATTCAGATGTTATTTTTTAGATGAGTTTTAGCATTCCAAGCAAGCATTTGGGGGATGTTATTGTTATTTTGGCTGAAAATCATGTTGCTTGTCGGGCACAAAGATGATTGCTTTTGATAGGGATGGAATTGTCAATTCTTTAAAAGTCTTTAAATTCTTTAAATTGTCAATTCTGCAAAGTCTGAAAGATGCATTTCTTTCTACTGTTTTTCACTCAGATTCAAAAGGTCTGGTGTCAGACAGAAAGTCTGAAAAAAAAAACTGATGTCTTTTCAACAAGGTGTAATTTAAAATGTTTAAGCCAGGAAGACAAAACGGGATTCCACATTTTTCTGCCACAAAAATAATTTAGAGTTTTCCTGATGCTGAACTGCCAAAGCTAAAGCTGCAAAATGCATGGAAATTTCAACAACACAGAAACAATTTTTTTTTTACTTTTTCATTTTTTGGGGGTTGGTATTTTCGCTAACAACTTTTAGCAACTTTTTTGTTGCTCTGCAATCAAGCACACAGCTCAAAGCAATCATTTACTCTAAGTCACTACTCTAAAATAATTATTCAGGAATTCATCAAGAATGTATCTAATAAGCAAGCTTTGTGTGGATAATAAGTGAAAATGGTAGGATGTTAGAAAGTTTGTTATTTTTCCAACAGAATTCACAAAATAACGTCGAGCCATACCTGCGGTTCGTCCTTAGGTTGGGGAAGCTCTTCTTTGACATCCTGAAATGGAAATGCAATAAACTGTTCAGTAACACGATTGCTTCCGTTCACCCTTACTACCCAAATCTGTTAAAAATCAATCACCTAATTCTGCAGCATTTTTGAAAGCCAGTCCACTTTTACTTTACATAGAGCTGGTTATCACTGTTTCACCCCAATTAGGTTATCGGTCCCAACTTAAGTTGGGACAGTCCCAACTTAAGTTTGGAAGGTACTAACTTAAGTTGGGAACGTACCAACTTAAGTTGGGAATGTACCAACTTAAGTTGGGACAGTCCCAACTTAAAATGGAACGTACCAACTTCAGTTGGGACAGTCCCAACTTAAGTTGGGAACGTACCAACTAAATTGTTGCAAAGTTGGGACAGCCGAAGCTTAAGTTGGGACTATATGGTCTGGTTCGGGCGTAACATCTCAATTTTCTTGAGAAGAATAAGTGCAAAGAATATGTCATTGTTTACTGCATGGAATTAGATTTGTGAAAATTTAGGAAATTTCCAAAATAACCACAAGTGCGAGTTAACACAGTAATACTTTTCAAAAGCAGCCTACAACACTGCAGAAGAACATCGTGTGCTTTGTGCATACCAGTATTTATATACAAACAATATTTTTTTTTCAAGTGCTTATATATCCATGCACTCTTTAGGTCAGATATGCTTTAAATCTTAGAATCTTTACAAAAAAACTAACGTAGTGCTTGCCAAGCAAACAAAAACTGTGCTGGTAAGTGTAGCATTTTCATGCTATTTTTAAAGATTCAGTTCGGTGACGCTGAAAACTGTTGACAGTGAAACACCATTGCATTGTCAATGAACAGCCGTGCTATTTGTTTATCCATGCAGTTAATGATCATGTCAACAAATTTGTATGAACAGAAATTCACAGCGCAGTATGACACTATTCCTCTTTTTTTTCAAGTATGTGTTAATATGTTGTGAGGAGACACTTTAATTCATGTCGTAATGTGAAATGATGTGCCAGGATTGGCAAGTTCACCATGCAGCAATGATATCATGAAAGAGTCAATGAATGAGTTTTTAACATGCAATAGCATCAACAACAACAAAAAAGAACAAGAAGAACATGCAAGCATGATATCTGAATATCAGTATGGTGACAGGCTTTAAAAAAAAACCTACAAGTGCTCCAAAAGTGCTCTTACTTTAAGTAACTGTTCTGCTAGAAACTGCAAGGAGAATGCAAACAGAATAAAACCAAAAAAGGTTGGGGATTACAAGAGACTACAGACGATACAGATGTGTCTTTTCTACTTGAGGAAAGAAAAAGCTGAAGGAAAAATCTACAGGTTTTATGGACAGTGAAAGAAATGTCTAGTTCTGACATGTACGGACTCCATGTAGACCAATGGTTTTAGGAATAAGAAGATGCAATGTCGTTGTCAGCATGGCAACTTGTGCTTCATTTTTGTTAAGATGACATAGCCACAAGATACTACAGTTTAACCAGTTCGCGCCGGAGGTCGTGTATACACGCAAAACTTTTGCGGTATTCGGAACGGATGACACACAAAGACGCAGGGAGCGAGGCCGGAAAACTCTGTCAGCAACCCGCTCGCAGCGAGTGAGGACGGAAATATGAGTGTGCTGCCCGAGGGTGATGGCTTCAACCAACGCCTCGTTCTGTTCTTGTCAAAATACTCCCGGCGACCGGCGTGAACTGGTTAAAGATTTTGCTGCTTGTTGCCCACTCTGAAAAACAGCATGTGTGAAACACTGCACATGTTTGCATCATTTTTTGCGTGGCTTGACAAAAGAGCGCCCTCTGGCGTTCCTACATGGAGTCGATTAGATGGCCCAAACTCAAGGTACAGAGATAGGACCATGGTAAAGTGCAAACAAAAACAACTAGTTTGGTAAATGAGATCACCAAAAAACACCCAGAAACTAACTATGATCCCCAATCCTGGCATTTGTTGCCCTTTTTCGACTGATTCAAAGAAATATAACAGATGAAAATGAAACTGAAGCATCACTAAGACAAGAGAAAGGAAACGAAATGAAACCCATATCACCGAGTACATAGGTGACTTTCTACAAGCAGTGAACTAACGGCAATCCTTAGGGAGCAAGTTGGTCCAAACCATTCAGTAAAAAAATTGCCTGTACTTGTACGTAAGTACTGACCGGATGGAAGCGCACAAAGTGTAACATCCATACTTTGAAGTTTTTCCCATATAATTAAAACTGCACTTCACGTATTTCAAGAAAATAGAAGTTTCAATTAAATGCAATGAGCTCCATGACTGCAAATAAGGTCAAGGGTCATTGCCATGACAACGACCTACCTGCTCCCTCAGGTTTGAGTACTGCCAAAATAAAAGAAACTATTGCAAATAAAATGGCAGCTAAATGAAACGGGGAATGACAAGTGTACAGCGTTCAAGGAAAAAAAACAACCTGACAAATTCCAATTGTGTGCCCCTACCTCAGCGTAACTTTCTAGGGGTGTAGAGGGTTGTCGCCTGGGTTGTGTGGCAGACTCAGCGATAGTGACCTCAGACGAAGGGCCGTGGGGAAAGTCGGATTCGGAACGGTCGGTTTCAGGGCTGGATTCTAAACCGGTGCGCACTGTGACCTGATGGAAGGACGTGGTGTACGTGGAGATTCCCACCTCATGACCCAGCGGGGAGATGGGGCTTTCGTCAAATGCCTGTGCTCCATGGTTGACACTGTACTTGTTATCGGTCAGATCAGGCCCACAGATCCTAGACGAGTCGTCTAGAGGTTCAGGATCGCAGATCAAGTCAGGATTGATGCCCTGGACGGTAGATTCAGACGTAGTGGAGATCGCAGGCTCCTCAACAGAATCAGGCTGCATCTCATAGTGAGGGTTGATTCCTTCGACCTCAGGAACAGTGTCAGTGGTGATGATCTCTTCAGAGACCGAGTCGGGTCCGACGTCGTAGTGAGGATTGATGCCTTCCTCATCAGCCGTCTTTGTGGCTTCTATGACCTCATCCGGTTGGGTAGTCACCACCATGTACTCATCGATATCAGGATCGGATTTCCGATCTGGGACCTCATCAACCTCGATACGAACCGGGGCATGCTTCTCAGTGTAAGAGTACTTCTCAGTCACGGTGGTGGTCGTGGTGGTCTTTGTCTTAGCATCATCAGGACCGACGTAGATCTCAGTCTCCGCGGAGGACTCGGACTCGGATTCGACCGGGCCGTCTTTACGACCGTCGGCCACCGCCTGGGTTCGTACTATGTGAGTCTGCTCAACCACAACCGTTCGGGTTGGGAATGTTTGTGTTGAATCTCCAGGCAGGGCCTAGTTGGGGAGTAGCGTAAATTGGAACTTGGAGTTAGAAAGCGTGAAATTCCAATACTCAACATTCTTCTGTTGTGGTCAAGTAGCTCGAGACGAGATGGCATCATGACCACTGCTCAACTCATCTTTTAAACTAATGAATATTTAAGGTTTTAAGTTCAATAAAATGACGAAAAAACTTCTGCTTAGAGTCTGAAAACTCTGAAATATCAGGCAAGTTAGTATGATACAGGACAGAGTTAGTGGATATCAACAAATGCTGGAAATTTCAGGCAAATTTTGAAGGGGGAAAAGACTGATGCAAATTGTTTACAATTATGGGTCAGGCAGCAAAACGCCAAGGAAATCAATTTTTTGTTGCAAACTGAATACAAATCATCAACTATTTTCGAAAGACAAGTGAACTCTTTTGGTAAAATCAGAGCCAACAACACTGCTTTTTTTGTGTGCAGAATCCAAACGTTGTACATGTTTATATACAAGCATGAGCTCATGATAAATGATTTCAGCATTTGCAATGAAGGCAAGCCTCATGTAGTTCATGTGCTTTTTCTTTTATAAAGTTGTACAGAATTTTTCATGAAAAGTTAAAGCATTCGGCATGCCATGATGCATTAAAAAACTTACTTCGTCAAAAAATTAAACAAGCTAACTAAACAGCTTGCTTTATAGTACAAATTGAAACATGATGACTGAGACGTTCATGTATAGATAAAAAGTAAACAATTAAGAAAATAGTTATAATGGAATGAATTGCTAAAAATTACCTTGGTTTCGGTTGGAGTTTGTCTGTCTTCCTGTTTACAAACAAAAAGGGAGACAATAAACCGATAGTTTGTTGTGCAATAATCATATTGGTTACCACATTTCACGACGGTGCGCACACAAGGTGTGTCCTGCTCACTGGATATCTACTGTCCCTGCCCACGATCCATACCTCGATAGGTCTATCCTGAAAAAAAACAACAAGAATCTCCGGACTTTCTTACCTCTTGGCTTTCTTCAAGTACGTCCACCGTCGGCTCAAACTGCATCTCCCGTCTCTCCTCCTCATGTTTCTCCAAAATCTCTTCCTTCATCTCCTGAGAAGATAAAGCCAAGCTTTACTTGTGATGGACTTGTGAGGACTTGTGTATTTGTCAGTTTCTTGGAGTAGCTTGTGAGGTGACTTGAGACAGGATGACTTGTGACAGACTTGTGAGGACTTGTGTATTTGTCACAGTTTCTTGGAGTAGCCTGATGACTTGTGATGGGCTTGTGAGGACTTGTGTATTTGTCAGTTTCTTGAAGTAGCTTGTGAGGTGGCTTGGGAAGGGGCGACTTGTGACAGACTTGTGAGGACTTGTGTATTTGTCAGTTTCTTGAAGTAGCTTGTGAGGTGGCTTGGGAAGGGGCGACTTGTGACAGACTTGTGAGGACTTGTGTATTTGTCACAGTTTCTTGGAGTAGCCTGATGACTTGTGATGGGCTTGTAAGGACTTGTGTATTTGTCAGTTTCTTGGAGTAGCTTGATGACTTGTGATGGACTTGTGAGGACTTGTGTATTTGTCAGTTTCTTGGAGTAGCTTGTGAGGTGACTTGAGACAGGATGACTTGTGACAGACTTGTGAGGACTTGTGTATTTGTCAGTTTCTTGAAGTAGCTTGTGAGGTGGCTTGGGAAGGGGCGACTTGTGATGGACTTGTGAGGACTTGTGTATTTGTCACAGTTTCTTGGAGTAGCTTGATGACTTGTGATGGACTTGTGAGGACTTGTGTATTTGTCAGTTTCTTGGAGTAGCTTGATGACTTGTGATGGACTTGTGAGGACTTGTGTATTTGTCAGTTTCTTGGAGTAGCTTGTGAGGTGACTTGAGACAGGATGACTTGTGACAGACTTGTGAGGACTTGTGTATTTGTCAGTTTCTTGAAGTAGCTTGTGAGGTGGCTTGGGAAGGGGCGACTTGTGATGGACTTGTGAGGACTTGTGTATTTGTCACAGTTTCTTGGAGTAGCTTGATGACTTGTGATGGACTTGTGAGGACTTGTGTATTTGTCAGTTTCTTGGAGTAGCTTGATGACTTGTGATGGACTTGTGAGGACTTGTGTATTTGTCAGTTTCTTGAAGTAGCTTGTGAGGTGGCTTGGGAAGGGGCGACTTGTGATGGACTTGTGAGGACTTGCGTATTTGTCACAGTTTCTTGGAGTAGCTTGTGAGGTGGCTTGGAAAGGGGCGACTTGTGATGGACTTTTGAGGTCTTGTGTATTTGTCAGTTTCTTGGAGTAGCTTGTGAGGTGACTTGGGACGGGACGACTTGTGACAGACTTGTGAGGACTTGTGTATTTGTCAGTTTCTTGAAGTAGCTTGTGAGGTGGCTTGGGACGGGGCGACTTGTGATGGACTTGTGAGGACTTGTGTATTTGTCACAGTTTCTTGGAGTAGCTTGATGACTTGTGATGGACTTGTGAGGACTTGCGACAGATTCAACTACAACACTGCATATTTTAGTGATTGTTCATTAATGCTCTACAACAAACTTGACAATGACCGACAACAAAAACAGAGCTCAAAATCTCAAATTTGTCAAAATCCTCACCTCATAAAGCTCAGCTGCTCCGGCATCCTAAAAAAAATATAAAAAAATAAATTTAACGAAATTTGTTGCACATTTGATAAACACTTTTACCCCAGCCAAAGTTTTAATGATTTTTTTTCTAGTGATATGGCTCATGATTTTTGTTTATTTTGATAAATAATACCCTCCATACAATTTTAGGGAGTCAATACATTGCTGGATGCGATATAAATAAATATGCTACAGTATGCCTACAAAATTTACATAAAATGTAGTGATAAAGCTAATAATGAACTGAAAATGTAGGATGTATTTTTAAGAGCAAATTAATTTAATTTTTTTCTGCAATATTTTTTATTAGCAGTTGGCTCACTACTTATGTAACTTAGTTTCACACACATGCAAAAGTAATTTTTTGGGTAAGAACGAATATTCATATAATGTTTATGTTATATGTGATTAGGCCATGGGAAAAGAATCTTCAAAGCTGGCAGAAAGTTTCAACAAATTGTTTAAATTTATATTTTCTGCATTTTTGCATTTAATATTCTCTTCATAAGCGTGAAGCATTTGCGGCTCTTTTACAGTCAACAAATTGAGCTCAAGACAACTGTAATATTTCCATCGACTGCTGGCCTCTGGCACTGTTGCTAGCAATGCAGCATCGTTTGTTTTTTGTTACTTCGTAAACATTGTTGAACAAAAACAGCAACACTTAAATATGCTCATGAAGGGCATTTTCACACAAGTTGCCAATGCAGTGCCTTGTACAAACATGCTCAAAATTGGAAAGAATGTTGCAACCTGACGCCACTTCAGCGGTTGTGTACAAAGTCTACGGAGAGTCACGAACATTTTCAAAGTATTTCCTAACAAAATTGGAAATGTTTCTCAGTCCCAGATTCATGTCGTATCATCCTTTTTGCAATGACTGACCTTCATTAAGATATATGAGGAAAAAAGCAGCGTCAGGTTGCAGCATTCTACCCTCCAAATTTTTGTTGTTTGCATTTTATAAAACTCTGAACAAATTGCGCCTCACTCACCAAATTGTAAATTACTGATTCCCATCTAACCCCCCCCCCCAATATAATACCTACAAAGAATCATACATACAACAACATGACTTTTATGCCTACTTTATTCATGCATGATACAATGAAAGTGTTAATTCGAAGAATGGATAAAAATATTACTAAAGGAAAAGTTCTCAGATCTTATGAAGTAACCCTAATAGTCTACATCTTGTAAATAGAGTGAAAATAATCTCAGGTAAATTCTAAAGAAAAAAAATGGAAGACTTTTGAAAAGTTTTGGTAACATGACAGAAATGGAGAGAAAAATGTGCATAAAAGCTAAAACGTATTTCGACAATACATGTACATGTAAGAATACAACTAGGGTTGTATAAATTATGATCATGGACAAAAATTGCTACACATATATTTTACACTAGGGAAAAATAAAGACAAGTACGTACTTTTTTTTTACTCACCACGCTTTGAAACAGACATGCATGCAGGCAGGCAAGACTTTGGGTTTTGTGACGACGACACATTGGGAAGGATAACACATGAATATACATACATCACAGGCTGGCTTTGTCGACTGGTACACTACGCAACACAACAACCACGGTGATATTTTTTGGGAAGGGACATTGGCTGCTACTTTAACATGGCGTGACAATGGACCGATCCGTTAAGCCCCGCCCGCATTAAGTTCTGACCAATCACAGCAGTGATTGCTGTTGTTACCCATATGCAAATTAAGTGGGCGGGGCTTATGGCCAAATCTGGAACGGTCCATTCTGGGAAGGAGGTGAGATTGGATGCACAGCCCAAAATAATTTGCTGCACATTCGGTTAAAGATGGCGAAGAAAGAAAACATAAACAAAATTGAAAAAAAAAGTACCTGGCTGAGATTCAAAGCATTGAATAAATCACTAAAATCACATGCACCTGTGGCTGAGACCTTAAAAAGGAAAAGAAAATAGCAAAATAAATCAACACACAGGAAAAGAAAGATAGGGATGGAGGTTGGTGGAACAAGGTTGAGGATGTTGTCACTGGTGGGGAAGGGAGGGGGGAGAAGGGGGGGGGGAGAAAGGGGGTCGGCAAGCTATTTTGGGAGTGAAACCCAATATTGTTGTGCACGCTCAGTTCATGAACGACTTGTGCCCGGGGTGTGCAACAACGCAGGACGTGCAACTGCGAACGTGCGGTGTTTTCTCATCCCGGTATGATGAGACAAGCTTGTTGCCACAAGAAACGAACTTGCAGTTGCGAAGCTGAGGAATGCTCGACCATTACGCAAAACACACATGCGTGTACATGTGCATGTATCCTGTTCTTTAAGATGGCACAAATATCTGAAGTCAGGTTTTAAGTATACTTCTCTGCACATAATCGTCTTAAGGGAAATTTAGATTCCACTTTGATTATTCTTTGAAACGCTCGCCATTCAAATCTAAGACAATCACCACGGGAAACTCATTCAATGATAATCAGGCATACACACACAGCCACCATTTTGCAACTTAACAACATCACCACTGCCCTTTTTTTTAAGCACAATCTTGCGACACTCTGCTTATTAATAAAAAAAAATATATACATAAACATTTAGAATGCGACCGGGTTAAGAATTGCAACCATACCTGCACAGACACAGAACAAGAGCGCATGAAGAAAAAGAAGATGATTGTTAAACCACAAAAAAGATGACATATCAAAATGAATATATGATGAACTTTGTAAGATGACTGTTAATCAACCCTTACTGGAGCAACTTGCATCACAAAAACGAGGGGAAAATGAATACATACTGAATACTAAACTACTTTTCAAACTCCTTTCACACTTTCTCTTTAAAGTTGATCAAAGAAATTGACTGGAGCGGGGTTTGAACCTGCTACCTCCGGATAGCCGTTCAGGTGCTCAACCAGCTTTTTGTCAAAATCGTTTTTCAAGGGGCACTAGTCAGAAGCCACAAAACCATATACATGAATGCCGTGTAGCCAGGGACCACACCAAAAGTTATGATTAGGCCTGGGCGAGTAGTTGATTTTCAGCTCGAGTACTCGAAGAGAAATTACTCGCAAGTAGTCGAGTACTCATGAGTAGTTAACTGAACTCCCACAGAAGCAGAAAATGACATTTTCACGTTATTATGATGTGAATTCGTCCAAAGTAACAAGCAAACTGCATGCAAGTCACTGCACATTCTGCACCGAGTTATTTCTTGTTAAAGTCAATACTCATACAAAACAATTGCTGCTCGCGAGTACCTTCTTCTGCTCATGCCATGATGAGTACTCGAGAAGATAAAAAAATCATGAGAACGAGTAGCAGTAACTACTCATGAGTACCTGAGTACCCAAGGTACTCGCCCAGAAGTAGTCATGATGCTTAGTAGTCAGGCTTCATCGTGTTATTGCAAATTAGAGCCCCCAAAACAGAAAAGGTGTTGTCTTTCTCCAAACATGGACAAAAAACAAACAAACTCTGGAAATGCAAGAACTTTGTAAAACATTTGCAAGCAACAGTGCAACCGCAAGGAGCTTGAGGCACAAACAACAAAAGAGAATGAGCGACACGGACAAAGATTTCAAGACCGCTAGTAACAATTGAAGAACCACAATGTAACAACTACCAAGGAATAGAATAGGAAAATGTCTGGGCATCAAACTGTGTATACCTCTGGTATTCCAGCAGCTATAGCCTCCTCTTTTAATTCCTAGAGTCGGAGGGCGTAAGGGAGGGACAAAAACAAGGTAGGTTGAAGTGAGGTATAGACCATTATCATGTTGCGGCCATCTTGATATTTTCCCATTCAAATCAACGTAACCAAAGCGAGGCTGGAAGAAAAAATAGTCTGGTTCCTTTTTGTACAAAAAATGTCGTCATTCAGTACTGTTATGGGATACAGGGAACATGACTGGAATGGTGGCAGCATGATTGAGGTCTATTACGGGTATGTGCTCAATGAAACCATCATGGTCTGGTAACCTTTTCCTCACACTTTGAAGTGAGTGAATAACAGAGGCACCAGCACACTGCTATGGAGCCTATCAAAAATTTCTTTTGACATGGTACATGTACATGTACATGTACACGCCAATGTAAAGTACATGTACCTCAATGAGTCTAGGAACCAGACTATATGTAGGCCAGATACATTATGTCATCAGTGTTATCAAGTTTTCTCCAAAACAGGTCTAAAAAACATTTCATTTTTATTTGGACTGCAGTAATAAATATCAAAACACCTCTTGGAAACACAACAATACGGCAATTCAAGAAACAGGAAGATCTTTTTAAGCAAATTCTTTTAAAGTCTGAACAACTCCGAACTTAATTCTATCTACATCAGCATTGCTACAAAACAAACCAGCAGCTAGCCCATTGCACACAACCTGAACGGAATTGTTAACAAAACTATGCAACACTGAATGAAAAAGACGGCGGGTAGGGGTGGGGAAGACGGGGGAGAAGGGGTGGGGGCAAAACAAAACTACTCAAAGCTTAAACTCCAGAGGCCTTGCTAGCTCCCACCACTTATTATAAATCTTATATCTGTCTCGGTGAAATATTAAAACCCAATGCATGCACTACCCTGATCTGCCTTGCTTGGGAGATTTCACCACGACAAAGAAATATAAAAATGGATCTTTGATGAATTTACACATGTACTTCCGACCGCCAACAACAATATTCAATTTCATGCGGTGTTTACATCTCATTCTGACGTACACTTAGCACTGACATTTTTCAATCTGATGTGATGGTGATGATTTCTTTGCATTATTTTCACAAAATTACACACAATCTTTTAAAAGACAGTTGTGAGATTGTTTTAAAAGTTTCCCTGATAAAAAAAACCCAAAAAAACAAAAAACCAACATTAACCGACTTGCATCATTTTAAAGTTGCGTTTCCCATGCTATTTTCGATTTTCATCCCGAAAAATAGATTCCTTTTATAAATTAATATTTTTCTAGCGCAAAAGTTATTCACTTTAGAATGAGGCATCGACCGAAAAAAATCGGCCCATGTTTAATTATTACCATACAATTTTGTAATCTGGCAGACAATAATTCCATTTTTGAGTGTTAGGCTGGTTCCCGCCCCACATTCAGTATTGATAATCTACATTGTACAGACTGGGAGCCAGTCTTCTCGCAAAGCGGATATGTTTGTGCTCAAAATAAACATCTTCTTTCAGAGGGTTTCAGACGTCCAAAAATGAAAGAATTTAAAGGGGTTGTTTTGGGGGGGTTGGAATAAAACTGAACGTACAAGTTGAACATTTAATTAGGGAATACACATGTGCTTGGAAGGTGTTAAACACTATGTTTAGTCTGGAGTGCTTATAATTACATGAGGCGAAGCCGAGGGTAGTTATCAGCATTCCAGACTCCAACCAGTCTTAAACATAGTGTTTAATACCAACCAAACACATATTGATTCCCATTCATAAGTACCTTTTTGGTCAAAAAATCAAAACTTTTCAGTCCAAAAGTTAAAAACAAATAAAAAATAAAAAAATTCCAATTATTTTGTTCAACAATTTTACTTTCTTGTTTTTTTAAAACACCCTCTAGCTATAAAGTGGAGTGTCCAGCTCGCGAGTAAGATGTAAACAACTCCTTTTGTGGAGATTGGCAAGCGCGTCGTGCGTACTGCGCGATGACGCGCAGATGCAGCTGTGGTGAGTGCGTTGTGAATTTAGGACTGACTCATCGGTAGTATTGCGCATGCCTACGTGAGGATTGTTAACGTTCAACCAATAAAACGGTAAAAGGCACTGGATTTCACAGGAGTCCAAATTTCATGTGGCACTGGAAAAATGTTTAAGACCAGCCAGCCATGTCTTTAACATCCATTGAAAGACTGGCCATGTGACAGGCTCTCGACCAATGGGAATGGGTAAACTATTTAGGTACTTATGCATAATAAATAAAAATTTAGTTTGATGAAGAGCATAGGAAACGCAACTTTAAAACACTCAAATTGATTCATGCAAATTGTTCTTGTTTTTTTTTCTGGGTGAAGTGAAACAGCCTTTTAAAAAAAAATACAACAGCCAAAACTAGGAGGATGCTTGGTTCATATCTCAAAAATCTCATGAGAGTCTTGCAGACAAAGGTGCAATGGGAGTAGGGGGGGTGGAGCCATCTGGGAGAAGACAGGAAAAAGAGGGGGGTGCAGGGATAACACACAAGGTTCAATACCTTGATCAAACTTTCAGCGACTTCGTCCTTAGCTTGTTCCTGTGATGTAATAAAACCAAGCAGTGGTGGATTTTTGGGGGCAAATTCTCGGCCAAAGTTGTTTCTTTTAAAACTATCGTGTGGGTACAAATTGCAGGATGCTCTACAATTATTCATTTAGAATCCTAAACAAAAACCCTACATATTCAGAAATTATTCCTTTTCCGACTAGATCAACTTGAAATATAACAGATTCCAGAATAACACTTTATTTACTTCATATTTTGGACCATATTTTTCTGTTTGTATTTTTTCAAGGTTTTGAATGCATGTGGCACTAAGATATGTACCTTCACAGCGTTCTCAATATCAGAGGGAACCCGTCTCTGTAAAAACAAAAATGGATTATTCCATACATGAATATGAAAATATGTAAATCAGTCATGAAGAATGCATTAAGGTATGTCGCAACGAAACACATGAATGGAGCTTGAACTGATCCATGCACGCGAAACATAAATATGATAATTACACTTTTTACACTGGTTTGAAATTAAACGTCATAAATGTCATTCATGTCCTCTTTTCTGATTTTACTGCACCAGCGATGAAACTACATGTCATATTGTTAATAAATTTACATAACAAAGCACTTTCTCTGAGAGACCTGCAATTTGTAAGGTTTATCATCAACATTTGGCCAAATGCTGAGTACATGTAAGTCAACAGTTGAACTCAATTTTTTTTTCAGTTAGTTTTTTGTTTTTGTTTTGATTTACCGTATTTATAATTTGTTCCCTTTTCTCTAGAGAAGAGTATAATTCGCATATCCTACACTTACTCTGTCCAGATACACTGGGGGAAATGTCTAAAAAAAAAACATAGAGGGAGCAACAAAAGATTCAAGCATGAAACATGAAGACAAGTTGGAAAAAAAAAGGAAGGATCAAAGTTGATGTCTAATCTCTGTTTGATGCTGAACGCTGATGAAGAATGTGCAGCCATGATGCAGCGATGGCCTGCATCTCAAAACACAGTTACTTCTTGGAGTTTACCAGTTGAGAAAATATGACACAAACGTCAAACAACAAATGAAACAGCCAAGACAATACAAAAACAATCAACACAAGAAATATGTAAAACCACACTGCTGCCGATGGGTAACGTTTCCGACAAGCATAACTTTGGTTTTTCCAAACCCATCAAGGTTATGTGAGGAATATGGAAAACAATTGCATAAATGATTTTTTTTTCACTAAACAAAACAGTTTGGCAGAAATAATATTTTTCAAAATATGGCAAAATCTACACCCAGCAGCATATCACAACAAAAACGCTGACTCAACCGTTGACAACTGATCAAACTCCGAAACTGAAACTACTCAAATAAAAAACAACAACAGGGCCAAGTAATTTTACAAACTGACAAGCCAATCACAAGACAACACCCCAAAAAATGGCAACCGTGACATCACTATTGACCAATCAGATCAAGCCATGAGTGGTTGTCCAGCCAATCACAGACAGTTTCACTGCCACCAGATACTTGGTCTGTACACTCATGCACTACCTCGGTGCGGACTTCGGTCCTCGTTGTTACAGTGCGATGGACCTCTTTCACTATTTTTCGGCTGTAGCCGTCCGCATCCTAACAGTTGGACGTTTTATGATTTACAAAGAGAGCATAAGGGCTTGTTTAGACGCAGACAACACAATGAAAACTAAACTGGTGCAACTACACTTGTTCTACGTGACAATTTGTGGAGTAATTGCAGAATACCCCGCCACTCATAGTACCCCCTAAAAATCAATGGCTACGCAGATGAAAGAGCTGGGGAAAAGTCTAATGTAGGTCCCCCGGAGTGGCTACCTGGATTCAGGGATACAGAGTTGGAGTGAGTCAGGGGAAAAGAGGGTGCTTTTTTCCCTTTTTAAAAAAATCTTGCAAAGGGAATGTGAATCAGTACTAACAGCGTAAATTGAAAGCGGAAGATCTAATAGAGTCAAAGTTCAATATAGGTTCCCCGGAGTGGCTACGCGCATACGCGGATACAGAGTGGGAGAGAGAAGGTGTATTGCGGGCAATCAACCGTGATTCCGTAGCCGGCCATGAGGTGGATAGATCGGGTGGTGGGGTATTCTGCAATTGTGGCCAAGTTTTGAACAATGTTGATGAAATGAATATTGGATTGCTGATCTTTTTCACACTTAAGGGTTTGAATTGTCACCTAAAACATTCATGGAGTTTGGTTGACCTATGACATGAGAAACAGCTACCACAAAATTATCCCTTATAATGTAGAAATATGTTGAAGTTTAACCAGAAAAGAGCTACAAAAATATGTAAAGATGATTATACAAGATTTAGATCAAATCTTCAAAATATTGAACAAGTAAAGTCAAAATATTTTAGAAAATAGGGTACAGTGGGAAAAAAGAGCTTGAGGTTAACTTAATAAGTCCTTATACGTCAGGACGTAAAAAAAAAAGACAATCTGTAAATTTGAAATTTGAGAAAACAAAAAACAAAAAATATAAACAAAACAAACGAAAAGATTTAAATCAGAACTGCTGGTATATTTATAGGCAATATAAATTTTTGAGGTTAGTTGGTGTACGGGGGTCTCAAGCAATGGTTGGCATGACGACACTTGGGTCCATGTTGGAGAGGTCACAGGTCACGGGGTCAAAAGGTCAGTGCGGTATGTGGATCAGGGCCCCACTTCATGGCTCTGCCAACCACAGAAGTCCGCACTTACGATCACCATCCTGAGTTTACACAAAGTTCTGTGCTAACCACGCACAGAACCATTACATACGATATATGCATGCGCATGTAAGCCAAAATTCATCGCTAACCAGTAAGCATGGAATTGTCTGCTACAGTAAGCAGGTTTTTTTGGCTACCGGTGAGCAGAGCTATAAAATTGGGCCCGTGGAGAAGTTCAAAGAATGCATACCTGATCTGCTTTGATTTCGTCCTGCAATTCGCGGAACGCCCCTCCGTCGTCCTGATTGGTGAAGTTAGTAAATGATTTGGGGGTACAAGCCAGGGAAAAGGGATTCGGCGACAAGACACATTCAAGGGGGAGGGAGGGGGGAAAACAGGAGAAAAAAGTTGTAGAGTCACAGTGAGAAAACGGAGGACGGAGAACACATACCAGGAGGAACAAGACAGATGAGGATTCAAGAAGGATTGAGGAGGAAACAGGACAGAGGGTGATGTGGGAAGTCAAGATTGGAATGTCTGGCGTTATGAATGCCTACCGGAAACTAGATGAGTTATCATCAACATATGGACACATGTTCTAACTGCCGGGCAAAGATTTCGTAGTAATTAATGCCGGGTGGAGATTTTATTGCACACATCCAAATTTTACAGAAGTGTCAATGAACTATTCAACATAGACTCTTGCCCTTTCACTAATGTACATGCATTTTATAAAATATGTGTTTACAAAATACATCGGTGAAGGACGAAACCCTATGTTGGATTTACATCACCCGACACAAATTCTGTCTTATGCATGGCCACAAGATGCTCTTTATTGTTTCTTTTCCAGTCAAAGTTCAGATGTCAGATTTTTGAACGGGACATGTGCAACAAAACCAACCCACCGCCTATTAGAATTTGATCGATCAAAATGCAGCCTAATGTCAAAACTACCTCATGACCAAATCAATTAAAAATCAATTTAACAAAAAAAGACATTACCGCACTCTCCATTAAAAAAAAATCGATTAATTAAAGCATTCCGACCAGGCAATTATAAGTGAAAATAGCTAAAAACCTAAAGAGCTACAACAATCCATGGTTTTAGCTTTCCGGAATCCTAGCTTTTTGAGGTAAACCAGGACAAACAACTCAGGTCACATTCCACAAACTGTAAAACGCTTTCTCTCTACTGGGCCACGGAGACATTCCCAAAAAAGCAGCTCAAGCAGTGGACAAAAATTGTCAAGATGTGAAAGAAAAGACTGTGAAAGATAGACTAAAGCCAACGTTGCATTCCAACGAAAAACTAGGACTACAGCACAAATCATCTGACAAGCCAATTCCAAAAGAAGATGGTACCACATAAAATCAAGACACAGAAAAGAATAGACCAAAACCCAGTTTAAATCACCAAACCGAGTTATGAACAATGATGCACAAGACAGAAACATGAAGACGTCTTCAATAGCCCGCCCACAAAATGTATACATCTTTATGAAAATAACATTATTTTTCTTCCAATTCTGACATCATACAACCAACTTGGGTATTGAAAAAACAAGGAGCCAAGAACAAAATAAAAAAATAAAACCAAAACAAAACAAAAACCTAAATAGACATCAAATAAATTAAATGCAATTCACAGACCTGCAAAAATAGAGTCAACACATTTCGTTCTTACAAATATCCCTCGAAACAAAACTTAATGAAATAAAAATAACAAAATTACAGTTTACAAAACAAAAAGTCTATATTTTTTCAGCAGATGGAGCATTTATTAAAACTGACTTCAGCCAAAGATTTTTCGGCGCTGCTACTTTTTTTTTTTTTTTTTATTCTTTCCTTGAAGTTAAACATGTCATGCAGCAGCATAGAGCACGTTTCTTTCAGCTAACTACTCGACATAAGTCAGATCCATTTTCTGCCTCATTCTATCACTTTCTATCACTCTGTTTGTCACTGTCTCTGTCATTATCTCCACCTGTCAGCAACAACATTTTTTTCGCATCTTTCTCTCTACCATTCATCTTTCATTTTCAAATAAAGTCTCATCCCTCTCTCTCTCAACGTCATTTCTTCAGGAATTCTACACCAAACTACAAAAATAAAAACCAGTCGCCAAATACCGAAAAAACTAAAAACAACTGAAAGCAACAGAAACACATTTTCACCACCCATCTCACACACAACAACATAGACACAAAACATGACACGACATGTGAGAACATGGTGTTGGAGTGTATGCAAATTTATGCTAATTACCCCTGTGATGTCAATGGTGACCCCTGGCTTGTGTTTGTCATCATCTGAAAGTGGAAAGAGAATAAACATCGATCTATTATGTTGGAACAAGCTGACAATGGTTGGGTTGTGTCCTCGGGCAAGCCACTTCACCCCAACTTGCATTAATATAGGCCTGGATTATGCTTGGAATCCTCCGTACTGCTCCAGGATGTCACTGGCCAAGCCTCAACATATTGACAGTCACTGCTGCAGGATTTTGCAGGATTCAGGCAGTAGTCACCCCTCCACGGACCATATTCAAGAAATAATGCACAGAGCTCTGAATGAGGGATATTTTTCTCACCGTGTTTCAAGCTGGCTTCGTACATGGCCCGCTCCACGTCCCTGAGAAGGTCAGACGTGTCTTCCTCCCGATCTATTGAGACGTCCATGACAGCGTAATCTGAGAGACACTTGTTGGCTACGTCGCCCCGGCCGATGTCGTGGAGTGCATCTGCTAGTTTGTCGGCTACAGTAACAAAATCAATCAGAAATAATTGATAGAACAGGCTGAATGAACATGAAAGAAAAAGACAACAGGGACACAGAGACTCTTGAAATAAGTGTATAGTGCTACAGTGTTGTAGCCAATATTTGCCGAGTCCTATGTTGAATTGCTTCCTCTCGAATCCCGAAATCGGCATTTGGGACATGATTCTCATTCAGCCATTGTCATTGCGTGATGTCACACACTGAACTGAAAAATAACAGTAACCGAGCGTGTGTGTGCGTTGGGTCAACGCTTGAACCATTCGCAGATTCGCCCAACTACAAATAGAAATGTGTCACTTGACACATCTTTGGAAATGACCTTCTTTTATTTTTATTTTCAAAATGACAGCATGCCAGAAGGAATATTTCACAAGGGGTTTAGTGTTATTACTATCTTTAAACCAAGTAAGATTTTTAACAATTATTTGGTCGGTTACTTTTTAGATAGCTGCAAATGGACCACTCTACCTTTAATTACTTGTAGCATTATCTTTGGCTAACAAGATAAAGGTAATACCGCCCTCAATTTTCATGCATAAGAGCACATTACAAAGGGATTTTGTCTTACTTGTGGCATCTTCCTTGGCCTTTTCAGCCCACGTGTGCAGCATGACGAAGGCCTGCTCCTCAATCTCGTCGTTTTCATTCTCAATCTCCTGCAAGTCCTTCTCGCTGACTCCCAGCTGACGACCTAATGCCCGCCAGTCGGTGCCAATCTCCTTGGCGACCTGCATCAGACGAATCTCGGCCCTAGAGTGGGCACTTGTCGGACCTGTTAACAAGGAGAAGTGTTGTAGAAGGGTTGCTCATGATAGACCACATGCATCGTCACAAATTCAGTCAGAAGTAAATCCCAAGTCAATTCACAAGTCCAGTCACAAGTAACGGGGGATGAACGATAGTAAAGGAATGCCTTTGTCACGGTGCATTTGAATAGCCTGGGAGTCGACTTGGAACTTCACAACTTGTGATGGACTTGTGATGACTTTTGATGGACTTGTGATGGACTTTTGGCAAGACTTGTGATGTACTTGTGATGTACTTGTGATGAACTTTTGACAAGACTTGTATGGACTTGTGATGACTTGTGATGGACTTGTGATGACTTGTGACGGACTTGTGACAGACTTGTGACGGACTTGTGACAGACTTGTGATGGACTTGTGATGGACTTGTGAAAAACTTGTTATGAACTTGTGATGGACTTGTGATGGACTTGTGATGGACTTTTGACAAGACTTGTGATGGACTTGTGATAGACTTGTGATGGACTTGTGATAGACTTGTGATTGACTTGTGATGGACTTGTGGTGGACTTTTGACAAGACTTGTGATGGACTTGTGATGGACTTTAGATGGACTTGTGATGGAATTGTGATGGATTTTTGATGGACTTGTGATGGAGTTGTGATGGACTTTGACAAGACTTGTGCTGGACTTGTGATTGATTTGTGACAGACTTGTGACGGACTTGTGATGGACTTTTGACAAGACTTGTGATGGACTTGTGACAGACTTGTGATGGACTTGTGATGGACTTTTGAAAAGACTTGTGATGGACTTGTGGTGGACTTTTGATGGACTTGTGATGGAGTTGTGATGGACTTTGACAAGACTTGTGCTGGACTTGTGATTGATTTGTGACAGACTTGTGACGGACTTGTGATGGACTTTTGACAAGACTTGTGATGGACTTGTGACAGACTTGTGATGGACTTGTGATGGACTTTTGAAAAGACTTGTGATGGACTTGTGATGGACTTGTGACGGACTTGTGACAGACTTGTGACAGACTTGTGACAGACTTGTGATGGACTTGTGATGACTTGTGATGGAACCATTCCACGGGTTTTTTAGTACCAGTATGATCTTTAATCCAAGTAAGCTCTTTTTTTAATAGTAATTTGGAAGATTAATTGTGGGAAAAAATGCAAATGATTCAAAATGCCTTTAAATACCCACATGCACACAAATAGGGCACTGCGTTTTCTGCATAATACATATGGTCAAGTACCCTGACTACTACATATGTATTACTGTGCTTACTGTACTTACTCATTGTGGGGTCCTGGAGGAAGGTATACCTCTTGCGTAGTTTGATGGATGCAAAGTTGAGATTACTCGCGGCCTCATCCTACAAAATAACACAGCACCAAAAACATCCACAAATGGTAGGATTAGTGTCACATATCGTTGACAAAAGACAGGACTTTGCTGTTGATGAAATGTTATTTGAATTCATGTGCATTTAGTAATTACATGCTTACCTCCAAACCGCAACCATGGTTTAGTCTGGTTACCTTGTATCAACCCTTTGCGATATACACGTACACGTATAATGTGGTAGAAAAGGAACCAGACCATGCTCGATCCAAGTCTAGTTCCTTAACCAAACCAACATGTACTTGATTCAAGCACAAGACTACCAGACTGTTAATGATGTCACCTTTGTGAATTTGATTCAGCAAAAATAAAAATCATTCATGAAACGTGAAACTTGCTGCTTTTAACTGGTAAACCAAACTTAACAAATAAGTTTTCCCACATCTACCGGTATACCCTTGGGGAAAAAAAAAAAAAAATACCCGAAAAACAGCCCTTTTCTACAAATAGGAAAATATTTTACTGTGAATTTGAGCATATTTATGTCTAAACAAATTATCCACAATCACACCAAAAAAACCCAAAACACAACACATATATACAGTGAAGTAACATGTAAAAAGTGCAGCAAGTAAATAAAGATCACTCACATTAGCCCTAACTGTGCTCAATTCAACAAGAATCTGCATAATTCAAATGCCTAATTCGGTGCCTAATTTCAAAACGTGGTTCTAGTGAAATTCTTCAAAGATATTTTCTTAATGTATAGAATAATCTTTTTCAGATTTCAACTCCCTGAAAATTAATAAGCAAAGGAACATACCTAATCTACATTTATATTCCATATAACACCATTTTTTGTGACACATAATGATGATGATGAACAAATGAGACAACGTATTTTAACATCAATTAAACGTTTCGCACAACAACAGCTTTAGAAACAATGTAAATGTATCTCTAAAGGGAGAGCTATGAAAATAAATACCCAACAAAAAACAAAAAACAAATTTGGACTTGAAAACAGGTGACCTCACGATACAGTTTTAAAAACTTTGGGAGAGTATAATAATAAATGTACAACTTAATGAAAAATTAAAAATCCATACATGAAACAGTTACTGTCACAAAACTGAACGATGACTTTATTTTCAAGCTGAGAGGGTAGAGATGTGTCAAAAATACTAAATATCCGAATATTTGACCATCCACTGAATATTAGTATATTCCATCATTCCCCAAATATTCGAATAAAACTTTTCTGATGTGAATATTCAAAACATGTATGTAGTCACGATGTGGTCACGAAACGTAAGCAACCATTATGTTCATTTACAGCTTTACTGTTTGTCAAGCGCCACTTTTCAGTCAACAGTCACTTTGCACGCACAGTTTGAGAAATTCTGTGATGACTATTTTCTCCGATTTGCATCTTTAAAAATATTTCAAATATGAGCTAGTCAGCTTTCTTGGAAAAAAATAAACAAACCAAAATACATAGATACAAACATGACATTCTTGGTGTTTATTTATTACTGCTTACAGGCGCGCGCAAACATTGATTGGAAGCCCATTTTGAGGCATTCAGAGCAATTTTAGCTTACGCATGATAAATTTGATCGGCGTGTTTCGAATATTCGATTATTCGACCAATGCAAGTTCCAATAATTGAATACCGAATTGTTGACAACGCACAGCACTAGTGGAGGGGGACACACATCAAATATGCTTATAATAGTATTACCTTCGGGTACTCATCCACACGGGTTAGTGAGTAGATCTGTTTGCAAAATAGAGGGCGTTTGAATTCGGGGCAGAATTAGAACAAAGAAGAGAAAGATTCAGTCAGATGAAGAATTTCAAGTGAGAAATTAAACGGGGGAATAGGAGCACAAGACGAACACAGGGATCTCTCTTTTCATTTTTGTGTGTTACATTTTGATTTTGACAAGCTTGGGAGGAAAGGAATGCGGCACTGAGACACGATGGGTTTATTATCTGCAACAATGTACAATGATTTGGAGGTTTGCGGTAACACCATGCGAATGAAAGATACTTCTTAGCGAGTTATGTGGTTCTGAGAAGAACCAGTTGGTTTACCTCGACGTTTCGAACAGTATGCTCTGCTCGTCATCAGGAGAATGCCAGACCCTTGCTGGTGTAGTGGTTTAAGTAGTGGATGCTGAGTTCAGTGGAACATGGAGGCGGGAGATTCTGTAACAGGATGCTAAGTTCGGTGGACGTTAAGGCGAGAGATTCTGTTCGAAACGTCGAGTTCAACCAACTGGTTCTTCTCAGAACCACACAACTCACTAAGAGATATCTTTCATTCACATGGTATTACCGCAAACCTCCCATTTATTTATCATGTCCACCATGCAAACCATTTTAAGGGTCTTATTTAACAACGTACAGTCACATTCCTCATCACTTTTGAAAAAAAAAGTTTTTACATCTGAAAAAAGGAGGAATTTACTTGGAAGCAGGAGCTGAACAGTATTTCGCTAAAAGAGACAAGGAATTGGGATAAGGGGAAATAATCAAACAGCCTCATGCTATGGATTTTTTTATTTGAAAGGTAAATCTGATGCTCATAATTTGATGTTTTTCATAGCAAGTTCCAACTTCTGCAATTTTTTTTTTATAAAATCAATTTCTATAACAATCGTTATAACTTCATAATTACAAGTTTATATGAGACACAATTCAACAAAAATGTGAGGGGCTGTGTTTGATCCTTTATAGGGGTGCACCCCAGTACAAAAATCCCCATAGTCACCAGTGATAAATCCCCATACTTCAGGCTGTTCAGGCTGAACAGAAAAATAATGATCAACATGTCATCTTTCATTTTCTTTTAAATTTTTGGTGGGTTGACCATTGACTTTCTGGAGAAATCCGCACCCAAAGAAGACCACCCTAAAAAAAAATTCCCAAACTGGAAAAGTAGCCATTTTGAAAAAGGATGCCTCCACAACATGGCTAAATAGTGCCACTTTCGGACCCAATGCTCAGAATTGGAAGCCCAAGTCCAGGCAAGAGGTTCATTGCCATATATCTTCAATTCCCCAATTCCAAGGCTCTCAGAACTCTCTAATATAGAATAATTTGAGTGTATAACTTATATTCTTGAGCTCAGCGGACGGATTGTTGGACAATCTGCTGGGGTGTACCCTTAGTAGGACCTTTCTCAAAAATGACAGCGGTACAGAAAAAGAAAAAGGGGGCACACAAGCATGTATGGGTGAAAGGAAAAAAACACAAAAGAGGGATTTAACAGGGGAAGGAGCAAGGAATTGTGGCAGTAGGTGAAGACCAAAGGGGATGAAGAGCAGTGATGGGGAAGAGGAAGGAACAGTTCAGCACGAAGTACATGTACAAGTACTAATCAGCCTCTTTTTCGTAGAGCTCTGGATTCATTTAACAATGACTTCATACGGTTTTGATGGGTTTGGTTGGTTTTGATGGGAATGGGACTCAACTAGAGAGGGGATAGGGAAGAGGAAAGAACTACATGTACATGTAGTTCAGCACTAAGTACAAGTACTAATCAGCTTCTTTTTCGTAGAGGTCTGAATTCATATAACAATAACTTCCTACGATTTTGACGAGTTTTGATGGGGTTTGATGGAATTTTGATGGGGTTTGAGGGGTTTTGAGGGGTTTTGATGGGGTTTGATAGGAATGGGACTCAACTAAATAGACCATATTGAACAATTTGGGGGCATGCATGCTCACATGGGACACTAAGCAAGGACTTTACTTGTTTGCATTCTTTTCAATACCTGAGTAATGTGAGTTTTCCCTTCTTTCTGCTACAAAGGAAAGAAAACAAACAAACATTGTAACAATCATGGGGGGCTTTTTGAATTAGTATTTTATGCAATAATTTTCAGATCTGAACTATTCGATGTATTGTCAAAACGGCATCAATAATAAGTCTAAGTCTGTAAAGCCCAGCCTTTGTTCAATCTTCAAACAGGGACGACTGTTTCTTACGAGTAAGGAAACGGTTTAAATTTGAACAACAGATGAAGTAAATTATCAGGGAATTATAAAAGGTTGTAGTTGCAAATATCTAAACAATACACAAGAACATAAAACAGCAACTTTGGAATTGACAACAGATTCGAAAACATGAAAAATAAATATATATTCTCTAGCTTGTATCTTGTACTAAAAGTATTTACATTTTGATTCAAAATATAAAAAAAATATCTGCAAAATTTAAGAAAATAGAAAGTGAGTAAAATATAACCTCAAGGGCCCTACCTGGGAATACTGTTCCCTCTGAAATACATTATTGAGGAAAAAATAAAAGATAGTTGATCAATCTTTCCATGAAAATTTTATCAAATTCTGCCATGCAATGGAAAAATATCTGCACCACAATGATGAGCAAACATTGATTTTGCAAAAAATCAGTTAATTTTCATTCCGAATGTATTTTTTCCAGTGTTTCAAAATACATGTATTTTACAGCTACTGCAGAGATTCCAAAACACTTTTGCGCAGGAAAAAAATATATATATATTAGAACAAAAAATGTGTTTGTGCATTAAATCAAGTAAATGCGTGCACATTGATTGCAGATTGTATAGACACTTGTTTACACATACGGTAGACCAAATGTGTCATAAACTGGACTGAACGAGTTGAAAAACGAAGACAAAATAACTAATGCACAGTGCAGACCTTTTACAGAGAATTTCACAAATTTGATTTGTGTCAAGAAAAAAACAAACATTTAAACAAAAAGTTTAAATGCAGCATGTTTGTCAAAAATGTAATGATTTTTTAGTGCCAAAATCTAGTTAAACTGCAAACCTATTTTAGCAAAAGCCTGACGTTTTCACAGGTTTCAAAAACTGGTAAGCAATTTTTTTAATGTGCATTTTATCTGTTAAGCAGCAATTATGAAATAAACACCAAATTAATTAACCTCAACTGCTGCAAATATAACTTCACAAAACGACAAGTGCATCACAAACACAAATAATATTTAGCAAAACAAAATTCAAGAGTGTGAACATTGTGCACGGACAAATACATCAAAAATCAAAACAAGAGAACACATCGAACAACCACAATGACAAAACCAGTCCCCACCAGTTCTTACTTCCACAAAACAGACAAAAGCAATGTACATGTAACCACCAACACAATCCCAACAGAACAGATAACCCTTTTTTAAACTGTAGCAACAAAAAAACAACTTGACCCCAGTTGTTTAAGGGGAAAAAAGAAAGAAAAAAATAAGAAAAGAAAACAAAAAAGGTGATCTAAGGCCAAAAAAAAAAGTCTCCGGTTTCTGGTCTGCGCGCGCATTGCCGTAGCTGTGCACGTCGGCAAAATTAAAAGGTTTTTTTTTTAATATGATGTCTCAAAACCGCCACTGGTTTGACTGGAATCCTGCTGCTGCACAATTTTAACGTGTTTTTAGATGGGGTTACGATCGAGTATAAGCTTTATGTGGCCTCTCTGGGCTCCCATGATATTTTGCACTAAATTTAGTCGGGCACCATTTGCAGACGGTGTTGTACTTTTGTAATTGTGCGTCTGGAAGCCAGACTTAGGTAGCGATGGTCATGTATCTGGAACCTGTAAACACTTTTTTATAATTAGCACAATATGTAAGGGAGCAGACTAATGACCAGCTTGGCAGCTCATGCAAGATGTCGATGTCACTGAATGGTCTAACGCTACTACTATTTTCTCTGAGATTTTTGTCTTGACTATCCAAATTTCCCAAAGAATGTTCGTGTCGGTCAAGATCATAAGTGGGTGCAGAATTGTCAAGCCTAATGGCCTTACTGAGGTCACCTCAAGCTCCACTCTGAAGGATATTTTTAGGGGATCGAAGCGTCATCTGCAACATCAGCTGACAATTGAAGAAGAAAACAAGTACCGGTAGGCCTAGGGGGAAAAAAAACGCATCGCGGCACCACTTTTGGGGCAAGCTCCATACCAGAAACCGGAGACTTTCTTTTTTTGGCCTAAAGGACAATGGCGTCCTCATGCATACCTCGCCTTTTTCCATTCTGTACTCCTAAAGAGAGGAAAAAATGTGACAATGAATGAAAGAAAAACTAACATGGAAAGTGTAAAGCATCAACATTGAAAAGAAAAGAAACAACAAACATAAACTTGGTTCCATCACAATGAAATCAGCCGGACAGAATTCATCAGGGTACACAATCGTGCAACACCCATAATAATCTGAGAATTTCATCACTTGTGACTGATGCACAGTACACGTTAACATAAAACATTCATGTTGTATCCAAGTATCATGCGGGAACATTATCACCATGTTCTACAACAAATCCCCCCACACAGTACAGTAACACAGTACATGAAACATTAAACAGCACACTTTACTGCCCAACACTTGTCGGCAGGCTTTAAAAGGAGAGCTTTTTAACAAAAAAACTTCTAACGAGCATGCATTTCAATTATCTCTGTTTCCCAAGTGTTACAAACTTTTGCATCAATACGACTCCCCCCCCCAAAAAAAAAAAAATAATAAAAAATTGACAAACAAAACTGAAAAAATAAAATAAAAAATAGTTGTAACAGTTATTTCATAGTTCATTTATAACGGGTATATCATGTACGTGTAATGATTTATTCAACAAATGAACAGTTAAAAGCAGCAAGATCTTCACAGTTTCATGTTCCAATGCACCAAACCCCCAAAACCAATTGTCAAGAAACTCAAAAAATGAATTATCTTATAAACAACGCAACAAAAATTAGCACAGCCTTTAAGCAGCCAAGATGGAAAAAATAACCCAGCTGCCCGTGTTGAACCTCAAAAATAGTAGCACCAGTAAAGACAAATCCAGGTACATGATTACTGTTCACCCATGAGGCTTCCCTTCAATTGAGAAATGTGCAGGCTACATGGGCAAGTTCGCGCAAGAACTATTGTTAACCATGGTCCGAATAAGTTAGCCCGAACTATCTAGTCGACAATGGTTGACTACGCTAGTCGACTCTTTGGAACCAGCCTACTTGGCCTGGTTGCATCGCTGGTTATCAATAGCCTTGTTTTGTAACTTAAGTGCAGATGTCGAAATGAAGGTAGCGAGTTGTACTACCCATTGGTGGGCTCTTCCGGTTCATTAAACAGGTCAAAGAACGTAAACAATCGAAACATACTTGTGATTGCCATATGTTGACAATGGTTCGACTAGAGTCGTTCGCGCTTTAATGTTACAGCGCATGCACACTGTTTGACGCCAACTGACTATTGGTTGACCAATGGTTGTTGCGCGAATTGCCCATGCATTGTTCAAACAATTGCCAAGTGATGAATTATCTGAACAATAGCTAACACAATGCTTTCGCCATTGAAGGGGGCCTTCGTGATAGAATGATAGCGTTCCCGGCTTGGTGTACACATAGAAAGCAACTTCAATGAAGGCACGTACACCAGACTAAAGTATAACCCCCCCCCCCTCCATGTTCAATGCTGAAATTTCCCAGACAGACTCAAAACTATGAAAAAGAACATCGGCCTTTATAATTTTTTTGCTGGAATCTGTTAGTGCTATTGTGAATTGCCCTTTCATCCCATGATAAAAAATACAAAATATTACAAGGAATGATTCATATTTGCCAATGATATTTAAAAAGGTCATTCCACTCTTTTTGTCGAATATCAGTTCAGGGATAAAAAAAAAAAAAAAAATGTAATGTTTTAAATTCTGTCACCAAGAATTACAACTAGCTTTCTTCAAGTAAATGTGTCATTATTATTGTTTAATAGTGGAATGACCTTTTTACTGGGTTAGTTCCATAGAAACACCATTTCCACCAAGGCTAAACAACATGGATTGTTTTCATCAAACTTCCACAGAAGAATATACCGGTGAAGTATATTCAAGTGACAATTCAATTTCAAATCATCAAATCGGGAAAAACCTAAAACATTTCTTTATTTGAAAAGTAACCTGTGTATCTGAATGTGAGAACAATCTGTATCCCATTCGATTTTCAACAAAAAAATGTTAAGATCTGAAACCAGTGTTTCAAAAATTCTGACAGCTTCTAAATTTTCTCGAATTTCTTTGTCGTTGTTGGTAATTTTGAAATCTCATTGGATTGTTTGATGAAGACATTCCCAGCTTGGCAGCATAAGAATAGCTTACACGTAACCATGGTAACTGTTTATGGGTTAGTAATGGCGGGATGATGATGTCTTGACACTGCTTTTTTACAACATGATGAGAAAATGCCGGTGTCTCTGAAATCACACTCATTTTCACTCTTTTTTCACACTCACATTGACACGTTCATCCTTTTAGTCTGGTGCTCCTTTTCTCTGCTATATTGCTCTCTCCTTACCCGTCTCCCAATCTACTAGTGCTTCTATTTGTACATTAAAAGCATGCAAGTATCCTTTCTTACGGTCGACCCTTCTCGTTCATGAAATGTTCTTTATGGGCTCCGTGCACAGTACTCCCTCCACAGTTACAACGGGAGAGTTGGGGTAGACCACTAGGAAAAACATTGGAACGCATTGCCCATGGCACAAACGCGAAGAAGCTATGGCACACTGCCATAGAGCTATATTACATTACTAGAGTGCTTACTCCTCATTCTTACGCGCGGAGCTACTTTGAGGCCGTCCTGCACGCAGCCATTTTGAATTTACGTGCCCGTTTTTAGTACATAATGAAATAAGATGGAGGGATTTTTGAAAGTGCACTCTAAATGCAACCTGCACAAGAAATTTGAGTGCGTTTCGACGGTTTAAAAAACATCACGGCAAAATCATCTGCAGCGCATACGTGCAGGTATTTGCATGGTTTGAGTAGAGCAAATTGAAACACTCATTTACTGATTGTGCGCTTCGGTTTTGGGCGCACCTATTGGCTTCGATAACGCACCTGTAGGCCCTATAGAATACAAACGTAGATATGCAAATAGCCGTAAAAATGCCGTGCAAAATGTTGGGTTTTCCATAGGTTTGTGCACAAACATGGATGCGCCCAGCAGGCATCACTTTGGACATTTAGGCAGCGCTCTAGTAATGTAATAGCTCTATGGATTGTGCACAAACAGAATAACATTAGTTGCGCGTACTTTGCGCCATACGTGCGCGAACCAGTATGCGCATGCAGTATGTCCTCCCACTGAAGCGCTTGAATGTAGTCACTAGCGCCCTCTACTGTTGGTGCACGGAGTCCATACCAAATTCCCAAAGCACTCAAACGAAAGAGTCAACCTCCAATTTCCGAGCCAAATTTCCAAACTGTCTGAATAAATGTACCTCCATTTTATTTTTCTTGTGAATACCTCCAACTCACTCAAGATAAAGTAACGTTTTCACCGTTTCTTTCTGTGACTTTTATTCGTGCATGGTCAAAATATACGTCACTGGCAAGCTACATGTGATACTTTTTGTCCCAAAGACCTTAGCTGGTATACTGCTATAATGGTAACCGGTGCCCCTGCCTGTGATGATTTCATGCAATAGTCACAAACCACTGGCAGAGAAAGACTGCAACAGTTTGGAATCTACCGGTAGTCATTGAATTTTCTGGGTGTGTGCAAAATCGTATTAAAATTGGAGGAATCAGGACTGTTAGGGTAAATCAAAAGACATTTTTTAATTCACGCACTACAACTTTTTGGGTTTTTTTTTTCTGGGGGGAGGGGTTCTTTTTTATGTACTTTTCATGTAAAGGAAATCCTTGAAGCCATTATAATAACATGATAACCAAAGTTTTTCAAAGTAACCTGGTGTCTATCAGTTTGTTTCGTTTCCAAGATTTTGTTAACGATCTTGTTTTTCTCACTTATTTGATAGTAATAAAACTTCAATCAGTGAATGAAATAAGGGGAGAATGCAAAATTACCCGGTAAATAGAGGTAACTCAATTTTTACCTCAAGGTTTTTCTGGGTTACCTCTGGGTTACCTCAGGGCTTTCTGGGTTACCTCAGGGTAAAACCTAGATTTACCCCTTGTTTAAGTTTGCATTCTTCCCTAACTTGTTCTTTCAAACCATTAGTGGTATGAAACACCAGGACAAAACAATGTTTCATTCCTCCAAAACTTTAACTGGATTTACTTGAATATATAAACTTTGCTGCTTGGATGGTTGGCATATAGTCAAAAAAATTGCAAAGGAAGTTGGAAAACTGCGTCATTCTTCTACCAGTGACTTGGTCAGTGCAGAAATGCCGTATTTTTTCTTTTTTTGCCATCATGCAATACTGCGGTGTTGTACACTATGATAACTAATGACAAAGACAATCTTTTTTTCAGCATGCAGACTTCAACAGATCATGCAATACGAGGGACCAGTAGCGAGACAATCGGGGGTATCGGGAGGGCGGACTTCAAGTGATCGTTACCGGGCGACAGAAAGTTCCCATGGAAACTGACAAGTCGGTTCATACACCATCAATGGAAAAATATTTGTAATAAGCCAGAAAACTTCTTACTTCAAAAGTGATCGAGAAAAAAAACTTTGCCATCTGACAAGAACATCCGCACTGAAAACTGGTCACTCAACTTCAACAAACTTTTAAGAAGATTTGAGACTGCCATCTTTGTTACATCTATAAAGTTTACATTCAAGGGATGTCCATATGCATTGTAATTTTTGCTTCATTTTGACAGAAGTCTGGGTCTTTTCAAAAATGCTCCGCAAATGCATGTTACCTTGGTACTTTGAAATTCAAGTATCGTATGTAATAACTTCAAACGGTTGGATTGGGTAGATACATAAACATGTACAATGTAGTTTGCTACTAATTATCACTCTTGGAAGACAAAAGCATTAAGAACGAATCAAAATTATAAAATCATAGATGTTAGATGTAACAGGGACAGAAAAAAAGTGGATCTCTATTTTGTAGCACGACCCATCTGCATTTCGGCAGCTCAATAACGCAACTTCTTATTTGCTTGTTTTACTTTTTAGAGTAACTTACCCTACATGTAATTTGAGAAAAAGAAATCCAAATTGCAAAAGTTAAGGGTGAAATCAAGTATAAGAGTAAACTATGACAAAAGCGAATAGGAAAACTTTGCAATTGCTCGGTAAGGATCACTTGAAGACTAAAATCAGAGTCTGGCGCCCTCTATTGCCCATGCTTGTCTCGGATACTGTCCCTTAGAACACACACAGATATAGATACAGATATTCTAAGAAGCGTCAGTGGTCGTTTAAGCTACCTCCTCACTGCTTTCACTCTCCGACTCGCTTTCGCTCGGCCGTTTGACCTGCGCAAAGGTCAAAGGTCAAGGCAAAGAGGTTGGGCATAAAGGTCGCAGTGGAAGACATGGGGAATGGAAAAACGATGCATGTTCAAATCAGTAATGTTGCCAGATGTTAATAGGTTAATTACATGTATAGTACCTTCAGAAGAAGCTAAAATACTGTCAAATTTGCTGTGGCTAGAAAATTTTCATCAATATACATGTAATATCGCAATAATTTGTTTCATACATGTATATGAAGAAAACATATTTTTCAATTTTAAAATGGAGAAATGATAAAGTTACTGTTCATGTATTTCAGAAACATATGGACAATCATCTCAAATTATTCTTTTCAGAATATTTTCAAACCAATGCCTGAACAATTTGAAGAATGTTTGGGGTTAATAGACAAAAAGGCAACGCCTCATAAATTTAATAAAAGACTTCATTTCAGTTAACATCATTTGAAAATGCCGAGATGAGGATTGTTAACTCGTTAACAGAAAGAAAAACAGATGTTTTTGTTCGGAATGAAATCTAAAATGATCTACATGAATGAATGTGTCAACCAAGTTTCATGATGTTCTTAGTCCCTCAGTTCGAACATTAGAATGCCACATTCTAAGACTTCTAAGACTAAATTCATTCTCCTACCAACTAGAAGATGCCCCACACATTTCGTCAGTAAGGGGAGACTGCAAAATTTACCAGGTAGTAACTTGAGGTTAACCAAGGTTTACTGAGGTTTACCAAGGTTTACTGTGGTTTATCAAGGTTTACTGAAGTTTCTCAAGGTTTACCAAGATTTACCAAGGATTTTCAAGGTTTACCAAGATTTATCAATGTTTACTGAGGTTTACCGAGTTTTACTGAGGTTTACCGAGGTTTATCAAGGTTTACAATGTACCAAGGTTTACCTCAAGGTTTTGTGGGTTACCTCGGGGTTTACCCTCGAGTTACTGCTTGTTTAATTTGCAATCTTCCCTAAAAAATGTCATGCAAAATATGTCTACCTTTACGCGGAATCTGTTAGTTGTAATTTCTCTAATGTTAAGAAGCAGGATTTGTTTTGCCCAGGATTGTGTAAGCCACATGTTAAAAAGTCTGCTTAGTGATCTTTTAAGTATCCTGGATAAGGTACGGACAAGTTTATCTGTAATATATCAATTACATTGTGTATTACTTGCAGTATTCTGAACAATAGTATTGTTCAACTTCATTGTGGGACGATGTTGGAGAAGTTGTTTAGAATCCTGCAAGTAATTTCAAATACAATGGGCCTATTTCGGATTATATTGTCCTCAGCTTGCCCCGGATATTTCTTTTAGATTACTCCTTATACTCTCAAATATTGCTAATAAAAAATAAATAAAAAAGGACCTAAAACAAATTTTCCAGTTCTGGAAATATCAAGAATGGAATACCAGGAACTCAACCACAACATGTCAAGAGTTGTAGTTATTAAACAAAATTCATACTTTGAGGAAAAATGAACATTAAAATGAAAGAATGGTTTTACCTTGACGAAGGGAGGCATTGTGATGTTGAGGTTGCACAGGGCCTTCTGCGGAGGCATACCCCGGCTGATCTTGGGCTCTGACATAAAGGACAGACGGCCGCAAGGCTCCGTGGCCGAGTCTCGGACGCGGACGAAGAACGGCAAGCGATTCTCGTGGAAGGGAGAGAAGAGAAGGTGAAGCTGATCCCCAGATTTCTGGACCGGGACCAGGTTACCGGCCATCTCAACGTAGATTGGTTTGCCTTCTAGCGCCTGTGAAACGAATGAGTCAATCAAGTAAATAGTTTACAAATATGACATGGTTTGAGGGTCAATAGCTGATATTGGCTCCCGAGGCAATGGAAGTTTAGTTTTCTAACTTCCGAAATATACCATGTTATATTTGTTTTACAATACCTCATACAAATAGGTCTCAAATCAAATGACGTCACTTTCTACAAATTGCCACGTGCATCGGCAATTTGGGCGTCAAACTTCTGTGACGCGCATCAGCTGCGCCGTATTTGGAAGAAATGTCGAGCAACACGCGCGCGTGTTTAGAACATTTTGCACATTTGAGATCTATTCACCAAAATGTTGCTGAAGTACGCATCAGTTATTTTAGCAAAATGTTGCCGTATGTACATGTATGCTGCTGTATTTTCATGTAGCTACGGCAATGTTCGCACATGTGCACCACCTTGTGCGACAGTTCCACAATTGCTTAGTAAAGTACATTACTGCATGGGACAGCAATGCAATAGTCCCGATTCTTGTCGGATTACTTGCTTTTTGTGTATTTTTGTTGTTGTCTGAAGCAACAAAATTGCAAAAGAAATTTAGTTTGTGGAAATTTTTGCTCAATTGGTCTTTACATTTTGAGAAAACAGAGAAAACATATGCAAACAATCCTGGGGTCCCGTAACTGGATTCCGTTCTCGTATTTGCATTCCATCTTAACTCTCGGTGTGGCCACGTGGTGATAAAATTCTCCACATTTTTCAAATATGGTCATAACTTTTTCTCAGAGTAAGGAGTGTTGAAAGACAGCAGCCCCAAGAGGCGCCTAATGCCTTTGTGCAGTAATTGGATATCTTAGTGGCCAACCCCTTTGTGCCGCCGATCTCTCTCTGTCAACCCCTCGTGCCGCCCAGAGCTCAGACAGGTCGTAAACAATCCTGGCCCACACAAAGGCCATGTGACCTGCCTATATCTTGTACATGAGGGGGTTATTGACCTAGAAACAGTGTGGTGATAAAATTCTCCATGTGGTTTCACGGTGTGATTTTTTTGCTCAGTCGACTCCGAGGGTTAAGTGATTGTTCACTTCCAAACAATACCATTCCAGGTGGAATAATTTCATTGGTCATTTGATACGAGAGCTATCTTCATTCCAAGCAAGGTTTTTTTCAGTTGATCATTTCTGGGCAATTGCAATTGATCTGATGTTGCTTAAACAAATATTTTTAAAAATCTTATCGATAGGATCTAAACCTCTTACCTCAACATCCTTGCTGCGAGCCACCTCCTTGAACTGTTCCTGCTGTTCCAGCGTCTTGTCAGCCCGGTCGTCGGTCACACAGAAGACACGGACTCGCGACTCGATGGGATCGTGGGTCTTGGCGTAGATGGCAAACTTGGCCATGAAGGGTACGGACTTGAGCTCGTGGTACAGCTCCCGGGCAAAGTTGCTGGCTTGGTCTATCTCCTTGCAGTCCATCAGCCAGAACCTGGACAAAAAAATAAGGGAAAGAAGACTACAGTTAAGATTTTCTTTGATGGGAATATGTCATGAAATCGGTGGCTGTGTCATGGCCTAGCGGTTAAGAGCACCGGACTCATGTTCTGGTGTTTCTGAGGCAACAGTGACGTGGGTTCGAGCCCAGGCGTGGACACTTGTGCCCTTAAGCAAGGCACTTAACCATTCTTGCTCCGTCCTTCGGATGGGACGCAAAGCCGTAGGTCCCGTGTGTTGTATAAGGCCTAACACACGTAAAAGAACCCAGTAACGCTTATCGCTAAGAGAAGGGGTTCGCCCCGGTGTTTCTGGCAGGAAGGATGTGTATACCCTGCCCGTGTGACCCCTGAGAAGGGGTGTTGGTGCAGTATTCATCAAGACAAGGTCTAAACAAGGTCTTATCTCTACACTTGCCTTGCAGAGACTGTAGTCGTGAAGGAGACGCAGTTGTCCACAAATGTCAGCGGCGTGGTGCCTGTGATGTCCTCCCATTGGGCTGGTGCAGTGCCACCTGTTAAAGATAATTGATTGAGAGTTTACCCAAGACCCCAGATTGGGTTGACAATTTATCCGAAAAGACTATCTTGTCCAGTAATTCACTGTGTGAAAAAGGAGGAAATAGTTTGAACCAGTTTGAACAAGACAGAGCTAGAGCAACCTAGGAGCAGCCAAAGTGGGTCTCGGTTGCTCAGAACCAGTTCAGACAAGAGGGAGTCAGTTTGAACCAGTCTGAACTGGCTGAGACTTTGTCATGAGGTCTAGAAAGAAAACATTTCCTGTGCAGCTTGAATTGGTCTGAACTAGTGAGAACCAGTTGAAACCAGTCTGTTTTGGCTATGTCCATTGAAATGACGGCTGTGTTGCTCAAATTAATGTAAACTAGTGAAAACCAGTTGAGACCAGCCTGTTCCGGCTGAGTCTCTGTACTGAGGTCCAAAAGAAAAGTCTTCAGTGGTCCAAAACTGGTCTGAAGTGGTACAAACCAGTTTAAAGCAGTCAAGGCCAGCCACATTTATGGCACATGTATAAGATTCTCGTCCTAGTCTTATTTCAAACTCGTTTCCAATGTTTCTTTACCTGTGATACTGCAGAGCAATCGCAACGTAGGCGTGTCCCCACCGTAACCATTGATGATTCCTTGGTTGTTGGGGATAGGGATTGTCACGGTGATGGCCTTGTGGAATTTACGTCGACGTGGTTCGATGGTCACGATGGGACTGACCATCACGCGGTTACCCAGGACTTTCTTGACCACTTCATTGCTGACTGGCTGGGCCTATATTTTATTTTAATTGCAAAGAAAATTTGGTTTAAAAATTCAATTTTGATGACGTTATTTTGTTGATCTTACTGGGGTTCATGGGGAAACATCAGAATCGTAGGCAAGCTGTCAGGAGTCGATCGCAAGTCATCCAAATCTCAAATCAAGTCACATGCCATGTAAATGACCATTGACAAAGGCAATCCTGTGTTACTTTTCATAGCCTGTAAATAAATTGTGACCAACTTGTGATTTGATTGTGACTGCACTTGTGATTACATGTGATTTCTGCATTCTTGTGATTTCTGAATTCTTGTGATTGCTTGTGATTTCTTGTGACTGGACTTGTGATTTCTTGTGACTGGACTTGTGATTTCTTGTGATTGGACTTGTGATATCTTGTACTTGGACTTGTGAATGGACTTGTGATTTCTTGTGCATGGACTTGTGATTACTTGTGATAGGACTTGTGATTTCTTGTGCTTGGAATTGTGATTTCTTTTGATTGGACTTGATATTTCCTGGGATAGGACTTGGCATTTCTTGTGATTTCTTGTGACTGGACTTGTGATTGGACTTGTGATTGGATTTGTGGATGGACTTGTCATTTCTTGTGATAATACTTCGGATTTCTTGTGATATGACTTGGAATTTCTTGTGATTAGACTTGTAATTTCTTGTAATTGGACTTGTGTTTTCTTGTGTCTGGACTTGTGTTTTCTTGTGACTGGACTTGTGATTTGATTTGTGATGCACCTGGCTACAACTAGTGATAATATTTTTGGGTTTTTGTTTTTAACAAAGAAATTCCTACTTAAAGAGTTAATTTCTCACCTGCAAGCCCACTTTGATCTTCTTGGTCAGCGTGCCCTCGGGGAACACGGCCTGGACTTGAGGTACGACGGTGGAGCTGAGCATGCCACCGTTAGTGCCGATCGTATTGGTTTCCTGGCGGACGCGGGAGATGATTGCAAAGTACTGGGGGAAGTCGTTGGTGACGATGCGACAAATGCGCCTGTCTGAGTTCACATTGTTGTCATCTGTGATGAGGAAAAAAAGGAAGAATTCATGAACTTAGACTTTGGGGTTTCAGGTCTTCAGAGGCCTACGTAGGTCAAAGCTCTAAGCAAGCTATGTTTTATTCACAAAGTTGGACATTTCCTCCAGTTATCACATCTTAAGTCATGAAATAGGCATTCACAAAATTCCACGTATTTATTTTCATTATTAAAGTGTGCCATATCCTATAAGATTTCTGCAAGGTTTTATCATCTATACCCCATGTCGAAGACCCTACAAGTGCACCTCTGTATCCCTAGTGTCATTCTAACCCTTCCCTTGTCTATTATCAGTCTTAGCTTTTAAAAGCTCCAGCTATGTCTGTCATCAACATGTTTCCACCTAGTTACAGTTGTCTTACAACCGGAAAGTTTCCCACAGAAATTTAAAAATGAAATTCCATGTCTTTGCATGACTTTCGGGGACAAAATGAGGGCTTTCATGACCACTTCCTATGCTGTTTTAGCATCTCAGGAGCCTCTTTACAATACACTGGCTAAGCATAACACTAAAAATAAAGCTTTGATAGAAGACCACTTAGCACCACAAAAGCATCACAATGGTGCACTGAACATGTAGCAAGTAACCGCTCTGTTCACAAGTACCCCCTCACCGGCAAGCAAAGTACAGTTGGGGGTGACCGACCGACGCCATCTTGCCTGACTGCAATTTTGCCGCGACGCGCGGCCGTACCACTGCATGTACATAGTACAAATCCCCTGGTGTACGTGCGTCCCACACAAGGAACGGTGCGCGTCAACCAGCTAAATGTCCCACCTGTGGGACATCGTTGCTAGGTAAAAGGGCGCCCTCTTTTGTTAGCGCACGGAGCTCATACATGAAGAGTAAGTATGGTAAACTGGAATGCAAACTTGAAGACTGCCACAGAAAAATACTACGCATCATCACGTAGGAGTTGTGGATTCCACGACTCTTTTCTTGAAATAACTTTCCATGAATCTATAACTTTTCCGTGATTTTCCATGATAGCTTAAAAATCCAGGATTTTGTCATGACTGTTGGAACCCTGACCTAGACAATGGCTCTATACAAGAAATTTAGACTTGGACTTAGTCTTACCGTCCCCTTCATATCCCTCCAAGGCCTTGTGGACCTCTGTGTCCTTGGCGTCCAACGAGTGTTCCTTCCAAGTATCGCCTTTCTCGCTCCGTAGGATGACGATCTCGCGTTCCTTGCCCCTCAGCGACGCAAAGTGCGGCACCTCGATCAGAACTGGGCTACAGGGATCGAAGAATGACAGAGAAGTGTCAGAAGAATGCAAGAAATTCCTCGGTCATTGTGAATGGATGTTTGAAGGCGAACCGATGAAAGTTGTGTCATCGTGTTGATGTTGTGTGTGTGATACTGACGGAGTTGTATCAAGAATGTTTCAAAACCAAATGTTTAGGACTTTGTTTTCATCTGTATGGTTTGTTCACAATAGCTGAATTGTGTTCAAGTATTTCATAAAAGAAAGTATATGTTTTTTTGGTTAAACATGTACTACACTTAAGCCCGGTTCATACTCAGCGCGAAAGCGACAGTGAAAGTGAATTTGTGACGTCATGGGAAGTATTCGCGCTGCGAATTCGTAAAAGTTGAACATATTTCAACTCCGGCAAATTTCGCAGCGAATGTTGCATGACGTCAAATTCACATGGGGAGTATTCGCGCTGCAAATTCGTAAAAGTTGAACATATTCCAACTCCGGCAAATTTCGCAGCGAATGTTTCATGACATCAAATTCGCTTGCATTCGCATTCGCGCCGAGTATGAACTGGGCTTTACATGTCAATTCAGTGAAACCGTCACCAGTGTGATGAGGGCATTTTGTGCGCGTTGTTTTGTGCAAAGGTGCGTTCGGTTTGTTGTCAAGTGTACACTGAGTGACCCTTTCACAAAAAAAACTTGAGATTGTGTTTTGTAAAAGTTTGTTTTCTGGAAATTTGTTTTCTGGTTTAGAGAATAAGAGCAAAGCTGAATGTGTTGAGAAACAATAAGAACTGGAATCTGCTGGGAGGTTTGGACTGCAGCAAAGCAAATAAAATGCGTGCCAAAGGGAAAAAAAAAAGGAAAAGGAAAAAGAAAATCTGTGTTGGAAGAAATTACAGAGAAACGTTCTATCAACGTGAACTTTAGAGTTGGCTCCTGACTACCTGCAAGGAAATATGTGGAAGAAGAGCATAAAACTGGTCTATTGAAGACACTGAAGTCTGGGTGTAAGACATTATATTTCTAAAACTGTCTCAAAAGATAGTACATTTATGAAATAGAAATTTTGAAAGGATAACGAAGAGATGAGATAGAGGCAAAAAAGCAGAAAGCTAATAAGCAAGCAATAAAACGCAGGAAAATATAACAGGTTAAATATGTAGTTGTGGCATAGGATTGCCGGTAAATTCAATTTGGTATGGACAACCACGATATAGGTTTAGATAATGTGACAAGATAAAGAAAGGGAAATTTCTACGAACACACACACGAAAGTCCTTAGAATTATAAAGGTTTTAAGTAGATGGGCGTCATAAATAGATAAAAGTTGCAAGAAGAAAAGAACAAGAACAGCATAGAAAAGAAATTCAGGAAGTTATAAGGTTTAAATCAATGCAATGAGCAGATGGAAAGAAAATATGCTATCAACTGCATAAGGCATAAGGGTGTCTAAGAAAAAAAATCCCATCCTTATTTCTTGTCAAAAATGTCCCAAACACAAATACGATATCTCTTCTGAACAACAGGTGAATGTGCCCTAAGCAGCACATACATGTATACTTTATTTTCCACAAGCTAGCCAATTTTCTGTAAACACCATAAAAGTACATTCAATTGTGACATTGTGACATTCAACCATTAACAGCGCCTTGACATAAAGTTTTTCCAAGGTAAAATCCTCAACATTGCAGGGTGCTTTTTGTCAAGTTCTATAACAAGATGACGTTAGAGGTGCCATTTGTCTCATAGCATTCATGCACTTTACTGTCAGACTACTGATGTGATTTCGTTCCTGCAATCGTGTTTTGTGCTGTTTTGTGGTTTTTTTTGGTATCAAGCCCAATTAAAGTGCATCTTCCAAACATTTGAGTTATTTATGTTGTTATTTGTGAGGACAACGTTCCAATGGATCGTGTGTATTAAGTATTAGTCTGTTACCATGGTAATGCAAGTATGTCATATGTACATGTGACAAAACATTTAAGACTGCTTCTCACAAAACTAGCTTCCATTTAAGTAACTCCTCTGTTTTATCAATTTTTTTTTTTAGACGTTAAGAAGGTTTTGCACTTAAATCTTCTGCATCCAGAAGTACATGTACATCTTAGGGGCAAATTTTCCACTTACAAATTGCGAACAATTGTTATATTTGTCTCATTTATTTATGTATTTATTTTTTGTTGGGGTTTTCAGAGTATGAGTTTTAGGAGTCAAAAATGGAAGCCAGGAATTTGAGAAAAGCAAGACTTCAATCGACAAATGCACAAATCTTCAAAATGCACACATGAATCGTGGGAAACTCTGAAGCAAAATGCATTCAAAACTGTTCTCTAAACACTGTGATTCAAATACATCCATGCACAAGATGCAAACCTCATGCAAAACAGGATGGAATTGATCCCTTGGGTAAAAAAATGGTTTATTGCAACAAGGTGGAGAAATATTGAGAAAAAAATGACGAAAAAAATCTCAAAACTTGGACTTGTTTTCGGAATGTTCCCAAAACAGCACACAGACAATTCTAGCATTATTAAAGGAAGTGTAATGTCCGTGACAGAGCCAAATAACCATGATATCTAATTAATGATTCAGAGAAATGATCCAAAAACTCGTAGTCTGTAATCTCCTTGACCATTACTAGATGATGGATGTATAAGATTTGAAAAATACATTTTCAGGTTTATTCACTGAGCTCTTTAAAAGCTCTTGTCACGGACATTACATAACGCTGGATTTACCCACATGTCATTTTCAATGTACATGTAAAAGGCCGGTTCAACCCCAGCGTAAAAGTTAATTTGCAAGTCAGGGCAACTTTTCGCGCTGCAAATTTGCAAACGTGGCACATATTTCAACTCCTTGGAATCCCGCGGCGAATGTTTTGTGATGTCAACTTTGGAACCGGTCTTTAGCAAGTCTGCGGAGAAAAATCTTTATCACAGGAAAATCTGAATTTCCCAAGTGCTGTTCGATTCAAAGCTCCGTTCACTCCAAGTTTTGAGACACAACTCTAACATTCACATGCTTTGGTGACCAACCTGCCTAATGAGGACATATTTAGGGTAGTGCTAATGAAATGCATACATAATGCACACTGAAAGCCTTCGATAGAAAGGTGACAACCTGTGTATTGTGGACACTTTCACATCAGTTGTAAGGTTGGGTTAAAAAATGGACTGGATGTTCTATCAAACATTCACGTTCAAAATTGACATCCGTACGGCGACACTTACAGCTGACAGAATGTTTTCTAAACTTTCAACAGCTTCAACATATTGTAAAAAAAAACTGTAAAACTTACCAGATTATTCAGAAAGTACTGAAAACCTGATCTTTATTTTGTGGTAATTTTGTTTAATGCATGTTTTTCCCAAACCTTCGGCTTTTCAATCATTTTACTAAAACTGTTTGTTTAAATTTGTAGGGGATGTTAACTTTCACAAATAGCCTACGGCTTACATTTAACTCCATATCTTATTAAAACAGTAGGGCCTATCCAAAATTTGTTGATTCAGCAAATATGTCTTAGACAAAAAAAGTTTAAAAATATGGAAATGTACTTGATTCATGCAAATGAAAATGTACAAAACTACGAGGAAAAACTCTTTCAAAAAAAGAGAAAAAATGAACTTGTTTTTAAAAGTAAATCAGATTTTTATATTAAGTCTAATTTTCAAGTAACGTACCGGTACAAAGTCAAATTTAAATCAATGGTCAAAAGGATTTACATGTTAAAGTGATTTTTAGATCCATGCCAAAAAAACAAAACACAAAAAGCAAAAAAGCAAAAACCCTCAAGTCAAACGAAAAAAATCAGGACTTAAATCTTTCAAAGTGACGGTTCCAAAAAAAATAAGCAAAATCTTTTCTTCAGTCTGAAACTGGCTTTCCAGACCGCCATGCAGGATACCAGTTAGGGGCAACCGGTGACCTACCCCAGGAAGGTTTCTGACGGACCCATCTCCAATATACGGCAGGCGAGACGTTCCATGTCATTGAGAGGGGGGTGTGATACTCGTTTCTTGCCCAGACCGCTGAAGGATTGGGTTAGGATTATAGGATTGATCCAAGGGACGGAATTGGTCAAAGAATGGAATCGGGCTCAATTCCAAGTTGGTCAATTTTCTGAGGTGGTTATGCTGTCACTTTACAGTAATACAGTGAAATGATACAAAGTAGGGAATGTAGTGGCATTGCGAACCTTCTCATAATAGCAACAGGACACACTGTACAAGTGCACACTTGCATAGCCGCAAATCGCTTGCCTTCTTTATAATCAATTTTCAATAAGCCTCTGTTCTGGTGACGTCACACTTTGTTTACATGTGCACTTTCCTATGGAGCCAGTGGGGGCCCACGGTCCACTGAGCACCATAGGAAAGCACACACATAAACAAAGTGTGACGTCATCAGTACAGAGGCTTATTGAATATTTACAAACTACATAATGTTTACAAACTTATGCCAGTAAGAACTGGACCATACCAAATGTCACAAGCGTGTCAATCACTGTACTGTTTTGCCGAAGAGCATGTTGTTATTTACAGAGTCCTCAGTGAAAAAAAAGATTAACTAATGCGTAACTTGTTTTGAAATGGTAACCAAACTAACTTTAGTTCTTTAAAACCTAAGACTAACTCTATAGCCTACCCACTTCATTACTCGCTGACATGTTATCAACTTAAAAGGGCTTGGAATTAAATCTTACAAATATTCCTTTAAAAAAATTGTTAAAATTTCACAACCTTGTCCTTTGATTTATAACTGTGTGAAATTGCTATAGTGATAAAGAGAGTGTTTTCACTAGGAAACTAGTTTTGGTCCAAAATTGGATTTGGATTTTATTTTTATTCCCTTGACAAGCGTGGTGAAACCGACATGGCAATAGAGGTCGCTATCGATAAGATGAATCAAATCCAGTCTTAGGAATATTGGCAGCGCTACCCATGAAATTATGAGCTTACCTCACATGCGCGCATTAAATATACATGTAGCTTGACTATGGCGCGCGTGAGGTATGCTAAAACTTTCCTGGGTAGCGCTGCCGAAATTCCCAAGACTGGATAACTACCAATATCTACCGCCACGATGGCGTTACCACACTTGTCGTGGACCAGCTGCATAAGGGGAATGAAATTCCAAATCCAGTCTGGTACCAAAGACTACTAGAAACCGTGCATCAGAAAAACAGGTTGATGAGAAAGGTACCGTACAAGTATCTAGAAGCTAAACAATGACATCACAACTACCTAGAAGAACACAGACGCTAACGGTAACACATCACAGAGTCAAAAAAAAATCAACACAGACACACTGTCACGGGTTTATAAAGCAACCACGCTGTGACGAAATGAAATGCATGGAAAAAACACCACGGCCAATGGCTTCTAACGTCTGGTTCCTCATGCGACAGCAGCAAGACACAAAAAAAAGGTGACTCTCTTTCTTGGGGGGTTATTTCCCGGGCAACATACCCAATGAATTTTTCGGCGGGAGGACCAAACTCCATGATTCCACTGACAAGTTGCTCGCCATCGTTAAGGGGCGGGCTGTGGACTAGCTTGTTGCCAAGGCCACTGGGGATTGGGGGTGTTTAAGGCGGGCGGGCACAAGACGTTGTTAAGGGGCGGTGCAATTTTATCATGGGCAATTAAAAGAGTGCAGGGTTTTTGGTTTTTTTTATTTAGTAGCGGTTTTCGAGTAGAGAGAAAAGAACAAACAAAAATATTAATATGTGAACATAAACAATATGACGGAAATGAACTTCAAGGATCAATTTGTGATGGCAACAACCTATTAATTGCATCGCTATGCTTATCATAGTAGTTATTACCACACGGTGTTACCGCAAACCAAAACTATATCGATACTCCACCATGCAAAGCAAGAAATCTTACATATCACTTTGCTTTTTTTTTAATTCCAAGTTTTGTTTTAAAGATGTTTTGGGTCAATACGCTGTCAAGACTAAACACAGCAGACAGTAAAGTGAAAAACAAACTTTCTTCTAAAAATAGTAAGCGAACAAGCCTTGTTTGAGAATTTGTTAGTTAACTCTTCACTGTCTGTTACTTAAGCAGTTAGCAGTTAAATGCTAAGTTTAGCTGAAAGAATCCTGTTATCAAGAAGCTTGTGTAATTGGCAGGAAAAAGCTTAGGTTCACAACTAATTTAGAATTAGTTTTAGCTCCTAGAAAAAAAAGAGATAATGATTTATTATGGAATGAAGTACTCTAAAATGATCAGCAGTCTAGCTACATGTATCTTTGTGGAAAACTCCCAAATAAAATTAGAAATGAAAAGCTTGATTTTATGATTTCCATGAACACTTGCTAATGACATTAATGTGAATAACCAATGTGCCCACTATGGCAAAATCAGAAAGAGAATCAGTGAAAAGAATAAAAAAGTAAGAAGAAAAAAAAGGCTCTTGATTGAAAGTGTAAAAATGATGAAGTATAATTTTTCTTTAAAAATATCTTTTTGTTCTAATAATTCGTTCTCAATAAATTGGAGGGAGAACAATTTCAGTTTTTCTTAAAATAGTCCAATTTACTCCGTTTAAACAATCAACTTGAAAGTTGAAACATTTTTTTTGTTTTTGATTGGTAGTAAAATTTGGACAAAGTTTTTTGGAGGGCAAATATACAGCCCAGTCACTCAAAAGAAACAAAAGTGGAAGTCTACTTACCCAAGGAACTGCGTGTTGGATGGTCCAACCTCGAGGACTCGCGTGGCTAGAGATTCGTTCTCCAGAAGAGGTGGCGGCGTGCTGAGTTTACTCTTCTTGATCAGTCGGCAGGTGACGCGCGTGGGTCCCGAGGCGCGCTTGGGCGGGATGACCACGCGTAGGCCGGGCAGACGGCAACTCTTCATGGTGCCCCCGCGGGCGTCGACCATGAAACTGATCAGGAAGCTGAAGGTGGAGGGGGGGGGGGGGGGAGAAAGAGGAGTAATGGATGACAATAATAAGAGAGGTTCGCATATGTGACCGGCTCCACAAAAAAGGGTATTAGGTCGCGCTGAGCATTATTGTGTAATGGCCCGCTCAACATTGAGAGGGTGAAAATTTCGTCAAAATGTGATTGAATATGGCCGACTCGTGAATAGAGCCCATAGGATAATACGACTGGGTGTAAATGCACTACATGCATCCCAAGGACCGACAGACAGAGGGAGAACAACAGATTCTTTGTTGACCTCTATCAATCATCTTTTGTTGAAAAGAGCCCTGGATCGTGTGTTCATGTGCTTAATTACCGGGACAAAGGGAAACACAATGCCTTGTCCTCGAGAGTTATGTAAAGTACGACTGGGTGTACGTGTTCTACATAACCCCTGAGGACAGACACACAAAGGGAAAAGAAATGATCCTTTCAGTCCCCTGCCGTTGCGTTTTTTGTTCAAAAAAGTCCTCTGTAGTAGGTTCGTTTGTGTAGTCTATGGAAGAGTGTTACATTAAAGGGACAAAGGGAAACACAAAGCATTGTCCTTGGGAGTATAGTAATTCAAGAGTGTGTGCACATATGGTGGCTCTCAAAAGTGGTCACAAAGCAACATCTACTGTACTTGCAAGAAGATGACCTACCCAGCAAAGATAGGAATGCTGTTGACTGGGGCGTTGTCACTCAGAGCAGCGGATATGGGACGCCCATCCCGTCCGTACACCATTCCTTCCAGTATCTTCCCGTCTTCATCAATGAACGGCTCACCAACCGAGACCCGTTTACCGTCGGGTGTGGTCACGTTCAGGGAGTGACGCATCGCGGGGCTGGATGACATGAGTGGGGCGGCCGACTCGACCGTGATCTCGGAGGTGCGGGTGATCATCTCGCCGTCCACGAAGGTCTCCTCAGCCTCGCTGAGCGGGATGTCGCGGTTCAGGGTGCTGGCGCGGGAGTCAAAGCCTGTGGGGCTGAGCATGGCACTGCGATACTTGCCGCCCTGCGGGGTGCTGTAACGACCCGACAGAGAGTCGCTGCCGGAGTAGTATCTCAGATTCTGAGGAGAAACATCCAACGAACCATGAGTTATGTGGTTAACTAACTTCACAAACTCCAAGGAATTTCAGACTTGGCTTTTAAATAATCGCTCGTTATAAAATATGTGTGTCCGTGCAGAAAACTTAATTTGGTGTGCTGACAATATGTACCACATAACCAATTTTCTTATTGGCTCATGGGCAACGATCAACCAACAAACAACGGATTTGCCTATTGGCTGAATGACGACATGTTGCCGTTTCATTAAAATGTATTTTTAACCAGTTTGCGTCAAAAGACGTGATAACACACATTGGTTTTTTTCGTACAAAGGCACGGCTGACGGGTTTAAACGTGACAGGATAATCCCTGGTGTCTTTTTGTACACACACAAAGTCTGTGAAGTCTGTGGAGGTGGACTGTGTGTTGATCTTTAAATGGCCGTTGTGCACGGCCTATTGTACAATTTACGCTCCAGTGCACACCCCAGAGTACTGAAACATATGAGGTTTCGGCAAGAAATGTCATACCAATACTGTTAAAATGACTCTTATGAATCAGTATTTGTGGCATTTGGCTGTATATCAGAAGTTGGCAGGAAAATTTTGCCTTTTGCAGAAATTGAAATTTTCGACAAAAATAATCCCGGCGCAAAGTGGTTAATATTTCATTTATCTATGAGCACAACACTGGGATTCATTTCAAAAATAATCCCGGCGCAAAGGGGTTAATATTTAATTGTTCTATGAGCACAACACAGGGATTCATTTCAAAAATAATCCCGGCGCAAAGGGGTTAATATTTCATTTCTCTATGAGCACAACACAGGGATTTATTTCAAAAATAATCCCGGCACAAAGGGGTTAATATTTCATTTCTCTATGAACACAACACAGGGATTCATTTTAAAAATAATCTCGGTGCAAAGTGTGGTAAATTTCATTTCTCTATGAGCACAACACAGGGATTTCTTTCTCTGGCCTGCGAAGGGATACAATTACAGAGATTCCCCAAAAATATGAAAAAGCCAGAATTCTGGCAAAAGTTCCATGAAATCAGGCCCTAATTTCCAAAAAAGAAAAACTGCAAAAAAAGAAAGAAACCATGCAATACCGGTTCTCCAGACATCCATTCCTCCTCCCAAGACTTGCGGTTAGCAATGGGCATTGAGTCATCTCCCATGGTCTTAATCTCTTGAGGGGTCAACAAGGAATTGTCCCCAGTCATGGAGATGTCATCAGCTGCGTACAAAAGGTCAGAGGTCATGGGGTCAAAGGTGAAATTCGGGGGTTAGTGAGTGTGTTGAAGATGACACTGTTAAAGTTTTGTGTGATATTTAGTAATGTAGAAGATTTTAGAGTGAGTAATGTTTGACAATGAGATTCTGTTACGTACATGTATATGTTAAATGTCATTAAGGTCAAGGGTCACCGTCAGTAGTGAATACCACAGGTCAATATATGAGGGTTTATATAGAAAATTTTAGACAGAATGGCTTATTTGGGATCTTTTAGTATGTCTGCGCTACATTACATGTACATGTATTAAGGGCAACCAATCACATGTTATCACCCAAAACTAAACGTTACCCGATTGGCTTCAAACTAGTGCACCGTGGATCTATACATTCACAATGTACAAATGTACACGTATGTCAGTTGATGGTGACAAGATGCACACTGATGCATACATGTGTATGTGGTCCCTGCATACCTTGCAACCAACTTCCAATTTGTCAACTTTTTAATCAAACCCATGAAATTCTGACAGATCACAAAAGTACAACTGATGTTATTGTTATGGATGAAGGGAAGAGTAATCATTGTAACTTAAGTAAGGATGTGACTTTGCGTTTAATTTTGTAAAAGTTTAGCAACTATTCTAAGAATCGTTTAAATGTTCAAATCCATTTTACAAAGGCTGACATCCGCTCAATATTGTCTGCACACCGGCGTGATTGACATGATAAATCAACAATGATTGACATAATAAACAGTGGGCAGTCATTGATAATGTAAAAAATAACTACGTACAATGTATACCCCGAAAGTAATCTGCAGTTCTTGTAAAGCTTTGTAAATTAAATAAATTTGAAAACATCAATAAATATTTGTGCTGTGTGCAATGTATCTCAAAGGAAGATTGTGTGAACGAAGCCTGTCTTTTTTTTATAATTCAGGTTTTGTTTAAATGTTTTGTAAAATTTGCAAACGGATTTAGAATTTTCTTCGTTTAAACATTTAAGCGTGTAAACTTCGCATCCTTAAACCCAAGGAGGCTGAGTACCAGTTACGGATTGGGACCAGTGAACAGCCAATTACAAATCACAGTTGAACGTCACAATTATGAACACTATGGGTATCCACACACATAAAACAGTTGGGAAAAATAGCTATTTAATACAGTGGTCTTTTCATAGTATGCCTTTGTAACTGGGATTTTAAAAAGTTCGTAACAGTAATATAGTCAGAATATATACATGTAATGTTTGGATTAGAAATGTAGGTCCTCCTGTGTATTTTTTTGTCCAGAAGAACAACATTTTTCAAGCAAAACATTTTTTATAGCTTTAACAAGATTTTTTTTATAGCTTCAACAAGACACCTACCGTAGGTGTTTAAAAGTCCAAAACAAAACACAAAACTTGACACAAAAGACAGGTTCTTATATTTTCTTTCAAAGTTGACTTGGGAAAAATGTATCAATTCATAAAAACAATCGAATAAAAGACATCCAAAACAATATTAAAGTTTTTTTTGTTTTTTTTAAATCCAGACAAAGTTGTTTTTTTTAAATTCTGATACAAATTCACATCATGCTAAAATATGAATCGGAAGATATAAATAGAATTTTAAAATGATGCATAACATTGTAGAATAAATGAATTTGGATTTGACATGCTTTTGAAACATGCAACCAAAATAAAATGGATGACAGAGTAAAAATGTGAACCATTAAAATCATACATTTCTGATGTATACTTTCATGCTACATGTATATGGACAAAAAAAGACGAATGGACACATTTAGGCGCAGGCATGATACTTCAACCTTGCCAGCATCAAGACAACAAAAAAATCTGTCTTTCTTTCTCTCCGACACTTGGTGTGTGCAATGTACTGGATAATCCTGAGCAGTGAGCACTGGCACATAAATAGATAAGGCCACAAAAAAAAAGGCTCCGGTTTCTGGTAAGCGCACGCGTCGCCGTAGCCATGCGCGTCGGCAAAATTATAAAGTTTTTTTTTTCAATGTAAGATGATGTCTGAAAACCGCCAAACTCACTGGTTTGACTGGAATCCTGCTGCTGCACAATTTTAACTTGTTTTTAGATGGGGTTATGATCGAGTATAAGCTTTATGTGGCCTCTCTGGGCTCCCGTACGTTTTGCACTAAATTTAGTCGGGCACCATTTGCAGTCATCAGCCGACATTTGAAGGAAAAAACAAGTAAAAAAAGAAAAAAAGAAGCTGCGTCGCCGCACCATTTTTGGGGCAAGCTCCATACTAGAAACTGAAGATTTTTGGGGGGCCATGGTGGGAGTTTTTTTAGTTTTAGGATGTGTTTAGAAAACAAGTCTAAGAGTGAACTAAAAAAAATGACAAAGTTTGTAATTTTGCCAAGCGATACACAACTGCGCCTGGATTGTGCGATAGTCATGCGCAAATCTCTGCAAACCGAACTTCAGTAAAATACTGCCTTTGTCTGAGCATGCTCTAAAAAATTGTTCTTTTAAGAGTTCCATCCCACAGTATCCTTTACTTGCTCAACCAAGCGAGAGAGAGAAAGAACGACAGCAAATGGGATTTCGATAAGGGAAGAAAATAAAGGTGCACCCGACACAAAAAATACCAACAGAATCACATCAGACTTTGCGAATACGACGAAATAGATTCTGGAGAAAGTCAAAAACGTTAACAGACGGGTTGAGACCTTACCAGGACTTCCTAATTCTAGACACGATGGACGTGTGACAGAGGTAGGAACAGTGGAAAGAAATTACATGTTTGGTTACAATGTGACAAAAATATGAGTGTGTTGGCCTGGCAACCAACCAGAGCAGGTGTCTGCTGCCACCTACTGGGCAAAAGGTGCCAGGTCAATGAATGTTTTCCTAATTGATGGAGAGAATCTTTGCACGAGACCAAGAATTGGTTGAGTTGAGCAACAGGCTTTGCTTTTAACATATTTAAGGTCCAAAAATCACCTTGATTGACTACGGAGTTGAATAAAACCCTTTTTTTTGTAGGAATGCACAGATCGTGCGCCAAAATTGGTGAATATTTTGGTGAAGTTTCAGATTTCCTGCTCGAAGTATAAAACTTACAACTGCCCACTTTTCGGCAGAGAATGCTGGCAGAATGTTGTTGCTTCAAAAGGATTTTTTTTTTGAAAGGTGTAGTTTATTTTTCAGTTATATTGAAAGAACATGTCAAGTGCAATTAATATTGTTAATGGGACAAGGGAAATATAGATACTACAGGATCGGAAATAACATATCGAATTCGGTCCAGATTTGTCTCTACAGAAATTGGGCTCTAGAAGTAAAACAATGGATGTTAACAAAAAATCAAATCAATAATGCCATGGTTATACATGGTGTGGGGCCAACGCATCAACAGGCTGTTGGATTCTGTTGATGGGATGGCCCCTACCAAATCTAAGTGCATAAAAAACCAAAGGTTGTTATATGAGTTTTCACTGACAATAACCCGAGGTACATTTCAAGATAATACACAAACTGAAATATGTTGATCAGAAATGATATCAACTGCTATTACAGATATCTTTTTCGATACCAGACCAGCCAATTTTTTTTTGTTTAATTAAAAGTGTTTTAAAATGTACCTGTGGCTTGTCAGTTCGAAACATTGAAAAATAAATTGGTTAGAAAGCAACAGACACTTGTAAAACAAGCACAGTTTTGTCGTCAAACAATCGCAAGATATGCTGTGTTAAACCGTAGCCGTGCCAAGGGTTGTACTCTTTCTTTTGTGAAATAACCTCCAGTGGATTCACGTTAAATATCTTGCTCATGGCCTACATTATTCACAGTGCGATTTCTTTCTGAGTTTTTCTTTCCAACACTAAAAAGGAAAAAAAAAGTATCTAGGGGAATAAGAGTATTATTTTAGTACATGGTTTCTACGATTATTTCTATAATGTTCCACAAATGTTTCATCTTATATTAATGATGTTATTTGGACTAGTTTTTGGGTTTTTTTAGTGGGAAGGGCTGATGAGGTTTTTTTCTTGTCTGTTTTGTCCGATCTCACCTAGGGAGGACAAAATCCGCCTACGCTGGCCTTTATAGACAAAGAATTGACGACCTGTGAAGAGGGTTTACAAATGCAGCAAAAAAGTTCTTCTACTGTAAAATGATTTTTTATTCTCAGGAATGTCAGTAGCTTTTTCCATTGTAGGGGATTTTTGGTTTGTTTCAAGAATGTTTAACTCTTTCGGTGCCAAAGTCGCACATGTACGAGGTATATTTGTTCGTTCGAAATCGCCAACCTTGTACATATACGAGGTAATGTTTGTACTTAGAATCGCCAAACCTCGTACATGTACGAGGTAGAGTAAGCATGTTATCACAAGGGGGCGCTCTCGCTCTTTCTAATAATATCATTTTCATTCAGTTACGACCTGTATTTATTTGTTTCATTCGAGTTCTTGCGAGAGGGCGCAGCAGTGACACTCGTATTTTCTGCAAAAAGTGTGGAATTCCCCTGTGTGCAGGACAGTGTTTCAGGGTGTATCAATATGTATGTGACTACTATTGACTATATACCAAGGAACAACAAAAAAATTAGTGACTATTAAAAACTTATTTACTTTTTTTTTTTCAGAATTTTGAACAAATAACAAAAACGCTCGAAGTTGGGCACTTTAGGGTTAAACTTTTCAAATTTCTCAGGCACTGAAAGAGTTAACAAATTGTAATAATTCATGAATTGAACTAAAAAATAACTTTTAAGATTTTTTTTCCCCCCAATTAATGAAACAACTGTAGAACTGAAAATTCAAGAAAATTTGTCTAAAATCTTTCTGAGTAATCATCAAAATTTCACTAAAGTTTAGGTATCCACTTCTCGGTTTTGAAAAAACATCAATTTACGAATATTTTGGCATCTGGCTACTTCAACCAGCACACCCATTCAAATCAAACCACAGCTGAACACTGGCAGCCATTTTGAAAACTTTTATTTCGCAAAATAAATGGTGCACACTCAGCCAGTTTAGGGGTAAAATAATACCAAAAACATAAAAAAACAACACATTTTAGGTTTTAACTTCAACAACTGGCACAAATTATATCCTATTATTCCTGTTATTTTACAGTCATTTTTACACAATTTCTTTCTTCACTATCTTTCAAATATATCTTTAATCTAACGAAGTGTTAAATTATCCTCCAAATAGAGCTGTTTTTAATTCTCTTAGTTATGATTTTATTTTTTCAGAAAAAAAAAATGTAGTCTAAAATTGAGAATATTTCTATCCCCCCTGGATGGGATGCTAGTCCATCGCAGGTTACTCCCTGGCTAATGCCGGTACTCATTTATACTCCTGGGTGGAGAGAGGCAAGTGGGGGTGAAGTGGCTTGCCCAAGGACACAACATATGACCAGCAGCTGGATTCGAACCCCTGACCCTAGCCGTCAAGCTTAACAACTAGGCCATCTTTCCCCGGTAAACTCCCAAAAATCGGACATGTAAATTTATAAGAAATGTGACGAGAATAGAATTAATGTGCCATTTCTTTAATTCAATCCATGCAATTTTTTTTATCAGTTTTCAGCCTGTTATGAATGAGCTGCACACTGTAAAACCAAAATATGGAAATCATGATTCTAGCAAAAATTTGGAACGTGAAGGAAATAAAAACAAGCTGAGGCAGATAGACTTACCTTCGTCTTCGTTATCAGACATGAAGGAAATGACCATGGTCTCGGGGACCTGGACTTTTAATTTCTCATCCGTTGGCTATTTTGGGAAATAAACAAAAAGAGTCAATTTGTAAAATGATAAACAATGAACGCAGGGCTGGAGAGCTCAGTTGTTGCATTGCTAATGTTGCTAGCATCGTGACTTTGGGCGTGATCCCTGGCTACATGGCATATATAGGTTTATGGCTTCTGACTAGCGCCCCTTGAACAAAGACAATGACAAAATGGGGAACCGCCAACATAGGGCTGGATAGCTCAGTTGGTAGAGCACCGGAATGGCAATCCGGAGGTCACAGGTTTAAACCCCACCCCAGTCAATTTCTTTGTTCAACTTTCATTTTTGAAAACTCATTAATCGCTCTTGAAATTAATTTAAACTAAAAACAATGAACACTACTTATTGTGAAAGCTGGTGGTGTTTCTAACCAAAAAAGCCATCAATATGCAGAAAAATATATTTTGTAATACAATGTAAGTAATACGAAAAAAAGAGATCTTATTAAGAGGTTAGAAATATCTAAAAGCTAGACACAATATAATCACACTTTAATAAGCTATCAAGCTACCGTCTTTCAAAAACGTGGATTCTTACCGATGTAACAATAGTCGTCTCCACTGTGGTAACCGTCGTCAAGGTGTTGACTACAGAGATGTAGCCAAAACGCTTGGCAATGGCCAGGGCAGTGTAGCCATTCTGTGATGGAAAAAGAAAAGGAGACAAAAACAAATCAAATATTACCAAGGCATACAACTGGAAAGTACAGGCATGCAACTAGGAATTTAGAAAAAAACGTGGAAACCCCAAACCACACAAGACTTTGTACAGTATTTTTCAATTTGTAATGGCATTCATGAGAAGTAAAAACGAGGAAATCAGTGGATCTGAGGAAAAGTTGCATGCCTGGGAGTAACAAACTGGAGGAAATGTTAAGCTTTTACAAGCCTCTATACAGTGTTTTTCAATTTTTGACTGCACAAGTGTGATGTGAAAAATGAGGATACCAACTGATCCGAAGACCACGAAAATCTCTTAATCAATTATTTGTGCCAGTACCAACAAAAACAGCCCTGCCTGTTACTCCCTGTACCACCCAAACTGCCTGAACACTGTGGTTTTATAGATTCATTGGGGAATTAATACAATGTAATACAATGTAATACAATGTAATACGATGTAATACAATGTAATACAATGTGATACGATGTAATACAATGTAGTACAGGTGTTACTGAATCAATAGTACATGCAATTTACGTAACAGGAACAGGGCTGTGTGTTACTGAAATCGTAAAACCCAGTTATTCAAAATAGGTTTTTGCCCTTCACCGACGCATAAACACTGTATACTCAGTGTGTTACCTCCCGAGAGAAAGTTGGAAAAAATCACTCTGGTGGGACTTGAACCCATGACTTACGTCTTACCACTCGACCACCGAGCTAACGGGATCGGTTGGCTGGTTCGAATCTGATGTACATAGCGGCGGGTATCGCATTAACTAGTGTTTATACGTCGGTGTTTATATGTTGGTGAAGGGCAAAAACCTAATTTGATTTACATCATCCCAACGCAAAAAAACCAGTTACTTGATTTTGGCATATTTTGGATTTGTGTGGGTCAAGAAATCAAGACTTTTCCATTTTTCCTGGAGACCACCGACTACTCACGTTAGCAGTCTCGTTAGGGTCGGCTCCTTTAGTCAGCAGCAGGTTGATAATGGCCACGTGACCCTGCTGCGAAGCTTGGTGAAGAGGTGTCAGCCCGTGCTGTCAAGATACAAAATAAAAAGAAGAAATTAGAAGCAGCCAATGAACTAGAGATTAATTTGGCTCCAGGCAACACTGGAGAAGGTTATACACTGTATATGTTAATCATTGTAGCTCATCTTACCCTTACATAAGTAACGTTAGGTCCAAATTAATAGGCTACGCCAGCAGTAACATACATGTCTATAGGAAGGTGCTTCAACCACTGCCATAGACACATGTGTAGAAAATATTGTTATCGTTTGTGCATTTTTTTTTCGTTTGAAGCAACAAAAATGCTCAAAATCTAAAGAAGGGTGCTTAACAACTAACCTGATGAAGGTTTAGCTCAGTGAATGCTGTATATTCCAAGAAAAAATATTCTAGGATCTCGATTTCAATTCAAAAGTTGCTGAGTCATGTTTTAAATTGCGCTTGAAATCAGCATCCGAAACACGTTTTCATTCAGCCGATTGCAGCTACGATGTCACGCACTGAACTGACGAATTGTAGCAATCGCGCGTGCGTGTGCGTCATGTCAACGCATGCGCATACCCATTAATGGCTTCACCAAATTAAAAGCGAACTACTGAGGGAATTTTTTTTTAAAATGCGTCTTTAGACCCATCTTTGGAAATGGTCTGCTTTCATTGCTTTCTTCAAAATGACAGCATACCATAAAACAATAATTTCACAGGGAGTTTAGTGCCATTACTATCTTTAAACCAAGTAAGCTTTTCAAACATAATTTTGTCAGTTACTTTTTGGATAGCTGCACATGATCTACTCTACCTTTAAAAGTTCAGTGAATAAACCTGAAAAATGTTGTTGTTTTTCAAGTCTTCTACATCCATCATCTAGTAATGGTCGAGGAGATTACAGACTAGGAGTTTTGGATCATTTCTCTGAATCATTAATTAGATATCATGGTTAATTGGCTCTGTCATGGACATTACAAAGTCCTTTCATAACGCTGGAACTGGCCACAAAATAATATGAAAGAAATGTGAACAAACCAAAGCTGGGCGGGCTTATAACTAAATCCAGAACGTCTATATTTCTTTTAAGGTCACTTTAGTAAGTAGATACAACCTGTCAAGAGTAACAGATATGTTTTGCTGACGATAATTGCTCGCCTACCTTAGTCTTGGCTTGGATGACCGCTCCGTTCTGCAGCAGGTACGCGGCCGTCTTCAGGTTGCCGTAGTGGCAGGCCACGTGGAGGGGGGTGTAGCCAGCCTTGGTGCGTGGGTCGATACCGGAGCCGTTCTTGACCAGGACCTTGGCGCAGTCCAGCTGGTCCTCCTGAGCAGCCAGATGGAGAGGGGTCAGGCCATTCTGGGTTGGGAGGTTGGGTTGATAGAAGAGAATAAGGAAATGAGACGATCTGTGTTGTGAACAACTTGTTATAAACCATCACAGACATCATAAGCCATCACAGATTATCATAAGTCGTCATAAACCCTCACAAGTCACAAGAAGTCAATCTCCACAAATCAACTACAAGTCTGGCCATATGTACATCACAGGTCCATGAATCATGGTTCAGTGGTTACAGTGTTTGCCCCATGTACGATGCTGCGTGGGTTCAAACCCTGCCAGGAACATAGTGTTTGTGCCCTTGGGCAAGACATTAACTACAATTGCCTCTCTCCACCCAGGAGTATGAATGGGTACCCGTGAGGGTAGAGGACCGAATGTGCGCTGATATCGGCTGCCTGTGGTCTCATGGCCTGATGAACGGAGGAATAATAGTAAAGCGCTTTGAGATTGTTGATACGATGGAAAGTGCTATATAATAAGCATTACAATCAATTTTTTTTCACAAGTAACAGAGATCATTGGTAAGGGTTTGGCCTCACATGGGTGAGGGTAGGGGTTTCTTGAGGTGAGGGTAGGGGATGAGGAGGTGGGAGGAGGAGGTTCTTGAGAAGGCAGGGATGTCTGGTCTAGCTCCTCTCTACAGCAGCAGTGACAGTATATCAGTGTGGTTTTCCTGGGAGGCCAGATGGATCAGGCTGACACCCTGTTTGGTCATGGTGTTAGGATCGGTAGGGTTGGGATCGGGGGTGAGGGTCTAACTTTTTGGCAGCAATGTCTGGTTTAGCTCCTCTCTCCAGCAGCAGTGACAGCATATCAGTATGGCCTTCCTGGGAGGCAAGATGGATCGGGCTGATACCCTGTTTGGTCATGGAGTTAGGATCAGTAGGGTGGGGATCAGGTGGGTGAGGGTTTGGGGTAGGGTGGGGTCGGGGATGGGGTTCTTACTTTGGCAGCAATGTCTGGTTTAGCTCCTCTCTCCAGCAGCAGTGACAGCATATCAACATGGCCTTCCTGGGAGGCCAGATGGATCGGGCTGATACCCTGTTTGGTCATGGTGTTAGGATCGGCGCCGTACTCCAGTAGAGTCGTGGCTACATCGAGCTGATTCTTCTTGGCAGCGATGTGAAGTGGAGTGAAGCCATTCTGGAAAAAATAAAAACATCAGGATCGTGACTTTACCAAATTTCCTTTGAGCGTTGTCATCTATAAAGGTTACAGAGTTTTGGCCGCAGTGCTATGGTATAAAGATTCGAACCCTGATGGGGAACATGAAGCTTGTGTTCTTGGGCAAGACACTTTACCAAATTTCCTTTGAGCGCTGTCGTCTAAAATGGTTACAGAATTCAACTCAAGTGCTATGGTATAAGGATTCGAATCCTGATGGGCAACATGAAGCTTGTGTTCTTGGGCAAGACACTTTATCAAATTTCCTTTGAGCGCTGTGGTCTAAAATGGTTACCGAGGTCAACTCAAGTGCCATGGTTGGACGGTTCTAATCCTGATTGGGAACATGGTGCTTGTGTTCTTGGGCAAGACACTTTATCAAATTTCCTTTGAGCGCTGTCATCTAAAACGGTTACAGAGTTCAACTCAAGTGCCATGGTTGGACGGTTCTAATCCTAACGGGGACTTGGTGCTTGTGTTCTTGGGCAAGACACTTTACTGCCATTGCTAGAAAAGGGCCACACATGAAGACAATTTGGGCTAAGGGACGGGACTTACCTGTGCCACTGTGTGGGGTGATGCACCCTGATCCAGTAGCAGCATTGCGACTTCGACGTTATCGTAGTGGGCGGCGATGTGAAGTGGTGTCAGGCCATTCTGAGAGAAAACAAACACAATTCAATAAATCTTAGGTTTTCAAAATAAAAAGAAATACATGTTAGGCCACACACAAAAAGTCTCCGGTTTCTGGTATGGAGCTTGCCCAAAAAGTGGTGCGGCGACGTGGCTTTTTTTTTTTTTTACCTGATTTTTTTGCTTCAAATGTCGGCTGATGACTGCAAATGGTGCCCAACTAAACTTAGTGCAAATATATGGGAGTCCAGAGAGGCCACATAAAGCTTATTCTTGACCATAACCCAATCTAAAAACACGTTAAAATTGTGCAGCAGCAGGATTCCAGTCAAAGCAGTGAGTTTGGCGGTTTTGAGACATCATCTTTCATTGAAAAAAAAACTTCTTCATTTTGCCGACGCGCATGGCTACGGCGACACGCGCGCATACCAGAAACCGGAGAATTTTTTTTTTTGGCCTTAAAGAGGTGTAATTAATGCAGAAGTATTATCGAGTGAGGAATCCAATAACAAAAAGTAATTCTTGTCGTTTGTACTCATTGCAATAATTTCTTTTCTGCAACAGCTGAGTTCCAGTAATCGTAAATCCTCACAAGTCAATCACTAGTCATCAAGTCTAATGTCAAGCGCCAAGCTGTTCAAATGAACTGAGACAAAGATATTTCTTTGTCAGTATTCATCCCCCGTTAACTGTTAGGGCTGAATATACTAAATATTTGAATATATACAAATAGCCTTTTTTTATAAATCAAATATTCAAAAGAGGAGCGGTCTCAAGGAGACAATGAAAAACGGTGTTTTAGTTCCGTGAGTTGAATGGTTTTATTGTTTGTCAAATGTCACACTTTTCTCGAAAGCCATTTTCACGCATGATTTGAGAAGTTTCCATGAGGAATAAGTAGCTTAAATTGCTTATTTAAATCAGTCAAACATCAGCCATTCCACAACGTCTTCTTTATATTGTTTTAATCAGCTCTTTTTGTCAATTTTTGCAGGTGCATGCAAATCCCGATCGATGGCCAGCTCGGGCTGGCGAATGTTTAACCAGATCAGTGCATTTCAAAATTGAATATTCGAATATTCAATCAAGTCCAAGTTGGAATAATCGAATACTGAATTATTCAAACATGCACAACTTTAATTACTGTGACCACTAGGATGCAGGATTAGCATGTGATTGACTTGTGATTGACTTGTGACCAACTTGATTTCGACGCACTCTACAATCACAGAGATTTAAGATCCTTATTTTTGTTCCTTCCCTTCCTACCTGAGCTGTGGCATCAGGGGCTGCGTAGTGTCTCAACAGCAGAGATGCCACATTCAAGCGTCCGTACTTGGCAGCAACGTGGAGAGGAGTGAACTCTTTCTGTAATGGGATCAAACGAAAGTACGTTCATTTCTGTGTCGGAATTTAGTTGCTTCCACAGTTATGGATGCTGTACGCTCCCAAGATAGACAGTCACTGGAATTTTTCATGGGCTCGTTGAACAGGGGTAAAACCGTAATAATGATGTAGCCCTTTCAGCAAAAACATTGGTGGATATACGTGTAAAAACCTACACTGTACATCACCACAAAATGAAGTCAGACTTTTTCAGAATTGAGACGTAATTATCCAAGCAGAACAAGAGCTTTCTAACTGGAAATGGGGCATATTTATGCTACACTCGTCAGACATCACATGGAGGCAAGTGAAGCCACTCCCTTTTAGCCTTCCAGTTTGACACATGACCACTGAGCCCCACAAAAGCATCAGAACGAGTACATGTATAGAGTGGTATGCATTAAGAGGAAGTCTGGTAAACTGGAATGCAAACTGCAAGACTGCTATAGCCAACCATGATGCATCATCAAGTATAGGTTGTGCAGGATTCCATGAATTTTTTACATGACTTTTTTGCTAGGAATATAAACTTAGGATTTGACACTCTTTGAATGGAGCCAATACTAAGCCTGTGTCTCCCAAGTTTATGTCAAAATAACGTAACGGGATCAAGCCGAAGCTGGAGATAGAAGCCAAGATTTCATAAACACCCTAGACTATCAGCTTCGGTCCAAAAATTGAGCAACCAGCATCAAATGATCAAAAGGAGCAATGCTCATAGTGATTTTTGACAAGGTATGCACATCTAGAGCTGGAAAATGTGTGATTGATCTGCAGTGTGAGTGGTGGCAGCTTTCTAGGGTGTTATCACTTTAAATTATTGTTTTTCAAAATAGCCGCCAATATGCTTGTTACCAGATTAATTATAACGGTAACAAGCAAATTGGTCATCATTTTTTAAAAATGTGATAGCATCCTAAAAGCTGCCCCGCTGCAATGCTATCACATATTTTCCAACTGCAGGGGTGCATACCTTGCCAAAAATCACAATGAGCATTATTCCCCTCATTTGATACCGACCAAACCCCAGGCTGATGGCCTGTTGGGTTCGTACCTTGGTTTGCATGGAGAGCGATGCGCCGTGATCAAGCAGCACAGCTGCCACGTCTTCCATTCCTTCCCTGGCGGCGATGTGCAGCGCCGTGTAGTGATCCCGGGTCTGCGCGTCGGGCGACGCGCCGTTCTCTAACAGCAGCGTCACGATCTCCACGTTGCCCAGCCGCGCGGCGATGTGCAGCGGGGTCTGGTTCTCGGTGGCCTTGGCGTCCACTTTGGCCCCGTTGCGGAGCAGGACGCGGATGATGTCGATCTGGTTGGCGCGGGCTGCCAGATGGAGGGCAGTCTCACCACGCTAAAAAAGAGAACCCAAACAAAAACACCGAAATTACTTGTCGTCATTCAATTCCTAATTTCTATTTCAGAATCGCGTTCCAGAGCTTCGCCAAACCAGAGAAGTAAGAGAAGTGGCTCGGGTCAACCAAAAACGAACTCAATTCCTAACATCTGTTTCAGAATCGCATTCCAGGGGTGGATTGCAATAACCGGTCTTTAAGCGGTCTATGCGTGTTAGACAGTCTAAAAGCTCTGGCCGTCAGTTGGTCTTTGAGTTAGACCATTGCAATGAAACATTCCAAGTGTTAACCAGTGTTTGTTTATCTTGTAAATCTAGGAGACACACACGTGCAACATCAACGGTGAATCGAGGACAGGAACCAAATCGAGGACAACTTCAATTAGAAAACGTGTACAAAACCAATGAGAGCTGTTGCGAAAAAGGAAAAAGGAAGAGGAACAAAAGGAAATCCTAGATTTACACCATAAACAAATGTAATAGTTCATGTCGGATGACGTTTATACACGCGAAGGTTTTGCAGTATTCGGAACGGATGACTGATAAACGCGCATCGTCCGGCTCGCAGTGAGCGCGGCCAAAATATCACGGTTTGTACTCGTTACTAAAGCAAATGAAAACGCGAATTTGTGATGCCAAGTCAAATTTTTTGCGCTGATTTGAAAAGTTTAACGCCTTTCAACTCGGGCAAATTTTGTGGGCGAATGTTTCATGACATCAATTTCACTTCTCATTTGCATTTCCATGAAGTATGACCCAGCCTTAAAGCAAAATGTTCACCAATTAACTTCAAAAGAACGGACGAAAAAAAGAACGACGGACAAGGAAAACCTACCACGTTGGTTTCGTCCACGCTGGCTCCGTGGTTGATCAGGTAGCCAACGATGTTGATGTTACCCATGAAGGAGGAGACGTGAAGTGGGGTCAGTCCAGACTAAAAATGAGAACGAGAATAGTAAAATTATGCATTTCTCAAAAGTTTTATTGGATTAATCTTGTCATGGATGACCAGGTCGTGGTATTTGTGTTTCAACCAGTAGAACAGTCCTGAATATGCAACAGACACAAAAAGAGCTAAAAACGTGCAATTGAAAGGCAGCTTTAGGCCGCGTTCGCATTGTACTTTCTTGGGTTAAACTTACCGAGACTGTTGCCAACTTAACCAAATTAAGACCAGTGCGGATCAACTTCCCAAACTGTCAAGTGTCGATCGTCGGTAGTAAGTTTTTATGCTCAGGAGTGGTATGTTTTACAAGAACAGCTGCCTGGGTCGCAGACGAATTACACTGTTCATTTCACACTGAATGGCCCGTGTGGACAGCAATAAGCCGTTTCGCGGATACCACAATCTTTGAAATTTTAGGGGGCACCACAATGAAAATACGTCCAATCATGCTCAGCTACAGTTGCATGATGGAACGTATTTTCATTGTGATGCCCCCTAAAAATTTCAAAGATGGCGGTATCCGCGAAGCGGCTTATTGCAAAGTTGTGATCATGCGACTTCTGTGAGGGTCACCAATATTGACCAATGTAATTCACACACACGCCATTTAATGTAAACATATCTATCCCTAAAGAACACTGATGAGAATATTATAGTTTGATCAATAGCACGGTATCTTTTTACAAACTTAGCTCAAATACGAGCACAGGTTTAGTCTGTAATTTGTTAGCAAGTTGGTCTAACCTCGGTAGTGGCATGGACAGATGCTCCGTACTTCAGCAACAGCTCAATCACTTTGACGCGGTTCTTCTTGCAGGCAATGTGAAGAGGAGTGAATCCGTTCTGAGAAGAAAACAAAAATCACTATAAATTCCCCCAACAATGTCTTCAGTTTTTGCTCGTCTACTTTAAATGCAAGTTATGCACGCATGAGAGTTGTGGAAGGCACTTTATAGTATATACTAACCTGAGTAGCGGTTCGAGATTTTGTTTTCAAGACACTTACATGTAGGTCCTTGGACTCTTTTTTTCCCTTCAATTAAAATGGTTCCAAAGACAAATTTGGCGAAGAAAAATAGTGAATGAAAAATGGCAATTGGTGGATTTGAACCAGGGATCGTTTAATCTACATGTACAGTCTTTCTCACTAAGGCTATTGTGGCAGCTTGACGACAGCTGTTCTTTAAACAGGGGTGTGAGTGGAGTCCCAAAAAAATAGCTGAAAATAGCTGAACCTGTAAATAACCGAACCTGCGAGCGCGAAGCGCGAAGCCCTTACGGCGTGGGGTTCGGGGCCCGCCCAAGGGCCCCGAAAAAAAATTGAAATGTAGATGCTCTGTGGTGCATTTTAAAGCCCCCTGGCATGCCTGGGCCAACTATTGGTCAAAAATGTTTTGCAATTTATGCATGTTTTTAAGTTAACTTTTCCTTCATATTGGCTTAAAACTGCCTAAATGGCCAACTTGTATATGAAAACTGGGAAATTCAACCACGTTTTCCATATTTTAACTCCTCTTACTGCAGATGATTGATACACATCGTCATCGCGTGTCCCGGCTTCTAATCGAGTCGCCTAATTTCTGCCCATTATTAACCATGTTTCCATCCAAATCCATTTCCACGGATTCGTAACCTGAGGATCGGTCTTGTCAATGTCCGAATGAAACTCCGAACCTCTTGGGATAATAACACATTTGTGTTGCACTGACATCTTGCGGAATTAATGTCAAAATACGTTCGAAACATTTGAAACGACACACTAACGTACGTATCAGCATGCAGCGGAATACGCAGCAGGCCGATGCGTGCATGCAATGAAATGCACACATGAACTTTGCCCCGCATGATGCCCTCTACCGGCGCGGCGACAATTTACTAGTCTTATTTCAAGGCTTTATATTTGCAACAAGACGATGTTTACAGCGAGTTATTGTGGAGATCATCGCGTGTCACTACATGCATAGACACAGGATAGGAACGGCCGCAAAGAGTCCCAACGCGCTTCATGGCGCATGTGTGAATATTCATATTTATCTGCAGCCAATCACAGCGCAATGACTGTTGGTTCCCCGGATGCTGTTTACACGTTGTGTACACACGCGGCTTCGAGCTGAAAAATGCATGCACATGGCATCGTATAGTACTCACGTACGTACGTAAATGTACATGTACATGCACATTGAATACTCGCTTGCACGAGCTATGTGTATGTTGTAGAGAGCGGATCGCGTGCGTTCGGCGGAAAATAAAATAAACGGAAATAAAATCAAAGCTTATGCGCGGGGGAAAAAGCGGGGGGAAATCTGGACCATCGGAAGAAAAAAAGCGGAAAACAAAATGTGGCACGCTGAACAAAAAAGCGGAAATCCGCTAAATAGCGGAGATTTCACACCCCTGTTTAAAATCGTTTAATGGGCGATGCTGGACGTCACTGATCTTTCCTCCGATCTTTCCTCTTGTCAGAGCCCTTGTACTAGGGTTAGCCTTCCTATCCAGCAGCAACTTAGCCACTCTATGTTGACCGCACTAACTGGTCATGTGTAATGGGATCAGTTAGTCCCCCCCCCCCTCTCTTATCTAGCCCCGCCCCTTCTACCTTTTCACCGACGAGTTCACTTACCAGAGCCCTGGCGCTAGGGTTAGCCTTCCTATCCAGCAGTAATTTAGCCACTTTGTGGTGACCGCAATGGCCGGCCACGTGCAGTGGGGTCAGATAGTCCACGGTGACATCATCAACTGGCGCCTTGTGGTACAGGAGCAGACGAGCACTGTCTACGTGGTCACCTTGGGCTGCCATGTGCAGGGGTGCCAGACCATTCTAAAAATAGAATGCTGAATTTGATTATTCCTTTTTCATGTGATGGATACATCCACAATTTTTACTGAATGTCTCTAAGGCCCCCCCCCAAAAAATATTCGGTCTCTGGTCAGACCAAAGTTCTGGAATTGACGCTGGGACGCGGCTTTTTTTTTCTTTTTTTTTTTTTCTTCAAGCTTGGATTGTACAGACAAGGTGGGGTACTATTTTGCTTTTTTGGTGTCCTCATGTACATTGGTGTCCTCCATAATTTGCCTTGGTGCTCTCGATCATTTGCCTTGGTGCAATTTCCCATTCCTTGGTGCTCTTTGGTAAAAAAAACTGAGGAGGGGCGGCAATAGAGGGCGCTGTTGGAGCTACCACGGAACATTTTTGAAAAAAAAAAGATTGACGTGCATGATTAAAATCGACGCGCGCGCTGACCAGAGACCGACTTATTTATTTTTTTTGGCCTAAATTACATTTTTTTTTATCCACAGGTTTACATTTGTCCACAAATCTTTCAGTGCGCTGACAAGTCTGGACTAAGTAAATGTACGTTATCCACAATCAGGATCTACGGTACTATTGCTAATTCTTATCCACACATCTGACTCCATATTCAAAAGTCCAACACACTCTACATCCACCAAGTTTGGCTCAAAATCCACGCGTTTGATGGCACATCCACAAATCTGCAAGTTGATCCACACACACATGGCTGTACATCCACACACCTGACGCTACATCCACACATACCTTGGTTTTGGCCGAGATGGGAGCTCCTCTCTCCAGCAGTTGATCCACACACTGGTCATGTCCGCTGCGAGCGGAGCAGTGGAGGGGTGTCAACCCATCCTGTAGGCAAAATCCACAAAATTTTGTTGACTGTAATGACAAATTCTACATCCACCAAGTTTGCTTCAAAATCCACGTGTTTGATGGCACATCCACAAATTTGCAAGTTGATCCACAAGTTGATCCACACACACATGGCTGTTGCAAGATTGTGCTTTTGGAATACACAGGAATTTAAATCAATTTTTAGTTGAGTGAAGACAAATCAATTTGACTGAACAATGAATCCAAACATGTGATAGAAATGAAGTAACATACAGCAAAACAGAGCTATCCAGCCCTATTTTAGTCTCATATTTCTCATAAACTTCATTTACCTGTCTTTAAAAATAGACATAATTAGTAGCACTTCGAGTACCTAATTGTTGTTAGAAACGTGCGCTATATAAGACTCCGGTAATATTATTTTGGGTGGAACAAATCTTTGTTCTGGGACGCTAGCTTTAAGTCCCAACCCAAGCAAGAATCAAAACCAGGCAAGCTTATGAGTTTCTCTCAAAAGCTTTTGGAGTCTTGGTCCCAGACTGGCCTTGGTTTTGGCTCCCTAGCAAGCTGCGGCAGTAGAGGGCGCTATTACATGATGACTGAAATCCACGCTTGGGAATTTAGGCACTCGGTCCTCAGAAATTCTTAGCACACCGGTACCTCACGCCTGCATTAGCTTGAATACAGTTGACAAGTTTAAAAACTTGACGATTTTACCACCTTCAGTTTAGGCCAATTCATGAATAAAGCCTACGGCTACTCACTCTAGTCTTGGCGTCGATCCTGGCCCCGCGATCCAGCAGGGTGTTGACCATGTTGACTCGGCCCCACTTGGCAGCGACGTGCAGCGGCGTGATGTTGTTCCTAGCGGCGTGATCCACGGATGCGCCACGCTGCAGCAGCAGGGTGGCGACGTTGACATGGCCGTAGTGGGCAGCAATGTGCAGGGGTGTAAAGCCGCTCTGTCAAAACAAAATATGAAAATATGAAGTGATATTAACACTTGCTCTATTTGGTGTGATTTAGCACAACGCACTCTGACTGGGTGATCCTATATTATTAGAAAACTGTATAAATATTAGATTTTCTCTGAAATATCTGCCGACGGCTGAATCGCAAATAAACACTCCAGCTTACACAGACCTAAAACTATTATTTTAAATCTATATTCCTAAAGTGCAAACAACAGCCAAATTGTGGCAGTTTGGAAAAATCAGAGCAAATCATCCTTTTTAACACCGGTATATCCATTCAAAAAACACCTTCTTTTAATCCTAAGGCCATGGAGCTGGTATGGAGCTTGCCCAAAAAGTGGTGCGGCGACGCGGCTTTTTTTTTTTTTTTTACCTGTTTTTTTTTTGCTTCAAATGTCGGAGGATGACTGCAAAATGGTACCCGACTAAACTTAGTGCAAATATATGGGAGTCCAGAGAGGCCACATAAAGCTTATTCTCGATCATAACCCCATTTAAAAAAACGTTAAAATTGTGCAGCAGCAGGATTCCAGTCAAACCAGTGAGTTTGGTGGTTTTGGGACATCATCTTTCATTGAAAAAAAAAACTTTTTCATTTTGCCGACGCGCATGGCTACGGCGACGCGCGCGCATACCAGAAACCGGAGACTTATTTTTTTTGGGCTAACTCCCTAGGCCTTTTTGCTAGGGTGTAGCATCAATCCTGCAAAAACCTCCAATTGGCCTCATGGAAAAATAGCATATACATGAAGCCTCATTCCTGCAAATTCCTGCATTATTTCTTGCATATGGTCCATGGAGGGGTGACCACTGCCTGAATCCTGCAAAATCCTGCGGCAGTGACTGCAAATATGTTGCGGCTTGGCCAGTGACATCCTGGAGCAGTACGGAGGATTTCAAGCATAATCCAGGCCTATTATGCATGGCTGAGCAAAAACAACACCAGGTCCGGCCCAAGACCTTGACAAAGTGCATCCTACGAAATCAGTAACGAATGTTTGCCATGTAACCTCAATCCTCCAAATTCCTCCACTTTGGCAAAGAGGATTTGAAGGATTCAGGGCGGTTAGGATTAATGAATAACTTAAAATAATTTTCGCTCATAACTGGGGGGCAATCTTTAAAAAAAACAACGTTTTGCCTTTGAAAAAGGTCCTGCTTAGGTCCGAAACATTAGGGCCACTAATTTGTTGAATTAAAACCTAAGAAACCAGCTCCTACCTTGGAAGTGATGTCCGGGTTATGGCCGCTTTGCAGCAGCAGCAGTGCGGCCTTGGTGTCGTCGCGTCGAGAACAGATGTGCAGGGCGGGTAGGCGCGTTTTCCCAGCACGGTCGTTCTCCAGCAAGACAGCGACAACTTTGTCGTGTCCTTGTTGTAAAGCAACGGCAAGGGGCGTGTAGCCATCCTGCGGGAAAAATAAGCCCCGCCCCGAGAAACGGAGTTAGAACTGTGTGCACACTGTTGGAAGAAACTATGATCTCAAAGAGTAGAACTTTCTCCCTCAGTAAGTTAGTTGACAAACTTTGCGGCAGCATATAGAGTAATTGTGTGTTCATGTAAATTATGGAAATTATACAACTGATCATACAAAGAGAAAAGTGTAATAATAAGGACATAAAAACAATCCCACAACACAGGGACGTAGTGAGCATGACCATTCGGTTTTTCACGTTAGATTTTCAACCAAGAAAACCCAGTAGCTTTGTATTTATACGTACGTATATACTGCATTCCACACACACAAAAAATCACATTTAAAATTAATAACACAGAAATTAAACACAAATCTTGTACAAGACACATAATCCATGCAGGCATAAACGTGGTAAGGACAGTACTGGCATATTTAAAATGACCAAAAAATTTGGGGAAACCTAAGCTTTTTATCGTTGGACAACTAATTTCTAAGATGGGCTTCTTTCAAGTTAGGTTTCACGTTTCAAAAGATCATCTCAAATATAATAGGAATTAAAATTACCGGGTGTAAAACCTTTTCCAGTAATAAAAAAATGTATTAAAGGAATTTGTCCTACTAAATTTTCTTCAACTACTAAAATGGATATTTTAGTAGTGAAAACAGCAATAAAATTAGAATTAGTTTTATAAAAACAAGATGTTGAGCCTTAAATTGACTGGCGCTTACAACTGAATCTGCTTGGCAAAAGCTACAAGGTAAAACTGAGCGAAGGTTTGCAGATTTTTTTTTTTTTATATATATAAAGGCGGAGTGGGCCATTTGCAGCTATCAAAATAGTAACCAACCAAATTACCGTTAAAAAAACTCACTGGGTTTAAAGATAGTAATGACACTTAAACACCCTGTGAAATTATTCCTTCTGGCATGCTGTCATTTTGAAGAAAACAAAACAAGAAGGTCCTTTCCAAAGATGTGTCAAGTGACACATTTTTGGAAATCTCTGTTGGTAGTTGATTTGTAATTGGGCGAATCCGTGAATGGGTGCAAGCGTTGACACAAACGCACATGTGCACGCGGCTGCTGTTATTTGTCGGTTCAGTGTGTGACATCACTTAGAGCAATCAGCTGAATGAGAATCATGTCCAAATTAATTGTGCCATGGAGAGGGCGCAATTCAAAATATGACATGGCAACTTTCAAACAGAAATCGAGATCCAGAAAATTGTCTTTTCTCGAAATATACAACATTCACAGAGCTAAAATTTCATCAGGTTAGTTGTGGCATCCGACTTTAGACTTCGAACACTTCTGATTCTTCAAACAAAAAAACTGCACAAATGAAAAATGTTCCATTCTATCTTCAAAGACCTAACAGACTTTACATGTAACATGCATGTCATGTGCGTCTTGTATACGTAATGCACACGTACAGGCATTATAATCCAGTCTAGCCATAGAGGAATTAGAATTAGGGAGGATGTCGGAATTATCTGGGGCCATCTCAAAAATTCTTAAAGCCCTGGGAGTGTTTTTACGCAAGAAAGACAAGCTGAATGAGTTAAAATGGCGCATTCTAACATTTGCTTTAATCAATTTATCCCTACTTTTATTTCAAGGTCAAGTTAATGCGAAGCCCCAGCAACATAAAATCTGATTGAATCCCAAGGTCGTCAAGCGAATGACAAACAATGGGAGATATTCCTTGAAGCCGGACTATCACAAATTAATTGAACGAATGAAAAGCACTACCAAAAAAAAAGAACAAAAATGTAAAAAACATAAATTCAAGGTCAAATTAACAGAAATCCATTTCCCTGGGGCAAATTTTGTGACACGATTTGTTTTAACAACGAAAAACTGTGATACATAAATTTGACATTCACTTGGAGGGAATTTTTACCTGTCGGTGGAAACGCTTTTGCAACTACACTTTCAATCACCTTTTAAAAAATAATTTTGGGCATGACAAATATCGCAACATAACTTCACTTTTTTTTCTTCAACTGCAAAATCACATTCCTTCAACAGCAATTATCAAATGAGATTAAATTTGGTAAAATTTCTGAATTTTCACTCAAAAATTCTCTGAGTTCACTTGAAAAGACAGTGATATTATCTGAAAAGAATTTCTATCTGAAGATTTGAAGACTCTTGTTGTTGAAACGAATGTGATATTCTTTGCTCAAAAGTGGGTGAAACTTTGGCATACTTAGTACGGCAGATAGGCGATGGTATTGTGCCTTTGTGTATACAAGCATGGAATCTGGCAAACAGTCCGAGTACATATGTCATGAGAAAGATATTTGGCTATAGGGCCATCGCAGATTTGTCCTTTGAAAAAATATATGTAGAGTAACAAGCAATGGCAGCCATTTTGAAAATTGTGAAAATTGCTTGTTAATTCTACCTATATTTTTTCAAATTACAAATCTGCGATGGCCCTATAGCCAAATATCTTTCTTAAGACATACTCTGACTGTGTGCCAAATGCCATGCTTGTATCATCAGAGGCACAACTCCCCCAAATATTTTCCCTATCTGCCCCACTAACTGCGGTGAAACCTAATGAATAAAAAAGGGTGATTCTTTCATTCGTGAAGACATTGCAAACAACCCATCAACTCTACATGTACTTCTCTGGAAATCTTTCCTCTTTTTTTCTCCTTCTTTCTTTTGAGATACAGAAACAAATGTACATGTAATGTACACAAATACTTGAAATGAGAATTCTTAAAGTGGAGTTTGAAAACAGACAAACACAAAAATACAAAACAGTGGAAAAGAGACATTGAACTACAGTGCATCAAAGACAAGTAAACAAAATTTTGATAAGTTTTTAGTTCAGAGGAGAGCATCTTCATCTACAAAAATCTATGCTGTTCCAATTATGATTACAAAAAAACCTTGCTGCTTTAGAAAATGTCTTTCCAACTAGAAAAGGCAGCACAACAATTTACAGAAGGTTTTTTGATATAAATGTACCTGGATTTGGTATACTGCTCACATGTAAGTTTCAAAATCAAGTCCATCTTTCTGTACCGTATGCGTAAATGGTTTGTGACTAATCTTATTGACTTCGGATTTTAAACCAAGACAAACAAATAGGACAAATTGCATTGTATTTAATAAAAAATATGAAGTTTGTGGATTTTGGCTCCAGTAGTTCAAAATGGCGGCCTAGTAACAATGAGCATACTTAAACAAATGCTTTGATGAAAATCATTTTAGAAATATCACAGGAATACAATACATGTTTTTGTATGATGCGATGCATACATGTATGTACATTCATGTTGAAATGGACATATTGATGTGAATGTGCCAAAAGTTTGAGATCAAATTTTTCAAGGTGCAAGATAATCGATTCAAAATGCAATATCTACAGGAAAGTTGCGGGCCGGCTGGGACAAAATGCAATACATAAACAAACATTTTTTTTATTGGTATCATACTCTTAAATCTGCCAGTACTGTCAATACCACCAAAAAGTGTGCGACAAATTCAGGAATCTGTGCTAAAAAAAAAATAGAAAACTTGCAATCACTAGAGTGCATTGTAAAAGACTAATACAGAGCAAGTCAATAAAAGCAAAACCCAAATGTCGGCACTATTGTCTTAGTGAAGTTGTGCATGTAACGTAGCACTTTCAAAATCTAGGTTATGAAAGCCCAATTCACAAGCTTTCTCTTAGTACAAAAATCATTCAAATCACTCATGTGCTTTTCAAGTTACAGAATTTTAAACACAACCACCATTTTATAGTTCTGTCAATGGATCAAAAAAGGGTGTGCGTTCTTTCAGAAAAAAACGAAAACAATTCACACATATCCTTTTGTGATTTGTTTTGCTGAAAGAACACTTACCGTACCTTCTTGCAATCCGTGAACAGAACTTTAAAACGGTGGTTGTGTTTAAAATCTCGTTACTTGAAAAGCACACGAGTGATTTGAATGAGTCTTGTACTAAAAGAAAGCTTATGAATTGGGCTTTCATATCCTATTGAAAGTGCTGCATGTATGCAGAACTTCACTAAAACAATGGTCCCGACATTTGGGTTTCGTTATTTTTGACACACCCTGTGCAACGTTCTATCATTAACAATGTTAGTTGCAAGACTTTTGTTATTGGACAAACCACGCCAATCACACGGCAGTGCTAAACTATAGCTCAGTCCGACCCCATGTTGCTACATTTCCCATCATGCAATGGTGAGCTACCGGTAAAACTATGACAAAACGTGGCAGTTGCCCAAGCGTGCAGATCAAGAACTACGCTATCGATACATGCCAGAAGCTTTTTAGACAATTTGATGAGATCGGTGGATTTATATTGTTGGATTTTGGTGGGATCTTCCAAAAGTTAATGCTCCTTAGTATCTACCGGTACATATGTACATCTGAAGACAATCAATGTTTGTACACCAACCTACCGGTATGAGATTCTGTATCCTGCCACCCCAAAAATGTTTGTAGACCAGCCAGGGTTTTTTTTGCTCCCAAAATATGGCCGTCTCTTTCGCGCGAGCGTCTTTGTGCTAGCATCTTTGGGCGAGCGTCTTTGCGCGAGTGTCTTTGCTCAAGCATCTTTGCGTTTTGCGCGAGCATCTTTGCGCGAGAATCTTTGTGCTAGCATCTTTGCGCGAGCGCCTTTGCGCGAGCGTCTTTGCATTTTGCGCGAGCGTTTTTGCGCAAGTGTCTTTGTGCGAGCATCTTTGCGCGAGTGTCTTTGCGCGAGCTTCTTTGCGTTTTGCGCGAGCGTCTTTGCGCAAGTGTCTTTGTGCTAGCATCTTTGCGCGAGCGTCTTTGCACGAGTGTCTTTGTGCGAGCATCTTTGCACGAGTGTCTTTGCGCGAGCTTCTTTGCGTTTTGCGCGAGTGTCTTTGTGCTAGCATCTTTGCGTGAGCGTCTTTGCGCAAGTGTTTTTGTGCGAGCATCTTTGTGCAAGCGTCTTTGAGTGAGCATCTTTGCGCGAGCGTCTTTGCGTGAGCATCTTTGCGCGAGCGTCTTTGTGCGAGCATCTTTGCGCAAGCGTCTTTGTGCGAGCACATTTGCGCGAGCGTCTTTGTGCGAGCATCTTTGCGCGAGCGTCTTTGCATGAGCGTCTTTGCGCGAGTGTCTTTGCGCGAGCGTCTTTGCAACAGCATCAGTCGTAGTTGGCAATGAGTTTGAATGTTCCTCCCAGTGAGCTCAAAATTCTCCCTCGGAACTGATTTCACAACGCATGTCTGACCACTCTAACGGCAAGCTTTGACAAGCTCTAACCCAAAATCCCACCCCTTCAATCCAAAGCCAGCCCCACTAAACTGACAACCATTTTCAAGAAACATTTTAACCCAAGAGCCAATGGTGAGCCACCATTAGTCAATTATAGAGAACAGTGTTCAGCCAGACACGGTGGGAAGGACTCCAATTTGAACAAGACCAATCTAGATATAAGGTTGGTAACATTAATGGGTGGAGGGGGTTCTTAACAACTTATGTACATGAACAAGTACATTGGGAACTATCACAAACACAAAAATACCCAATACCCATTGATCTAACATGTACGTTTACAGAATGTTCTCAATCCAGACGGTAAGAGGTAGGACACACAGAGAGTACACTACAGTGATGATGATGATGTGGTGTGTTTTATCGACAATCATTCACAACAACCGGTGACAGAGGCTTTGAAAAAAAAATTAAAACACATCGACAGAGTTTCTGGCTCACGTTCTCACCTCCTGTTTGGGAGGATACTTGGGCCGGGATTGGTGTTGCAAAAGCGTTTCCACGATTATATAATGGCCCTGTTGAGTCGCCACCTCGAGTGGCACAAAGCCGCCCTGGGTTCAAGGAGTTAGTTGAGGTAGTATGGGAGGAGCATTTTGAACCATTTAAGGCGGAGCACGGGGGAGGTGGAGGGAGTGGAGTTGATAGGGATGGTAATACAGTATAGGCAAAAAACCCAAGGCCAATTCCAAGCATGCGTGTGTGAGAGAAATGAAACCGTTAAAAGTGAAAGAGGGAAGGGACGACACAAACCAGTGTTTTGCAAAGTACAAAGACACAAATTGATGCCGTACTTTTGTGCAATATTATGACCTTTCAGTGTCTCTGTCAGAGTATCATACATCAAGACACTGATGATCCCTCTAACTCCGTTTTTATTTTAATCTTGAGATGCAAGAAATATGCTGTGTTGCAAATTCCCGTGTTTATTTGTTTCAATTTCAATGTACATTTTCTCTTCAATTCAGTGAAGTGTCCCACGGTTTCTGTTTGACAATGAGAACCGGAGGTTTATTCTTCCTTTGGTGATGCAGGCTGAATTGACTTCTTTTATTACTTCATTCAATTAATAGAAATCGTTTGGTTTGACTTTGTTCTCCTTGCCCGACAGCCAAAGCTGAGATTAGACAGCGAGAGCAAATATAGATAACAACAGTCAGCAAGGTCGAGCATTGATCTTATCTGTAATCACACAGTCACATAATCAAAGTAACGGGAATTCGTATCAGTGTCTTGGGAAATTCAAGTGGTCTGTTATCAGTCAAAAGTATTACATATTTGTGGATTTTTTTTCTAGGATTTTATTCGGAGAACATCTCAGCCTATTTCCTCAGAAGCTGTAGCTGCCATATTTGGATTTTCGCCTTCTTCTGACAGAATAAAGTATCTTATTCCACATTTTTACAGCTTTTTTTTGTGCTTATTATGTAGTATAAGTGTTATGCATATTTCTGAAAATGAGCAATAATATCAGCGTTAGGATATTGGATTCAATCCAAGATGGCTGACACATGTTCAAATTCTTACCTCGGTTGCTAGGTTCTGGTTGGCATTGTGGTTTAGCAGATACTTGACGACCTCGCCATGGTTCTCCTGGGCAGCCATGTACAGTGGGGTGAATCCGCTCTGTAAAACAGATGTTCATTTGATGAAACAACTTTCAGAAAAATAAAGCAGATCACGCAACTCAAAATCAATGATCTCCATATAAAAATGTGGATACCCATTTGCTGTTAGAAGTGCAGTCAAAGTCTACCATATTGTCAACACCGCCATAGTACACTTCAAAAACAATATTTTTGTAAAGAAAGACATTAAAGATATGAATTATCATTTTGTTTACAAAAAAAATATAAATGGCAACAAAAAATATGAGATTTGAAGGTTTGCATGGTGGAAAGATACTCGACAATATAAGTTTGCGGTAGCACCATGTGAATAAATCTATTTTGTGAGTTATTATGTGTGGTTCTGAACCACGGCTTCGGTTCTTTTCAGAACCACACATACTCACAAAAAAAGAGAGATTTATTCACATGGTGCTACCCCAAACTTATCTTGTCTAACAAAATATTTTTTATACAAAATTTCTGTTTAGAAAAAAAAAGTTCCATACTTTTAGACTATTTTTTTTTTATTGTTTGAGAAATTGTCTGACAAATTATTAAGTAAAAGTGGTTAACCGATCCCATAATCTGGAACCGGTTTCTGACATTAGCGGTCGGGAACTGGGAGCCTATTTTTCCTCGTTATCGGTATGATGAATATAAAATAGGTGAAAACTGTTCCCCTCATATTTTACAGAAATCAGGACATTCTGATGTTTTTCAATGAGAAAACTTCAAAATAGGGATGATTCCTATTAAATAGGAAGGGTTGACAGGTATGTATGTGACTTTGTTGTGCGACTTTGTTGTGCGACAATGTCGTGCGTTTTTATAAATTTTTGTACGCACACATAAATGAGTGTGGTTTCCATTTACACGTACCTGGTAAGTGACAAGTTGTGCGTCTTATTATCACTCATGCATTTGTGCATATTTATAAAAACGTGCGATACTGTCGCGCATTAGTGTTGCATACCTGTAAATTGACCATAACTTAAAAAATATGGCTTATTCAATGCAATAAATGTATGGCGATCTGAAGTGCATACAAGGTCCCTGTGAGATAGAAGTTCTGTTTGGCACAGACGCGTATCAAATGCAATACGAAGGTTTTGCTTTGAAACCTGCCCCTAAAAAAGGCTCAAATTATTTCCTTATGAACAGTTAAAAATAACCCCACACATAAATTTGTATTAATAGTATTATTTTATTATTTTAGCTGTAAGTGATGTTTCCTGATCACCTGTATGTTAAATGCCAAAAAAATTACCACCTTTTTGTTCAGTAAGTTAAAATAACCCATGTATCACAGCCCAAAACTGCTCCCACCGCCCCAAACCGCCTATTACTCCCTGTATCGCACTAAACTACATAGTCACTGCATGATTTAAGGATTCATAATACAATGCCAATGGAAAATATCTGATCTGGACATGAACATGTATGTGCATATTGTTGATGTACCCTAACGTGGCGCTGCCCCTAACGTGGCACACTTTGATTTTTCGCCTGTAGCGCCTACCTAGAGCAAAAGTTTTAACTTAAACTTCACAGAAAGTGAAATTTCATCAAGTTCTAAACACTCCCGTTCATAAATCACAAGCTTATCTACCCGTTTCAAAGTTAGAAGAAAATTTTACTTCGGCATGATTTTCCGATTTTATTATAAGAGCGCAGTGAACCCTTTGAAAATATCCCCCAAAAAGTTGAAAATAATTTTCTGACAACTTCCAGTTGGGTATGTATTAAGTAGAGAAAATAATAGTTTATCAGAATTTATCAACTTTACAGAAATTCTAAAATGTTAATTTGGAATTTTCCGAGATTTATTCAAGTGCACCATGGTGGGGAACACTCACACGATTTGTGCCCAATTTCCGGACGCCACCGTTGTTGAATTTCGGATTCAATTTCATGAATCCGAAATTGTTCACAGAGGTTAAATTGCAAGCATTAATGAGGTAAAAGTACTAGTATTTCACTGAATGGATTTGAAGTTTGTCAACAAAGAAGTTTTGCAACACTGATGTGGAAAGTCAGGGTAAATGTCGAAGTGCGCCACGTTAGGGAACACCACTATATATAGATGTACACTAAAACAATATTAACACCCATCCAGCACCCATATTGTCAATGGTCTAATGATATCCAGCTCCCAATGTTAAAATATGCCAAATGAACTCAACTTTGCATACTGTACTGAACTTTATACAATAACTTGACTGTGGTAATGAAAATGTTGGCAGGGGTTGAAAACTTGCAACAGAGAGTTGCATTTGCGCTGCATGTGGAAATTGTGATGCATGGCTGAAAATAGTTTCTGCAAAGTGAGATGTTGTAGTCAATGTTTGAAATGAAGGCCATGGATAAAACAGCGAGTTCGAAGGATGGACTGCTATAAGCCTGAGAAAGTACTATATAAAGTTGACTCCAGGAATTATTTTATGATTCTTTTCACTGACTTCAAGAGATGTTTCTGAACACTTTACACAAGAAATCAAATAAGTGATTTCTAGACGAAAACTATAATCTGAAGATGCTGTGAATATGATACAGCTGCTGTGATTGGCTGCTTGGTGCATGATGAGAGTGTGAATGCAACGAGGGCTCTAATTGGCTGATTGGTTATAGCTCAAGATTTCCCATTGGCTTACCTGAGTATGTAGGCGACTCTGTTTGTCTTTGCGAATCTAAGAATGGCAAAATTACGGTTTGGGATTGTACATTCTATTTCTCTCCAAATGTTTTCTTGCCATAAAATTCCTTAAAATTTCTGAGGTCTGGTCCATCAAGTACAATTTCAAAGAATCCTTGGTTTTATTACCATCAACTAAATAAATATAAATAAACACATCTGTATTGAGGTTTATTGTAATCGATTTAAAAAAACAATTTATGGTATTTTCCGTGTGTATCACCATGTTAGGTTTAAACCAGCCTGAGCACGCTATCATAGGGTGCGTTCGAGTAGCTCATCCAGATCGACTTGGGTATTAAGGCAGATGAGTTAGCCACGACAGCCGGGCTAATCCAATTCTCAACCGCGGGCCATCAAGATCCTCACGTGATATCCATAGCCGCGGTCGTAGCCACTGACAAAACGCCTGTTTCGTGCTGGGTCTTCGTTTGAGGTTTACTGCTTTTCATTCAATTGCATAACTCAAGAAAGTTGGGCTGGACTTATTGCCTCTAAAGTCGCAACGAGCTCAATAATTTTACCTTTAGAATTTCAAATAAAGTAGATTTTTTGGGTCCACTTGACATTTCCGCTGTCCCTGCTCTGCTCCACGAGCAGGGTCTGTGGTGGCTGACCCAGCTGAGCCCCGAGAATGACGTCAGAGCTAACCGAACGGCACGGGCTGACCGTTGTTGACCCAGGTGAGCTAAACGAACGCACCCATTGTAATTCACAGATGCCCCCCTTCAATGGGGGAAAAATGTACAATGGCTGGAATAATGCTTTGGCCATTGAAGGGGGCCTCAGCATGCTCAGGTTGGTATTTATATGAGCTTGATGTGTGTTGTATATATTGTTAAAGGGAATATACATCATTTGCTATTGCTGTAATTTTCAGAAATGGATGGATTTAGGGGGTTGGTAATATTTAGCAAATATTGTTACACTGACTTTTTTGACGTTTTGGGTTCGTACATGCTATAAAAACCAAGAAAAACAATCATTTTCCTGTAGTCTGGTTCCCTGACTCTATTTAAGATGAAACGGAACAATTTATAGACATTGGGGAAGTGTAAGGTAAGGGAACCAGTCTAGCTGGCTTGTACCCGTTCATAGGTGTGTAATCAATTGCAAACAAATGCGGACTAACTAAATATGGTCAATTGGGGCCAGTATTTGAAGGGAAAAAAGCCAGTTTTTTCCAACACTGGTCGGCCGACCAGTGATGGAAATTGATACAAAAATACCACTTTTCTTGAAAATTACAGTATACCAGGTGCCATGATTTTACAGGATGCTTTAGACTGTCATTCACTAACAGTCCAGCAATGTATTCCAAGATAATTGGGTAGTTTCATTTTTGGATGTTTGCAAATGTTGTATTTTCCCTTTAAATGTCATCTCATGCAAAATGATGTGAATTTCCAAGGGGACCTATGTTTGAAGGACCGACAATTCGACATGTGAATAGACTACGCTCGACGAACCTGTGACTGTACGTTGACGTTGGCGCCATGTTCTACCAAAGCCTCCACAATCGGCTGCTGGCCGGCCAAAGATGCGATATGGAGGGCGGTGTTCCCTTTCTGAAAATGATACGGGAATAGGGAGGGTAGAGAAATATAGAAACAGATCATAGTCAGTTAATCTTCGGTCACAATATTTCGAAAATACATTTTCTTCATGGATTTCTATCGGTTTTGGTTAGCTTGAACAGAGACATTGACAAAACGGGGTGCCACCAACATAAGGCTGGATAGCTCAGTTGGTAGAGCACCGGAACGGCAATCTGGAGGTCGCAGGTTCAAGCCCCGCTTCAGTCAATTTCTTTGTTCAACTTACACACGTTTTGACAGGAATGAGTGTTAGGAAATGACACACACATGGGATACATATGCGGCTCAAAAAAAAAAGTGCTGATTGAATCACCAATTTTAATAATCACGTAAAATACTGCTTTGGTGGGCGACTTTTTTCAGTGCCCCACATACGTCTCCTAGACCAGCATAATTTCTTATGGTCCCTATTAACCCTAACCATCCCAAATCCTCCAAAATCCTCTTTGCAAAATGGAGGATTTTGCAGGATTGAGGTTATAAGGTGTGGCTGTTTGTTGAGGATGCACGGTGTGAAGGTCTTGGGCCGGACCTTGTGTTGCTTTATAATGCTCAACCGTGCATAAATTTAGGCCTAGCTTACGTTTGTTACCCTCCACACTGCTCCAGGATGTCACTGGCTGTGCCTCAACATATTGACAGTGATTGCTGGAGGATTTTGCAGCATGAGGTAGTGGTCACCCCTCCAAGGACCACATTCAAGAAATAACAGATGATTTTGCAGGATTGAGGTTGCATCCTAGCAAAAACACCTTAAACTTACCTTGGTGGCAGCGTCAACATTGGCTCCTCTCTTCAACAGCTCCTTGACGATGTTCAGGTGACCCTCTTTGGAACTCAGGTGAAGGGCGTTCAAACCGTTCTGAAGACGGGAAGAAAAACAAAACAGTTCTGATTGAGTAACTCAGCGCATTAAACCCACTTGTCCTATACCGCCCCGAACCGCCCTGCCTGTTATATTGTACTACAAGAACTGCCCAGCCCAGGAGTCATCAAGGAGAATATTGTCGTGTGCCAAGGAAAAGGACGTTAACAGCCAAGGCAAAAAAACTTTTGGAGTTAATCGAGTTGAAAGGTGTTGTGCTCCCATTTCTAAATTAAACATCACGTAAGGCTGAAATTTTGACTCATGAAATTCGTTAATAATTAAGATATTGTAAATTTTTCTTTTAAAGTATTACTTCATGTTGAAGTTATTTGAATTTTTATGCTAAGAGCTTTTACCGGGAACTCCCCTGCCTTAAATGTGCGCTTAAGCGGCATGTTAAATCACAACGTCCTTTTGCCGGCAACAAACTTGGCTTTGCATACCCACTTTCGTAACGTGAGTAACCGATTTTGTGCGTCTTGTTTATCAAACAGAACACATTTTTCTGGATGTCATCTTTGGTGCTTAGGTAGGTCTAGGTCTACTCTATCTACCATGGGGATAACAGTTATTGAACCTTTTCAGTAAGGTAATTACAGCCCAAGGAAACTCAAAAGTACATCAAAAATGTAACGTGAGTAACCGTGGAATTGCCCATATCAAATAAAATATATTTCTATGCTCTATGTATTACCCGAAAACATTTGACCTATTGACACATTTTTTTCCCTAACGACCTTCTTCCACGCACCCGATGATATCGTGTAATAAAATTGTATTCAATTGCTAATGGGCTAACCCCTAAAAACATAAGCTTTAGAGCATTGGTCTAATTACAAATTTCATAATTAAAACATCTCTCAGGTTTACACCGACACACAAATTGTTTTTATACAAAAATCTCTTTTGAAATAATACAGTTTTATACATGTACATGTATACATACTGGTACATGTACATGTTCTGTTGACATGGAGTTGACACTTTTAGTAGAATAACAATAAACAAATAAATTTAAAAAAAACCAAGGTCACATAAATATGCATGTACTGGTATGCCTCCACCACACTTTCCTCATATCTATGCATACATTTGTAAATTGTACTTGTTCTCTTAAAGGTACATTTTAGAGTACATGTACCGGTATATCACTTTGTCATTTGTGTATTTTTTTTTCATTTCAAGCAACAAAAGTGCTCAAAATCTAAAGAAGGGTGTTTAACATCTAACCTGATAAAGTTTTAGCTCAGTGAATGCTCTATACATTATCCCGAGAAAACAATATTCTAGGACCTCGATTTCAATTCAGAAGACAGCTCTCGACAAATGTATACGTAAATTTTTCACACTAAGCTTGCGATTGAGGCAAGCGGTGAAAGACTTTGTCCCCTGGCCATGTTGATTTTATTTTCGATAGTAAGACTTTGATATGAACTGAGACAAACAATACATTATACGTTGAAGGTTTGTACCGGTACATGTATTGAATATTATCATACAAAAAACCCTCGTCCTTTCGTTTTATTTGTTGTTTTTTTCCTGCTGTGGCCACTGAATGTAACATACATGTATCCAATATTTGTTAGCGATAAAAGACCGAGGGAATTTTTCTCACACAGAATAATTTCGTTCTGTCCAGGGTTCGTTCTAGTCTATGGAATAGCCCCTTAGACAGCAAGGGTCTATGATATGGGAGCAGATTCGGCGTTTAAATCTGCAAAACAAGACTGCGTCTTGACGTCGAAATTCTGACCATTCAGGGGCGCCTTTTATATCAGGTCTTCAGTAACCCTTTGTTGTCGGCATCTAATAAAACCTGGACACGACATGTATTATGCTTTTACGTTGTGAATTGTGATACCAAAAATAGGCTGCGTCACGCGACCTCTGACGATATGTTACGGGATGCGCAAACGTCCTGCGGCTTCGAATGATCATCACATAATATTTACAATAAGGTTCGTAATGCGAATGCCCTCATGCGTGTTCACGTCACGCCCACGATGAACGTTCGCATATTCTATATATTCTATATTTTGCTGACAGTTTTGAGAACCAATGTCGTGTGAAGTCCACATTTCTGATTAAAATTACGTCACAATTTTGTGAAGTCGACTCCGATTGGCTGGCGCGGGTCGCATAAATTTGCATGCTAAATCAGATGTTGGACAGAAGACAGAGAGTAGGACAATGAGTGATACTCAGACTAGGTTCATTCTGTCGAAGCTGCAGAAAATAGAACAACTTCACAAAGAAAAAAAAAGAAAAAACAATTTAAGCTTTAAGTGGTTTCCAAAATGGCCAAAATTCAAACAACAGAAGGAAGTAGTCCTTCCACTGTGGGTTGAGCATTGGAAAATCCAATAAATGTACCTGTACAAATACCACAGAAACCTTATTGTGAAATTGCCAGTTTTATACTTTATTTTTCAACCTATTTTTGTGCTGGTATATTTCTTTCTTGCTCGCATAAGTTACAAATACCAGTAAAGAATATAAACGAGATTTTACGTTCTGGGAAAATACCGGGTAAATGTAATGGCAGGTCATTAGGTGAAAAAAAATATAAGAAATGTACATGAAATTCTTTGTGGTTTGGCAAACTCACCTACTCGTCGATTTTGGGTGTACACTGGTCAGCATTTGAATTTTTGTTGTGGGTGTTTATTTGGCTTTCGCAAATTTGCGAAAAAGCCTTTGTTTTTGTTCTGATTTTTTTTTTTCCTTATTTCTTCTTTTTGTTCCATGCAAAATCCTATACAATACAATCTTGTAATACTTGTAAGAATGTAATAAAGTACAAATGCAGGTATGTCTGTACTTGCCCAGTTGTCCACCATTGTGCATTATGTACATTGTACGTACAGAGAACATTTATACGAAAGCCCATTAGCGCCACTGCAAGTATATATGTTACAGATTGTGTAATTCGTTATTACGGATTATTAATTCGTTATTACGGATTATTAATTCGTTATAACGGATTATTTAATTCGTTATTACGGATTATTAATTCGTTATTACGGATTATTAATTCGTTATAACGGATTATTTAATTCGTTATTACGGATTATTAATTCGTTATTACGGATTATTAATTCGTTATTACGGATTATTAATTCGTTATAACGGATTATTTAATTCGTTATTACGGATTATTAATTCGTTATTACGGATTATTAAATCGTTATTACGGATTATTTAATTCGTTATTACGGATTATTAATTCGTTATTACGGATTATTAATTCGTTATAACGGATTATTAATTCGTTATTACGGATTATTTAATTCGTTATTACGGATTACTAATTCGTTATTACGGATTATTAATTCGTTATAACGAATTAGGTCTGATGTTCTCACACGTGGAGAGCACGTGACCAGGGGCCTGTGTATATAGCGCCGCTAGGCGGCGCTATCTTTGCATACAACGTTTGCACTCCTGTGCCATACTTGCCGAGTAATGACTCAGAACGTGACTCATAACGAATTAGTAATCCGTAATAACGAATTAAATAATCCGTAATAACGAATTAGTAATCCGTTATAACGAATTAGTAATCCGTAATAACGAATTAAATAATCCGTAATAACGAATTAATAATCCGTAATAACGAATTAGTAATCCGTAATAACGAATTAATAATCCGTAATAACGAATTAGTAATCCGTAATAACGAATTAATAATCCGTAATAACGAATTAGTAATCCGTAATAACGAATTAGTAATCCGTAATAACGAATTAAATAATCCGTTATAACGAATTAGTAATCCGTAATAACGAATTAATAATCCGTAATAACGAATTAGTAATCCGTAATAACGAATTAATAATCCGTAATAACGAATTAAATAATCCGTTATAACGAATTAATAATCCGTAATAACGAATTATTAATCCGTAATAACGAATTAAATAATCCGTTATAACGAATTAGTAATCCGTAATAACGAATTAATAATCCGTAATAACGAATTAGTAATCCGTAATAACGAATTAATAATCCGTAATAACGAATTAAATAATCCGTTATAACGAATTAGTAATCCGTAATAACGAATTAAATAATCCGTAATAACGAATTAATAATCCGTAATAACGAATTAGTAATCCGTAATAACGAATTAATAATCCGTAATAACGAATTAAATAATCCGCAACATATATACTTGCAGTGGCGCTAATGGGCTTTCGTACATTTATGTTGAAAAAAAAAACTAACATTAAAAATACCCTACCACGTACATGTACCAATCTTCCGCATGGGGGCAATGTTACACAACTTTTTTTTTGGCCTGAAGGAAAATATATGAATGTTTAAAGATAATATACAACATTTGCTTTTGCCATAATTTCCAGAAATGACGGGGAAAAAAACAAGAAAAAGTACTGTTCTTGTAGTCTGCTTCCCTGGCCTGACGCTTCAGACGGAATTGGACAGTTATAGACTTCCGAGAATCGTCAGGTCAGGGAACCAGACTAGCAGGCCTATGCCTGTTTACGGGTACGTTACAGATTGCACACAAACTTTGGTCAATTGGGGGTAGTATTTGAAGGGGAAAAACAATTTCCAACGACAATTGGTCAAACCATTGTTGGAAAATGATACACAATTCCGCTTTTCTTGAAAATGACAGCATACCAGGCGCAAAGGTTTCACAGTACACTATTATTAACATGGACTTACAATCAATTACTATTTCATAATAATTTGATAGTTTCATTTTTGAATGTACGCAAATGTTGTACATTACGTGTACCTTTAAAGGTAAATTAAAAAATAAGAATCTGACAAATGCCAAGCTAAGTATAAGGTCACTTCAGGCTGACTGGCATGTCCTCGCTGCTATCCCCCGGGGAAAAATATCTGGAATAGCCAGTTTGTTTTTGAGCCTGAGTAAATAGGATTTAATGTAGCAGTCTATGAATGTATGAATGCGGATAAGTGGATTTATTCTGTCGCCTTTTGAACAACAGCAGCGTATGGTATTTACTGAAGAGAAAAAGAAAATTTTGCACTGAACAAAATTACATGCGAGTCTATTTCACATTTCATTATCCCATGCAATTTGTTTTTTCCAATAAAAAAAGTTAATAAAATTTTTAAAGAACTGAGATATTTAAATATAATCTGGTTTCTGCAGAACAAGAGCTCTGTAATGGTATACAACATATGAGGGTAATGAGTTCAGTAATGGAAAGATTACGGTTCACCTGTAAACGAAAAAAAGGGACCATCCCTTCAAATTTTGGCTTTGCCCCACTGTACTGGGGAGTCAGGTTGGCGTAGCGGTACTTTCCTTGCCTTCCACCGCTGTGACCCGGGTTCGAATCCCGCCTGGGCCAATAAGTGGATTGGGTTTCAGTCCCTACCTGATTCCGTGGGTTTCCCCAGAACATTATTCTGGGCCTTTCCTCCCACCTCTAAAACTGTAATTTCTTCTCATTGTCTTTTCTCTACAGGTTTCTTCAGGCTTTCGAGCTACAGTGCCTTAGGCATTTTTGAGAAATAATTGGTTTCATTACCAGAAAGAAATAAAATTTAAATTTTTTTTTTTTAAATACTGCTAAATGGCAATGTGCAACTTTCAGCTCGTCATATTCACTTATTTCACCTTGGGCCTTTAGGAAAGTCTGTTAGCGATGTTGTTTCAAACTGTACATGTTTCTTTGTAATAGTTGTATAATATTCATATTAGTTGCTTTACAATCATGCAGTAATCCCATATGCTTTTATTCTATTTCATTGTGCCGTATTGTATTTGTAATGTATTGTTTTTTATGTGTAGTCTTTTATAGTGTTTGCAGGGCCCCAATGGAAACCAGTTTTAAACTGTTTGGGCACACCCTGGGTAAAGAAATGTAATAAATAAATAAATTAATTAATAAATTATTTCATCATCTGAAAACAAAATTATGAATGATTTTATGAAAATCAAATTTGTCGTTTGCTACACATCAGCACAAATGTGTCCATTTTTTGTTTGTATCTTATTACTGACCCAGGTTTGTCCATGTACATGTACATGTAACTAATCAATGATGTGTTTTTTCTTTTATGATCGCGTGCTGTTAATCAGGCACAGTTTCACGATGCACGAATCAATATTTGGTCAGGGTTCTCATAATTAGTGACATCAATATTTGGGCCAGTGAAAGAATTTCTCTGTTAACGTGCATGTAGATGTATAATACAAGTACATGTATGTAGGTACAATTAACACTGCACAAACACCCAGATTTCTAAAAATTTCACTTGAGAGTCAAGTTGCACGTCCCAATATACCCTCAACTGTTTTTTGCGAGGCTTTAGCGTCGGCATGGAAACACGTACCGCCATTATTTTTATACCATTTTAAAGCTCGGCATCTGAACTTTATCCCTGGCGAGTATTGGTTTGATATTTAAAAGAGTTTTAAAATTATTCGTGTTCAAATAAAGGCATTTCGAAAAGAAAACTGTTTCAGGTATTTCGGGACGTGCTGTACATAATGTAAAGGAACACACGTACATGTATACAAGTACACACAGTAGGCATGAACATTCATGTTATGCATGTACATGTGTAATGTAAAGTTCTACATGTACATGTACTATTTATAAAGTTTGTATTGATACTTTAGGCCCTATATACATGTATCTTACATATACATGTACAGTACATATTAACAAATTCAAAAACAAATTGTAAAGGCACATGTGTATTACGAATGGACAAGACCAACATTGTTCTGTCAGAAAAAAAACCGGATGGCTTAAACCTTCTGCCAATTTCACATTTTTATACGGTGCAATTTTCAACTTGAACTTGGCAGTCCAAAACCTAAATGTAGGAAATACTGTCAAATATCAGCAATTCCACTATCTTTTTTTTACACAAACAGGTGTTTTTTAACAAGCTTTATTCATAATAACATGGAATTTGCATCTGGGTGATGTAAATTCAATATTAGGTTTTGCCCTTCACTGAAATTACATCACCCCGACGCAAAGTCCATTTTATGAATACTTTCTTCGTGGTACCTGCCTTTACACCAGATACGAACTGGCCAGCCGATCCCGGCAAGCTCGGGGGTAAGACGTCTGCACTAGAAAGCAGGAAGTCATGGGTTCGAGTCCCACCTGAGTGATTTTTTTCTCACTTTCACTCTGGGCGTAACACACTGAGTAAACAGTGCTTATTCGTCGGTGAAGGGAAAAATCTATAATTGAACAAGCTCTTTCTGAATTTTCAACTAGCGCAGGTGCATACGGCCAGTTCAGGCTCGCGTTTTGAAATCGAATATTCAAATATTCCAAGTTCAAGTTTGAAAAAAAAATCAAATTCTAAATTATTCGAGAAATGCACAGCCCCACCGAGACTGCCAATGATTTGTTCCTGTTAGTCAAGTCAACCATTACAGATCGGACTTGATTAACTCTCAGCCAAACTATGGCCAACCTTCATGCTTCACTGCTTCGGTTACACAGCGGAGTACACTTCAGGGGGTGACGACAGCAAGCGATGAGATGAAGGGTGAGAGAGGGGGGGGGGGGGCAGAGGGGGGGGGGGGGCGCAAAGGGGGGGGGGGACAGTACAGTTCAACCCACAGTGTTAGGCAAGGCAAGCTCTAATCCAATCAGATTCCTTGTAAGATACAGTGCCAAGGTCAGTGCCCCTTATCAAATCATCTTCGCGTGAAACGGATGAAATGATTGGTTAACGACATGTCCGAGGTCCAACTTGCAAGTACATGACCTCTGTAACAGAATTTGTTGAGTCGCGGACAAGGTAACGCTGCAATGTTATACGGTCAGAAAATAAGTCTGTATCAAAGTTTATAAACCTTCCCATGGTCAAGAATAAATATATTATATCCTCTCGTTTCCTCCCCCCCCCCCTTACAAAAGGTCTGCCTTTACAGGATTTTAAAAACAAACATTTTTAAAAATGGATAAAACCAAAAAAATACAGCCCCTCCAAAAAAAAAAAACACCTGCCGCACGTCTGACTGAATATGCAAAGTATTCATCATAGACGTCAATGCCTTTTCCTGCTGGAATAGGTACGTGTAGACCTTAGTAAACTTTACAGCGTTAAGAAAAATTGTAAGAAGGGGAGAATTATAAAATGGCTGACAAGCAAAAGGTCTGTCCCCTCCCCTGTCAAAAAAAAAATTAGAAATAAAAATTCCAAAATCTGCACCTCATCATAACATCCGTCCACCAGTCCCCTCATCAGACAGTGGAATATCTCATCCAGAATCTGCTTCTGTCGCTGCTGAAACTCGGTGTTGGTCCAGTAGTTGGTCGGTACCTCCACCTTCATATTCACAAACGATTTCAACTCCCGGATTATCTCTACAGTGGCGGCCATTTTGATTCCCAAAGCTGCTTTCCGGTTGGGTTTGTTTAGATTATCGTATTGTGGTGTCAATTTCACCTCGGCACACAAAGTTCAAATTTTCACTCGTTCTGCAGACGTCAACTGCTTGAGATTCAAAAAAGATGGCTGGCAAGAAGAACGTGTAGATGGTGTTTGGCACATCCCAAAGAGCTGGTAAAAGATAGACTTTATGCCTCCTTTAAAAGTTTACAGTACTCAGTCTCTGCCTTTGTGACCACTTTTTGATGACTTTAACAGCAAAATTTGATTAAAAAAATTGAAGCGTATTCGCTGTGGATTTACGATGTTCTGTTGTCAAGTTACGGTGGCGCAAATTCAGAAATCACAGCAACGCTTCTGTTGCTAAGGCACAGTGTACTGGTATCTAGCAGAATCTGTTACTGTCATAAAATTTAGAAGAATGTCATCGTAGGCCCGTTCCTGATTGTATATTTATGCGGGTGTTAATATTAAGGATAACTCTCAAAGAATAGTAATCCCCTACGGAGCGTCTGAGGCACGAAATTCACGTTTGTCGCGCGGAAGACACACGGCATGAAAGACGAAGTACATGTACACAAGATGCAAATCCAAGTGCAGAGCCGAACGTATCACTGGATGTATTGGTTCAAGCACAATTGAAGCCTCGGTACATGTGTCTTGTAGATTGTACGGAGATCGGGATGGAGTGCTACTGGAGACCTTGGACATTTGATGAGTCTCAAGAAGTCGCCAGCAATACAGCGTTTCCTGTCTGCAAATCCTACTTCCGCACGCTCCGTCGACATAAAATACGGCCGACTCGGGCTACAAAAATTCAGACACGGACAAGGAACTTTTGCAGAAGAAATTGATCACGTCAAGACACGGTGGTTAACCGACGTGCATCTGCGTGAAAACAAGATTTCCAAAGCGGACGCCAATGGGAGATGCCTCTCAACTCCTTTATTTTTGCATAGATTTTTACTGATCTCCAAGCCCCCGAATCCACTCCAATATTTGCACGAACTCTTTCAAAGATTTAAGATATTGAATAGTGCATCATCAAGTTGGATTTGGAATTCACGGCGCTAAAGCTGATTTACATTTAAATTGCACCAGAAACAACAAAGTACAAGCCCGAGCATGTGAAAATGTCACTTTCTGAAGTAGGCTGTTTACAAATTCACAAAGACGACGTGACGGAAATCGTTGGAAGACGATGATACAATGAATCAACGATGCTGACGAAAGCTTCCCAAGACAATACTGAATCAATCCATCATTTTATTTGAACAGCAAAGATGAGTAAAAAAAAAAAGGCACAGGTAGAAGTAAATATCTTAAGGAATGGCTCAAGACACCAAGCGATGCATAAGTCAGAAAAACATCTAAGGAGTAACAGTAATATCTGATGTGCCTTGGGGCTGCGAAGCGTCAAACCCCAACGGACCCTTGCGAAGGATTTCACCACGAGGTCGGACAGAACAAGTCGATGGAGGGTCCTGGCTAGTTGACTGGTCGGCAGACTCAAAAATGTCTCAGCGGGCAGCCTGCTTGACTCTTATATTCCCCTCTCTCTCCCTCTTTCGGTCCTCAGGATTCAGAAATCTTCCCTCTCGAATTCCTGACACGACAATGGCCTCGGAAAAAACTCCACAGCGTAAATACTAATAGATGGGTGACTATTTACAATCCACACTTATCAAGCCAGTCGGAATGGGTTGCCTCTATTACAAATGACGCTAGTCCACTGCACCAGCCATTCTCGCTATGACAGTCCTGCCTCGTATTGCATTACACCCTCACCATGCTGATAGCCACGTTGCTTTGAGTGTCCGTTTCGGCTGCCTGGCATGTATACTTACACACTCATCCCTTACTGCAATGCATCCTGGGTAATTGCCAGCTTCCCCCTAACTCATGAATCAGCGTGTTAGGTCCCTCGGACCTTCAGCCTGCTAAGGGATGGTCATGGCTTCCATCTGATAGAAGCATGGGTGGGGGGAAAGCCGAGGGACAAGTTGTAAGCAGTGACAGCGCCTGTGCATTGCCCTGATTAATTGACGTAGCCTCCGCTTCGCAGTCGTCAGCCAGTGGCATTGGGGAACTCTAGGCCGACTTGCTGTGGCTTCAATTCTTCAAGTAGTAACTTCCTCTAACAAATTATCTCCGATTTGAGCGACCAAAATTGCTGAGGCAACCCTAACAATTAGTGTAGACTCTGCAAACCCAATGGGCTGCAACCTATTTGATGATTTTGTGCGTTGCACTGGTGGTAACTTAACCCTTCCCTTTCAGCAGAGTCCTTGATACAGTTGATGTGCATGTCATCAACTTAATGCACCGCGGCCCGTTAGCGTAATTAACGATGCCATATCCTCGCCAATCAGTAGCGTTGGATATGTGTGTACTTTTTTGTGGATTTTATCACCTGTTAATATGCAAATTCCATCTCCACTGTTGCCAACACATGTACCAGTAAGTGCCAAAATGTTATACACGGCAGATCAATTTGTCAGAAATACTGGTACCCATCAAAGGTAACCAGTCACTGAGCACATATACATACTGTACAAATGTATACATGCAATATGTTCAGACCGGCATATACCGGTATGGACCGGTACATACATGCATATAATTCTGTATATAATTACTAACACAGTAACTGTAGCAAACACCACCTTGGCTTAGCGGTGTCACAAATTAGTCTGCTAGATTCTAGCCTGCTTACGTTATACCCCCCACCCCACCCCCCCCCTTCTCTCCTCAATCCGTGCCAGAGGGTGAGGTTATTGATGCTTTCTCTGCCACGCGGCTTGAGCCGGTCAATAATTAAGTTGTGGGGTTCAATTAACGGGTCTGCGTTATATTTGGAGAGCGTGCATTCGTCGTCGGCCCGGATCGCACGTGTTAATGCCATTGACTTTTTGATCTGTTTGTGTTAATTGAAAATAGTGAGTGGTTGTGTTATTGAATGCACTATATGGATATGGTGATCATTTTTCAACCTCTTTTCTAGTAGATATCGTGGGTGGACATTTTTGTTTCCATTTTTGATATCTGCACTTCCGTCGAAATCGATTATTCCTTGTTCTCTTACATTTCTAGGCAGAAAATGTGGAAGAATGTGTACAGAATGTATTTTGAAAAAAAGAGAATATCAGACACATTTCTTAGGCACAAAAAAAAATAGACGGTCTCTGGTCCGACCAAAGTTCCGTAATTGATGCAGTGATACTTTTTTTCTGATTGTTTTTTCTAAGCTTGGATTGTACAGAAAAGGTGTAGGTCGGTACTATTTTGCTTTTTTGTGGAGATGTTCCGGTTGTTATCTTTAGCTTGTGTCACACACCAAAAAATGGAAGACTCAATTTCTTAAGGTCGATTTTGAATATCCAATTTCCAAACCGAAAAATTGAATTCAAACCGAATTTTTAAAATCTGTATTTACATGGATGCATGTAAATAATCACATTTCAAGTATGATGCATGTTTCAAATTTTTTTTTAAATTTTTTTTTTAAAATTGTTATTTAATTTTTTTTTTTTTAATTCTTGCCTTTTCACAGTTCTTGTGCATTCCAATTTGCTGAGATTGATAGAATGATAGCGAATGATCTGTCATGGTTCCTGTTCAGCCAAACACACACACAAGGGTTGAGCGGACAGAACATGCGTTTCCCAAGGTATCAATCTGATACTGTACGTGATTGGAAACATGTGCTCCCAATCAACTAAACGGAAGGTTACGATCCAAGGTCTATTATGTATACAATCCAAACGACAATCTTTAAAAAAAATTGATGGATTTTCTCCTCGGATTTTTATTTTGAAACAAATTTTTACAATTTTTTGTCAAGGAATGCACTTTTTTGAAGGGTTTGGGTGCCATTTCCATTTGTTCTCTTTCAAATTTCCCTTCGATGAACAATTTGCACGCACTACTGAAGTTGGGATTTTATCAAATGTACGCTTTCATCTGCAAGTCAATTTTAGAAAACAAATCCCCGAAAATCTATAAATCTCAAAATGGGAATCAAAAAACAGTACCTCATTAAAAAAAAGTAAACACTCGCATTTGCAAAGTTTGTAACATCACTTTTCCAATTCAGTCAAGTTCAAAAACTGCAAGCTCACGGTTGAACGTCAAAAATTGAAATTGAGAATAAAACAATTACTTCCTCTCAAAAATTGAAACTGCGAAACAAAAAAAAATCACACCTTTAGTTAAAGACTTCCAGAGGCGACCAGACACAAACTTAATTTGCCCAGTTATTTTCTGAATCCGCTGAAGAGGAACTTCCAATAACATGTCGTATCCCCCCTGAGGAACACACTGGTAACCCCCTGCCCAATAACGACAGGAAGAGCCAAGACTAATTTGCTTTGCAACGGACAGTGAGTCAATTATATTTTTTCTGTCGGGAAAGGAAGATTAGCGGAATCCTTGCTGGAAGCTAGAAAGGGTGCATCTAAATCAAAACATTTGTTTTCTAGAAATTTTCTTCTTGTTTTTTTTTTGCTTTCTTCTTCTCTTTTCCTTTTAAGGTCAGGAAAGGAAACCTTAGGAATATTTGAAATGATTTCTTCCTTTTCAATACCCAACAAGGGTATCAAAACACATATACCGGTACATACATTCTAAGAGGTAAAACAAAATTTAACTTTGAAAATTAAAATTAAAAAAAATTTAACTTTTCGATAAAACAAACAAACCAAAAAACAGATGTATATTCAATTGTCTGTCTTATTCAATTACATGTACCAAAAAAACCTCAAACTGCATGTACAAATGGAAACTATTTTATAATTTCTTTTTTATGATTTCAAACTTTTCAATGCATTTTTTTCATTTCATAAAATTTAAATTAAAAATAAAAGCACTTAATACCTCTGTGGGTACAACCATACAATGTACATGTACATGTGCATCTACCGGTATCTAAATGTACATGATATCAGACATATAGACATATCATGAACTTAACATCGGCCTGTATTTTAAACACTGTATGGGAACATGGGTATCTCCTTTTACATACATGTACCGGTACATGTACATGTACATGCACATGTACATGTACATGTACATGCATATGTACATGCATATATGTACATGTACATGTACCAGTACATATGTACAGTATGGTACCGTACATGTACATGTAAATTGAAAAAAAATACTATGTACTGTGGCATCGCTGTGCCATCAAACAATTCCAACGCTTCCCTGCAGCTGAAGTGAAACAATCCAGCCAATTTGCATACAAATATCGTTCATTCATAATATTTCTCATCACCCAATACAGAATGGAAGAGTCTAGAGTAAAGGCAGCCAGGAGCTAATTTGTGCAGAAGGTCAAGGGTCAAGAGACGTACCAATGAGATGAGAGGGCATGGATATTAGCTGGGTGTGACTGGCTGGGAATAATGTAATGAGGGCACTGGTTTCTAGTGGCCAACAGAGGGGGCTATTGCACTTGCCAAATGTGCAAAATAAAATCCACTCCGCCTGCTATAGTCAGGAGTCCACGAAACTAGTGCTTATTATTTACCCCGTAAATTACCTTTTTTTTCTGGGTCTATCCACAGGCTATTTTCAACTCTTTGCATAAATACATCCCATTTTTTTTAAAAACTTATTTAGAAAAACCAGGATTTTCTTTTCAGTAAATTTGTCACCATGGGTCCAACAGACCACCCATCCTGGACCACAAAATATTTATTGGAGGTCATTCTGCTGATTTTAAGTGCCCATTCAAGAATAGGTGCCATATGGTTAATGTCCCAATACCACACGGCGATACCAAGCAGTGCAAAAAATCACTTGATGTTGGCAATAGAATTCGGCCGATTAGCCATGAGATGACCAAAAGGTCAATCGTAAATAGTGCAAGTTGGGTGATTGCGATTCATGCTTTCAACCGTTTAAGTAGAAGCTGCTTAAATTTCGCATCATCAGCAATTAGGAAAAAATGCAAATCTTTGAGAAGGGTGACAACTGTTCATCACTAGCTTCTTTTGGGGGGGGGGGGTGGGGTGGGGGTGGGGAGGCGTTGCAATCCCTCACGCCTACCCCCCCCCCCCCCCTTAACAGTTGGTGATGATGGGGGGGCTGTGGTCCAATGGTTACAGTGTTCGACTCATGTGCCATGGTACATGGGTCCGAATCCTGACGGGGAACATGGTCCTTGTGCTCTTGAGCAAGGCACTTTACCATTATTGCTGCATCCTTCCGATGGGACGTAAAGCCGTAGGTCCCG